CCGAGAAGCAAAGTCTTGATGGTGAAGGCAGTGCGTGGAGAGAGAGAGTTCGACTAGTAGAAAGAGCAGGACTTCGAATGAAGCAGTTAGAAAGATTGTTTGCAACGGTTTAGAATTGAAGAAGACTTTAAAATAACAGCAAAAAAAAAAAAAAACAATCAAATTGTCAAAAGGGTTTGCGAGAGGTCCTTTGAGTCCAATTCAACTGTCCGTTCCCAGTAAAGGTTCTGGCTTGTACTACTCCTGATGCTAGCGGGGTTACGAGGCTGATGAACTTATCTAGACTTGCACTAGACTACGATTCGTGTTTCTTGTCTGTTGCAATCGTATGAAGGACTTTCCTTCAATAAGCTCGGGGCCAAGCCAACGACGAATGCCATCATTTCGACGCGACTTGTATGCCATATAGGACTTTATTACGTGATTTACGCGTAGATGTGCATCGCTCACATGTAGATCTATATGTCTAGGTGTTGGATATATCATATCCACAACTTTTACAAGGTGAGGTCGCACTAATGAGAGTGGAGTTGCATGGTCAAGTTTTCATTATAAATCCAACTTAATCGAAGTGATATACGCGTCTTTGAACTTGCAGAGACATGTGTTCTTACGAGAATCGCGAAGCTCTGCACCATTAGCTCGAGGTTTGAGAAAAACCTGCCGAAACCTTCATCTGGACTTTGCCAGCTTTTTACCTAGTCGATCGCTGCAGATTATAGTACTGTAGTGATTGGGTCGTTTGTGCCGCGTATGTATATTGATTTTTTGCATGACCTTTCTCGACTAGTTGCTTCAAAATCGCCAGAAACAGGTAGCCAAAATTATCGAGTGACTTGAGGGAAGGAAACAAACACATTTCAGCGTTCTAAAGGAGCTCCAACCTGTGGAAGCTGAAGGTAGGTCAGCCAATTTACGTGAGTGTCTCTTTTTATGGATGTGATGTCTGTTTCTTTGCTGTTAATATTTCAAACTTACGATTCCATCAGGCAGGTCTGCAATCTCTATTGGGCTAAGGACTCTCTGACTCAGTCAACTACTGATATCAAGAAATCAGTGGCAGTTGCAGATCGTCTCGTTATGAATGGTAATAGTTTAAAGAGGTTATACAAGCTACAACATTATTTCATCTTTGGCGGCATCTCTACTATGTACCATTGCGGACGTATATCGATTCGTGTCTGTCATCGACTCGCGCAGTACTGTCCCAACAGAATGGTCGTTTACTGTGAAATACGATTTGAAGCTGTATATTGAGAGGCCATGGTTGTTCATTGGACGAGCCCTCTCCCACCAACTTCCGCATCGTCGCCTATATCACTGGTACCAGCTGCACCATCCGACGAACCAGATCTAGAACCAATCGAACGCCTCATCGCCTTGAAACCAGTAGAGTCTTGTGTATGAGGGAGTCCTCGATGTCATCCTCAGCGCCAACCGCAAACCACAAGCGACTACTTCCCTGCTCGAGAAAGCTATCAGTCAGTCCATATGTGCTGACGCACGATTTCCATTTAGTTGTCCCAGCCCCCGTTATGCCTTCAGGATAACAAGTGTCCTAAATCCACATACAGCACTTTCGTTTCACTCCACTCGTTGGCACTGTAGATCACATATAAACGAAACAATGATATGGACTTGTATATTAATAAACTACGTTGTATAAAAAGGTTTTTTTAATCCTGATCTGTTGTACACATGTTCAAACCCGAGTTACTAGCCTGGGCCCTTCTGTAATTAGCTGATCTTCTCCCGCTGCTAATTATACCCAAGGCACCGGTAGGCTTTCCAATTCCAAGAGCAGCATGTGCCATCTCTAATCTCTTTTTCAAATCATCAATCTCGCGCCTAAATCCATTCTCCTTAAAGTCTGATTCGAGCTTGAGAGATTGAAGACGAGTGACTTCTGAGCGTGATGAGTCTAAAGGATTGTGCAAATGTCAGAAGCAGCTTGTTTATCGTCGTTTGCGTCGAATAAGCAATCACATCGTGCAACTCAACAACAAGATTACATACCTAAAGCGGCATTGAGACCTGCAATTGTAACACTAGGGTCAAAGTCAGCGTTTAAATTACGTTCTCTAGACCGTGGTGGCCTTGATGGTTTGTCAGATGAGGATGTTGACGATACAGTTGAGGGTACCGGTGATACTACTGCGCGAGATGATTTCGTTGGTATAGGGAGACTACCCGTAAATGGTGCAAATGGTGCTGCAGGTGACGGCGCGACTGGAGCAGATGAGGTATCATTAAGTAGAGAACCAACACTGGTAGGATTATTATTATGGTTATCTGTTGAAGTAAAGAAGCTACGTTGTGATGAGGATACATCGTCACCATCGTCAGCCCACCTAAGTAACTCTAGTATATCTATATTGTCTGGTATCGGTGATTTCGGAGGCGGCGGAGGAGGAGGCGGCGAATTGGTCAAACTATTCATTACAGGCGTTTCAGGTGGTGATATCGGATACCTGTTTACGATACTACGTCGATCCTTCTTCAATGAGCTTGTTCTCTCACCAAAGAGTAGTACACCAGCATTGTTGGATCCAAGACCCTTCAATGCCTTTTCATACTCCTTGAGCTTAGCTTCCAGCGTTGATTGCGTCGTTCTAGATATCAGCAAATCATTCTTCACTTTGATGATTTCCTTTTCTGCCAGCTCTGCTCTCTTATTTGCTGCAAAGACTTCTACAGGTGTGCTAGGGAGTACCGACCTATTCAAGGATCTTTGCATGTTGCTATGCAGCTGATTCTTCAGCTTAGACAACATGTCTTGTTGAGATGATATGGTATTGGAAGCCTCCAAGAGAGACTTCTTGGTAATCGTGAGCTCTGCTTTCGACTTATTGAGTTGCTCCTCGAGAGCCGATAATCGAAGCTTCATATCTGTCATGTTTCCATCTGGTCGAGCAGCTCGTATCGAGTCCGCTATTTTCTGAGCATCTGTCAATTGTGCTGTCTTCAGTCTATATATCTCTTCGCTCTGCTCCTTGGCGATTGCATTCAAAGAATCAAACTCTTTTTGAAGTTTGGCTACTTTGAGTTCATCTGCCGAACCTCCCTTAGCCTCTTCCTGCGACAACTTGGTCAAAGCAGCCTGTAGCTGTGTCTTGTGATCAAGTAACTCAGCAGCTACACTATCATGGTTCTTTTGTAACTCATCCCATTTACTTTGCAAAGTCGAGACCTGCTTCTTCTTTGCCTCTAATTCAGCAGACAACATGGAAGCAGCAGCTTCATGCGTCTTGGCTACATTTGCTACTTCGTCTAATTTCTCCTTGGCTACGGTCTTGACTCTATCTTCAGTCTCAGTCTTGACCTTCTTCAGCTCATTCAGAGACATTGAATGTCGTCCCTGAGCTTCACTGAGTTGCTTGTTGAGGTTTTCTATATCCTTATTACGTTTCATCAACTCCACATTTACTGCAGCCAGTTGAAGAGACATGTTTGTAAACTCTTTAGCCTTAGAATCCATCTGCTTGTTGAAATTATCAATCTGAGACTTGTACGTTTGGGAATCTATTTGAGCTTGCTGAGCTGTCGTCTTCAGCTTGCTCAGCTCAGTACTACTAGTGGCGAGACGTGTCTTTAAATCTTCTAAATCCTTTTTCGACTGTATCTCCTTCTGTTTCAGATCCGTGACCTAAGCAAAGGGCACTGTCAGTGTTGTGTCATGGCCAAAAAAAAAACATCATTGTATCATGGAAAGATAGTCAAACGGAACTATGACATACTTGAGCGCTGACGAGGTTGAAAGAATTCTGTACATTTTCCAACGCAGCAGCCCAGATCGAATCATCAGTTTTGGCAGGAGTCACGGTCTTGGCCATATCAGGCTTGGTTTGAGCAATACTAGCTCTAATATCAGCAACAAAGTCTTTACCCGACTTGCTCACACCATTTGCTTTGACAGTACCAACATCATGAAGCTGAACTGAAGCCGGCCATACGATCAAGAGCTTTTCAAGCCAGGATTCTAATTCCAACACACGTTGCCAAGCTGTCCTTTCAGAGTGAGGAGAATCGCCTAAAAACTTGTCCTCGAGCTCTTTTATTCTATTATTCTTGGCATCGAGAGCAGTCATGGATTCCGATAATTGCTTCTCCGCAGTCTCAGCTCGTTCCTTGTCAGCTTGAGCAGCCGCGAGTTTGGATTTCATGATATTCATTTCTTTATCCTTGTTTTGCACAGCAGTTTCCATCCCCTTGACCTGTTTATGCAGAGCATCGCTCTCTGCTCGATTGATATTGGCCGATTTGGTGGCTGCTGCCAATTGTTTCTTCAAATCTTCGATGCCATCGACAGATATCCCTCGAGACTGAAGACCAGCTAATTCAGATACAGCGACTTGGTGGATGGTTTCCAATTCAATCACTCGTGACTAAAAGGTTCAGAATTAGAAACAAAAAACCGATTGGTTTTCTACAATGTGCGTAAAGCTACCTTTTGTCTATCAAAAGCCATCTGCAAATCTTGCGATGACTGTTTACTGGCAGCAAGCTCTTTCTCTAGCTTTGAAACAATAGATTGGAGATTCTCATTATCGTCTCTCGAGACACCCGTTTTGCCTTCATCAGCAGCAGACGTTCTAATGGAAGCACTGTCATTGTCGTCATCCATATTTTTACGATTCTTGAGATCAAATCCTGCTTGCGCCAGCGCCAGCTCGTTCGACAAACGTTCTAATTGTGAACGCAGATCTGTATTCTCCTTTCTTAGTCGAAGAGGATCGCCTTCAGCACCATCTGTGACAAGAAAACTTGTTGTGAGTTTTTCTATGCATGGTATCAATGACCACAACACAAACTGGATACGTACCGTTCAGTTGCTGTATCTGCGACTTGAATTTTGTAACTTGAGTCTTTAGTGCATCCAATTCTGACTGGTATTCGATATTGAGCTGGGGTGAGTTCCTGATACTACGACCTCGAATGGCGTACTTTAATGTATTCAAAGTATCGGGTAAAGTAGATTCTGTTGGACCAACACAGGCCATCAGCAAAGTCTGGAAATTACCACCCAACGGATCTTTGAGTAATCGAGTAAGTTTCGAGTCATTGTATGGTATACTATTCCGTGATCGTGCGGTATCTTCGGCCAGCCTAGATATAACTTTGCCTAGTGCACTTAATCCTCCATCTTTCGAAGTTGTTTCAGAGGTACTGAAGGCTTGTAGACTTTCTGAGCCAGCCAGATCGACAAATAGAAATTTCGAGTTTATAATCTTCCAGTCTCCATTAGGTTGATTGGTTTTACTATCTTTTATACCGTCCAATTCAAAGCTCTGATGCCTTAAAGATATTTGAAATAGGGTATGGACTTGCGACACGTCATAATTCATCTCTGTTGCTACGGCTGCTCTATATTCAAGTCCGCTCATCAACAAGTTTAGGGCTTCCTGTAGCGTAGCGATTTCCACATCTTTTCCACCAATGCAATGCACAAGACCAGCAGCATCCTCTCGTAATTCGATATATTTTATCTGATCGGCTGGAGCAGTGATGGGCTTTCGATCATAAGGGCCTCTTGCTGGATAGTTGAGGAGATCTATTACTTGTTCATCATACAGCTGCATGAATGAACACGTCAACTTCACTTTGGAATCAGCGTTGGATGCTGGAAGACTTGAGAATAAATTACGTAGGATTCGGGGAGCTATGCCTATAGTGCCAGATAATTTTTTTGTTGAATTTCCATGTGTCAGTGGCTATGGTGTCCATAACATACCCTCTTTCGCCATTCGTGATGCAGTAGTAGTCGCGGAGACAGTTTCTTCGGATAATCCCAATGTAAAAGACTTTCCAGTGCCAGTCTATGCAGAGCAATGAAAGATCTCAGTAAAAACCATACACGTCGACACTAAAGATGTCCAAAAATCGAGACACATAGAGTTTTTGTACATACCCTTCCGTAAGCCATAATACAGCAATTCCTTCCTTCCAAGAATTGATTCAACATGTTCTTGGCACAAATATCATACACAGACTGCTGCGATGTAAATGTTGAAAAAGCTGTATCAAATGTGAATCTTTTCCTCTTGTCCACCACGATGTGAGACATTTCCGAGGCAGTGACAACCTCATTCTTCCAACGTTGAGAAAGCTGTTTCTCCTCTGCACTTGACGGTCTTATTCTCACGTTGACCTGTATCGGATTGCCAACACCGTCAGGCATCTTGGTGAAAGGCAGCTCGTGTACGTGATACCTAAACAATCTATATATGTAGAGTTAATAAAACTAGCTGCACGAGGCCCTTCACCTCTTCGTCCCCTCAAGAAAACTTGGGACCTTGAGTTATTATGAACTCCGACAATGTGACAATGTCGAGAAGTTTCGAAGCTGGAACTGAGTTGACGTTAAACGCTAATTGTACGCGTATTGTCTGGCCGTTTTTGGACGATGCACGCATATTCGCATAGTATGCACGACTACAAGCCTCACTGACAAGTGTAGTGATCACATCACTGTAGTTCTATGACGTGTCACTGGCAGCTTTAATGAATAAGAGCTACATTTATCTTTCAATCTTTCATATAATGCATAGTTTGACTGCTCCGTTTCTCCAGTAGCTTCTGAGACCTCCCCAAATCGTCACGCTATCTGTCTTCACTCAATGAACAGATTCCTTTCCTTGTGGAATTCCTGGATTCCTTCTGGTGGATATGAATTATAAAAGGTATGCTTCACTCCAAGAGCATCGACAAAGACTTGGCCTTCAGTCCATTCCTTGACTGGAAGTGGGACCCAGCTCGGTTTGTATTTGAGCATAATATGATAAACTTCAGGTGCTTTTGGGAGCTCAGAATCAACAGCTGATGCGAATGGATAGAACCTGAAAAATAACAGGTCAGCAAGGTATCAGAAGCAGCAAAGTGCAACACCTTGTCAGCTGATGGAAGATGGAGACAATCCAGAGCCGCAAGCAAAATCACACTGAATACAATTTAACGTCTTCATTTACCAATGGCCATAATCTGCACAGTAGCACCAGAGACAAGTAGAGCACACCTTGCAGGACCTGGTGTCAAGTGTCGTGATCAGAAACCGACCAAAAAACACTTGAAGGTGCAGCTTCATACTTTCGTTCATTTGTACCGCTTCCAGGGTGATCCGGAGGCTCTTCAATAGCCCAAGATGTGATGTACTCTTCACCAGTAATCTTCAGAGTGCCCGTTTCTCCTTGTATGTTGATAGCATAACTTCATAAACGAGCTTGTAAGCTTCGATTAATATTTAAATAAATCTTCAAAATCAGATCATACCCTCCACATCCTTGAAGCTTACGACAAAGCTAGGTAAAATTAAATGTGTTTGATGTCACAAGAAACAGAGGCTCCAGGACTATAAATGAACGCGTACGTTGCAATAACAATACATGTAAGGCACGGGGCAATGCGTATCGGCACTCCACTTTATTCGTTTGCACCTACATCATCAATGTTCAGTACAAAACACATTTCGTAACTCTCGAACCAGTCAGTCACCGAGCTCGTTGACATTCCCAGCTCGTGCACACTCTTACCTGCATGAGCCTTCGAGCTTTAGAGGCATCGTAGTATTGATAACGTTGTCTTGTCCAAAAGGTTGCGCCAAACGTCCAAAGAACAACTTTGCCACAGACGTGGCAGGGTAGTAAGTCGTTCAGGATATCTGATTGTTATATTTTATAGTATGCATCTTTAGACTTAAAGTACAATTTGTGCTACAGGATTGTGGTTACTGTGTCCACATACAAGGGAAACATTTTGACAACCCCCCAAAACATTTTGACAACCACCCAAAAGCATTCTTCTTGCCAAAAAAGCAACAAAACCTACTACGACTCCTACTGCCCACGTAATCTCTCACCCTACAAAGATTCCATCTCAGAAATAGCCCTCATCAATTTGTGCCAACCAGCTTCATCCAAATTCTTTACATCAATCTCGAAACCGTCTGGTCGTGGGCCCCCATGCCCAGCTTCCCAAAGCATAGTCAACGGGTTGATATTGAGACATTCACACAAGATACTTGTTATTTGACCTATAACGAAGCAAAATCGCAATTTAATTACCCCAATTGAACAAAGGATATATCTCTCAGCAACGTACGAACCCCCTTTGTCAGTATTGATAGCGTGTGTGAGACGGGCTACTCTTTCATCATGTACCTGGCCATACAATGCAGAAGGCGACGACGATGCCGAAAAGAGTCTCCATTCTTCACCAGCTGCAATAGAAGTTGATGGTATAGATTGTGTTGGCGCAAGCACCGATCTACCACCCGAAGAAGACGATTGATTGGCCGAAAAGAGATTTGATGGACCAGACGACAAGACAATATCATGCGGGCATGAGAGAGTTACATTCAAATTGGCCCGTGGCCCGCAAATAGACGACGACGGTTCGACTTTTATCGATGTTTCTGTAGCCATTACGCCGTTATACATGGACTGATGATATTGTGGTAGTTGCTGTGGTAAATACTGATGGTAACGTTGAGGTGGTGGTGGTATATGTGGCTGATGATGTTGTTCATGCAGAAAGGGATTCAAGGGCATATGAGCCATTTGAGAGACATGACTCATCGGAGGCAATGTAAGCGTAGGTGGTATATGTGTTGTGTGATTTAAGGGTAGCAATTGGTGCCCTCGGCTCCTTGGATCCATATAACGTGTTGGAGACACGGGATGAGACCAATCATTCATATATACCATCTGAAATGTCTGAGGTGTCTCAGACATGTGCCCAAGTTGTGGTACTGGACTCATAGGAGCCATCTGGCTCATTCGAGTTGCAGGAACCGGACTATGATCAGCTGCCATACCACTATAAACCGCTGAGGATTGTTGTGGTGGCATGCTCGTAGTATGATAATACTGCTGAGCATGTTCAGCGTTTTCATTGGGAATTTGCTGATGAGAGTTCTGAAGATGATTATTACTATGTGAAGTAGGGGCTGTCTCTTTTGATGGCATAGTACTAGTATGAGATTCTCGACTCGATACAGCCAAAGTAGTATTCGTTCGTTTCTTTTGACTACGAGCCCTTTTCTTGCTTTTGACGTGTTCATCGTCTTCATACTCTTGCTCGTCATCAGCATCCTCATCAAACTCGTCATAATATTGAGCAAATGGAGCTAAATTGTTATCGGATATTAAGCGAAACTATCCGTTTTGGCCAGCATTGAGATGTGATACTCACTTGAGTCAGAAGTATCCTCTTCTCCTTCTTCAACCTTGACCTTTTTGGATGCATGTTCTGATGATGATGACTTCCAATATACTAGGCCAACTTCTGACTTTTGACGTTCACCTCGCCCACGACGAGACTTTAATCTCGCAGCGATTCCTCCCGCACCATCATCGTCATATTCATAAAACATATAAAGATCAGCACTCTCATCCTCGTTATTACTCTTACTACTACTCTGCTGTCTAGTTGAGCGTCTCAATCGATAACGTCGAAGCTGTGATGCTTCACGTTTGATTCGTTCCTTGTCAGCCAGTTCGGAAGGATCAATTTCACGGCGGGCCCCTCCTTCTCCTAAAGTTTCAACAAACTTGATGAGAACCCTGACGAAACGATACAGAACGAATGTCGTCACAACATGATTCATACCTCCACCTGGGTATAGAGCTTTTGGATATTCCTCCAAGATCGTTCCTCGTGACCAACTACAAGAAGAATGTGTTAGACTTGCCTCGTGGATTAATCAGTTAAACACCAGCACATACCGAGCCCCACATCGGTTGCACAGCTTATCATATTCCCTAGGGCCACGCCTACGACACTCTGTTCTGTGTTTGGAACGGAATGTTAGCACAAATTCAAAAGATTATCAAGGAAAACTGACAGGTCACATACTCAAACACGCCACAATATGTGCAACGCCATTCACCAATCTTGGTTGGTAGGTATGGAGGTCCTTCATCATTAGCCAAGACCGGATCATCCTTCGCTAGTGCTGCATCCTGTTGCTTTCGTTGGTGCTCACTACCGTTTGAAAGGATGGAAGGCGATGAAGCCTGAGACGGCGGAGAAGTCTGTCTATGTGCACTGATGATGGCAACTGCTTTATCTCCTTGCTGGTGTTCTTCTTGGATCACATGAGCTTCCTGTAGCTGATTGTCGTGTTCATGATCTTCAAGATCAGAATCAGACGAGTCAGGAGGAAGCGACAAGACAGATTCTTCTTCAGAATCATAAATATGTGATGATTTGATTTGATCATGGGTGTTGTTTGATTGTGGTTGTTCTTGTTGGGTGCTCGATGTGGTGAGGTTGGAATGTTGATGGTTGTGAGTGCGTGAGTGAAGATTTTGATGATTCAAATGAATTTTATCATTATCTTGAATTGGACTTGATGGCGATGAGCCTGTCTCATGCATATCTCGGGGGCTTGATGCACACGTGTTTATATCTTATGAAATGCTGGAACTATTAGAAGCAGGGGAGAACGACAATGTTATTATTTGAGTCAATAGAAATATGATATATTGTAATGTATTCCATACGCACCTCGTGGATTGGTTCTTTAGTTTTTTGAATGTGTGGGAGTGTCTGCCATTGTACGTCATCGTTTCCGCGAAGAGTCTCGAAAACCGTCGATATTGTATTCAGAGTTAACATCTAAGTAAAGCGCAACTGCAAATTCGCAAGTTACTCACGTGAAAGTACCACATCTATTTTAGAGTTTACCAAATGCTATGCTACATAAAACATCTCAAAATACCAAAGAACGATGCCAACTGAGATGCTTCTACTACTACAACTACTACATGATGATTCTGTTAAATCACTTCCATCCCCAATCCCCATCATCGTCAAAGGATCCATCATCCTCTCCTTCGTCCTTCTCTCTCGATGATGCTGGAGTGGCAGCAGCCGCTCCATTCCGTGACAGCAACGCAGTTTCAGATGCAGTTGATAAGTTTCCATTACCACCCAATTTTTTAGCTGCTGCTCCAAGCTTCATTCCCCCTGTTTTACTACTATTCGATGATATACCGGGCTCCAGATCATCATTTTGCCCTGCTAATGGGGCCATGGCTACGTAATCACCACGTCCAGTGTCTGGATTATTGACTCCTACTGCTCTGCCCAGTGCAGACAACACACCACCTCCCGGTGCTGGCCGTCTCGCACCACCACGAGACCCAGTTTGTAACACTGGTGCATTATCATCATCGAAATCGTTAATTCCTACAGGAACATCTCCAGGTGATGTTGGGAAGTCTGGATCTGACCGTGACTTGGCGTATCCGGCACGCACTGGGCGGCGACACCACCATATTGCTACTGCTACAAATCCAATAAGGACTATTATTACAGCCTATTTGACAAATTATCAGAAGGTTCGTCAGTTAAAACACAACGAAAAATTTGAGTTGGAAACTCACAAATCCAGTGGCATTGTCTAAAATTCAAATAAAACAATGAGTTGCGGAGGATATAGAACATGACGATGTCCACACATGTCCAAACATTGCGTACCGTCACTATCAAGTCCTAACCAGTCGAAGTACGCTGGTGTCTCGCCATCCGAAGGCACAATATCATCATCTTCTTCAGTAGGGGTCGCCGAGTCAACTACTGGACTTGGTATCACTACTTTGGGCGATGGATTTATTATCACGATAGGTGCAGACGACGGTTCTGGCAGATCTTCATCGTCCGGATCTGCTTCTGGTGTAGTGCTCGGAGTTACGGCTGGTGTTGGCTCAACTCCTTTAACAGGAGTTTGCGCTATACTCGTTGCATTCGTAACTAATTTCGTTTTTGACGGCACTTCATCGGTTGCAGTACCAGTAGGGGCTATTGCACCGGTCTCAGTGCCTGTAGGTTTGACGACTTTGGCGGGAACAGCGCCAATAGTTTCTGATGTTAAATTGATGGATGACGAGACGGCCAATTCACTCCTGAGAAGCCAAACAACACCAGATCGTCCATAGAGTGTGGTGTTTCCTTTAGAAGCTTCGACACCACCTACACCAACCATCCAGCCAGCATTATGACCTTGTAGTGGATGGACTTGTAGCTCAGTGTATGTGTAAGTGGCATTAGGCGGTGATGTAGCAACTACAGCTGCATCAGGCATGGCTACTTCATACACATTTCTAATAGAGCCTGTACCAACAGACATTTCTACTATTGCTGGGCCTCCTACTGTATTGTTGGATTTTAGAGCTAGAGCTAATGCACCAGATTCTGCTGCATCGGCAGTAGTAATGGCAATCATTCCAGCTACGAATATCGATGTGCTTCCACCTATATTCGGTCCAACTTCGACACTGAGTGTTTGTCGAGACCGTGTTCCAACTAGTTTAGCATCAGCTGTATAGACATTGGGCGGTACTGCAAATGACCATCTTGGTAATCCATTAGGGTTAAAAGCTGCTACAAAGCGCCATAGACCTTTGGTATCTCCAGTTTTAGGTTCTGGTAATAACATATCTTGCAGCCCATTGGTATGATTATATAAACCAGAAACGACTGCGATACATGTACCGACTTCATACTGGGCTGCAGATTCCTTGTCTGGTAGAGGTGTTATACGGATTGTTACCAACTTGGATGCTTCAACTCCAATTGCATGTGGATCTATCGATCCCAGCAACGCTGAAACACCACCCCTGTATATGTAGGTTTCTTTGGCTCCAACATTCTCTACATGGAAAAAATGTCAATCAACACAAAATCCAAATTGTGTACGGTTGCTTCCTGTATAGAATTGCACTCACGAGTAACAGGGGCAGGAGACGTGATGGCGACACCATGGAAAGCAAATGTTCCATCAGGTTGCTTGTCATAGTAAGGCTCAAGCCGTATCAGGAAGGCTCTTACACCAGTGATTCGTTGCCCTGTAGTGTTATCTATGCGATACCGGTATCCAGTAACGACATATGTACCAACTCGTGGCCATCCCATTTGACTTTTGACATAAGATCTTGTACAGTTGTCCAAGCGAATATCAGTCAGTATGGTTACCTGTATACTATTATCGATGCTTCTTTTCGTGAATCTAGTATCTCGCCGTCTTAGCTTGTTACGACGCCTTTCTTCGTCGTCTGCGGTATCATTTACAGTATATTTAGCATCTATGTCTTCGTCGGCTTCACCATCATCAATTGCTCCTGGCAAATTTGAATTAGGTTGAGCTGATGCGGGCAGTGAAGCTGGAAGCAAGTCTTCGTCGGCTTTCTCTGCATCAGGATCGGCATCTAGAGCATTGCTCTTGTGATTTGGAGCCGATTTAATTAACGGTTCTTCTTCTTCTTCATCGTCGTCTTCTGCACTTGCAGCAGCGGCAAAACTTGTAGCAGGAGTAGGCTTTGGCTGACCGGGGATTTTGGGTATAGATGAGTTAGAAGCGTTGGCTGTCTCAGTGGATATAGGTGCTGTGGTTGCAGTTGATATCGATGAAGATACTGGGCTAGGGGCATCTAATGGAGGAGCTTCGACTACTGAAGCGACAGAAACAGAGGGCCCTGGAGTCCCTTTGGCTTTTGTTGGTGTTGATGCATCGGCTTCTATAGGGTTTGATTCATCGGTTTCCGTAGGTGTCGGTGCATCGGCCTCCAACTTGACGGCGATCCCATCAGCTTCAGATAGCAAATCATTTGGAAGATCCCATGTGCCTGGAACGACGTTATACATATCTGTTACAACAGCACCTTGGGATTTAACATCAAGCATCATAAAAAACGTTCCAAATTCATTTTCAGGACTATCGAGACATAGTTTAGTATGGGTCTTGGCAATCTGAAACGATGCCAATCGCTAGGTACCTGCTGTAGGATTTCTGAGCATGGAAGGTCCCATAGTATGAACCAACGACCAACAGATTTCCTGCACCTCCAATACCCGTTTGTTCCATATAGGTAGCTCCACACGACAGCATAACATTATCTTTTATCAGAGAAGCATTCTGCAGGACTGAGAATGTCTGCGCCCATTCGAATATACCCCTTTGATCCACTTGGGCAACAAACAGACTTGTTCCCTCATTTGCTACATGAGAACGAATGAGAACAGTATTACCACAACTAAGTATGTTGTTGCGAAGGCATACCTTGATAATGAAGGGGCTGATCGGCAGTGGGAAGTGATAGGTTGCCTTCAAAGAAGCCAACGACGATAGCCCCGTGAGCGTCCTGTCGAGGCAATACATCCACAATACGAGACGACGCCAAGACAGGAATGTTTACAGCCCATTCGTATGAAGCATTTGGAGAGGTTAACGGGCCGAATGCGGCGCCAAAGATGGAGTCTGATTATAGATTGTGTTATAAGCTCCGACAATTCTACAGGGGATTTAGCAAAGGTAAGGGGAGGAACTTACTATCCGAGGTGGTAGATAGCGTGTGCTCTGTGCCATTCACCGTCACAGCAGCAGCTCCTTGTAAAACTGAGCCTCCTAGGTACACTTGTCTAGAGAGTAAAATATAGTCCAGTTTGATGTCGGGAATGTACAAATACACCCAGATATCGTACCCATTGTCAAACAGAGTAGATTCGGCAGTTTTAATAACGACGTTTCCATATGAGTCGTTGGCTCCTTGGGACCGTATCGTAGCAAAAGCAACAACCTCGCTTTTCACCAATGAATCCAAACTAGCTGCTAGTGGGATAAACAGGGCTGCCCATATAAGGCCCAGACTCCTTTCTATGAGCATCTTCATCAAGCAGCCCAATGCCGGACTTGTAAATTAAGGGGGAGCTTCGTTTTGCTGTATCTGCAAACTTTCGTTAAAGGACAAAACAAATGAACAACGGTGGCAGTGAAGACAAATAGATACATCCTAGCAAATAGTGTTTTTTGCCGTGTTTATTGACTCTCGACGCCATTAATTGACATTACTATCCCTAATGAACGAAATATTCAAGCTGCCGAGTTTGTCGAGCCTCCGAGAGGCACGCAGGATGTAGTAAACCTGATGCAGGCGTCTGTGGCATCTCATAGTCTTAGATGCCACGAAATTGAAAAGTTTGGCCGGTCCATCCTCTGTTGATTGCAGATCATGAAGCTCTTGAGACAATAACAGCACTGGAACTTGATAGAAGAGGAACAACACCTGAAGTGAGCAAAGTTCGAGTCAAGTAGCCTAGCCGAGGCCCACGTCTTCCTATTTGGACTCGATTCGTGGATTGACTTGCTCTTTATGTCCGGTGTGAAGCTGGAACCCATCATTGAAACAACAGCCAAGGTGCAATCTTGACTGGCAGTAAAACCAAGCAGCCCCATTCCTTCGTAGTTGGCCTTACGGCCTTACTGAAGATCTTGATCTCGTTTCATTTTTTGAATTGAACTTAATCAGTTGATTGACCTGCAGGGAACTTGTTGCAAGAAATCGGAACATTTTCTCATTGACCCAAAAAAGACGCACCTGTCACAAACTCACACAGACACACACGACGCAAAAATGGAATACCATCCCTTGCTACGACCCTACCATTCCGATACGTCACTAGCCACAAATCCACTACAACTTGATTCATCGTCCAACAACCATGCCCACCTTTTCCCAGCTCAATCTGAACCGATTTTGTCGTCACGAGTGGAAGAAGATATTGTCACTTATCAGCACTTGATTTCCGCTTCTGAAGCTCTCGAGGCTATCGTCGCTGAAGGAGCTTTGGTTGGTGTGAGCTCGTCATGTTTGCGAGCATTGCGAGCTGCAGCTGGACAGCTCAGAGATGGTGACTCGAAGGGTGCTGATGATGAAAAGGTGCTCAAAATTGTATATGGAACCATGAAATGTGAGTGCGGTTAGATGTCTTTGACGATGACCATAGGTGGAGTATGACGATGAATTTTGCAACAGATCTACACTATATCGACATCATACTGGTCAAGACGCAGTTCCTCGTCTACTATCCAGACTTTTTGTCTCACTTGGGACTAGTCAAGATTGTCATGTACCTCCATTTGCAAACACATTTCGACCCGCTACGATGGACACGATTCGTTACTTCACCTACCATTACTGCCGACCAGAGCGATCTCATTGGCAACTTGGAAGAAGCTGTCAAGATTCATAGGATAAAGCTGGGTGCTGCTCTAGCTAGACTTCGTATCGAAAAGAGGGCAGTGGGAGAGACCGTTCGTGATCAAGTCGAAGCCTTACTGCCATTTGAATTACGAATGCGAGAGAGTGTTTCAGGTTTGTGCATTTTATGATAAGCAAAAAAGGACTGGGGCTGATACATTGATTTCGTTATAGTTGGAATGCCAAAATATGTTCGTGTCAATCTGTTAAAGACGACACCTACCAAAGTAGCAGACTTGTTACGAAAAGCCGGATTCCATGTAGATTTATCGCAGAAGGATGTGTCAGCTGAAAGGTGGGTTAGAGAAGACCACCGTCGTGTGCCCCTGCGGTAAACTGACCTTTTTATCTTACTAGTCCCGATACAATTGTCGGAGACTCCCAATTTGATGACTTGCTGATAGTACCTGCCACTGTATTCAACGATCTCAAAGCGCACGAAATCATGACTGATGGACTACTAATCTTCCAGGTAACCAATAGTAAAAAAATATTGACAATTTATGAACGTACTCATAAGATAAATGAAAACTTAGGACAAGGCAAGTGCATTCGCACCACGACAACTAGCATCTCTACTACACAAGTCAGGAGCTCATATCATTGATGCACGTGCTGGATGTGGAACTCGAGTGACACACTTGGCAGCCTTGACAAAGGACAAGCATCGTATATTTGCTTTTGAATCACGAGCTGTGCGAAATGCTACGCTGAGGGTTAGGCTAGAAGCTCAAGGAGTTAAAAGTATGTAGAATGAGATAGAGACTGTGCGAGAGTGTATTATGCAACAAAAAAGAAGCTAACATGGTACTCATTCTAGGTGTAGAAGTAGTCGAAGACGATTTCATGTCTGTTAATGTTAAGGATCCCAAATACGAGAAGGTAGGACAACGCAAGCAATAATTCGGCTCTGAGCCTTTCGGAATAGTTTTCTGATACTCTTTTTCTTCAGGTCAGCACCATAATCTGCGAGCCAGCATGTTCTGGATCCGCAATTGTAGATAAATTAGGATACATGTTGCAGGAAGAAGGTAACAGAAGGATGTTTTGAGCGCACTATACACGTTTTGTGTTGCCTACAACAACTTCTCTATTATTAGAATTTCCTGCTGACAGATACTCAAAGAAAGACATGGTCGGATTCAAACGACAGCAGTATCTCATGTTGAGGAAAGCTTCCCAATGTAAGTCACGCAATAGATCTATTTTACTGACAATTTGCAATTTACTCACAACTTTTGCAAACTAGTTCCAAACGTCCGGAACATTGTGTATGTGACAAGGACAACCAGACGAGAAGAGAACGATGGTGTTGTGGAAGAGTTTTTGGATATGGCTGGTGGTCGATGGAAGGTTTCACCAGTTCTTTCTGCGCTGAATGCATCGTCAGAAGGTTTGTTCGACAAAAGCGGAATTGTCTCTACTTTGATCTTTTTCGCCTTACGTCTTATTCCCTCCAGAATCACCATTCCTGGAAAAAATCCCCTCAGCATCCGGCAACGGCATATTTGTCGCGTCATTCACCAAATGCGTCATTCCAATCGACCACACAAACGAAATGGACGGAATCGATGTCTCGTTCGGAATTTCACCTGCCGCAGACATGACTGCATCCCTCCAACATTTGAATGTTTCTGGCACCAACAAGAAGCGACGTGTCAAGAAATCCCGCAATTCAGTCGACTCGCTCAATTCATCCAAGCGACCATCCGTTTTGACGAAATCGCAGTTGAAAGCTTCGGTGGAACGATTATCGTCGACGACGAAGCAAGTGAAATCATCTTCGAATTCCAATCGTGCGTCCCAAATCGCTAAGAAGGCTTCGCAGCAATCAGAGGACGATGATGACAAGGATGGTGATGCCGAAGACAAGGATGAAGAGGCTAAAGGTGACGAAGAGGACGACCAACATCAGTTCGACTATGGATTGGACTTTGTTATTCTGGGTGTCAGTTTGAAAGAGTTTTATGCACCTAAAGCGGAAGCTTTGACTGTCCTTGCTCGAAAACAGCCGTTTAGGTGGTCATACCCAGTAAGTTCTTCATTGAACTTCCTTTAAGCGGTAATGGAAAACTAATTTCTGTTTGTCATCTGCAGGTGCCAAACCCAATGCCATGGAAGTAAAACCAAATCTCGTGTAGTGAATAGTAAATACCCAAGTATAAAGATGAAATAAAGTTTGTTTGAGTGCAACTTCAAAATAACAACAGCTTTTCGTAACAGTTTGCTTTCTCCTCGCCGAGCCTTGCTTTATTTTATACATCCCTTTATTTCTCCATGCGAGTTGCTGTAAAATGCGATTTCATAATAAATTATTTTTATCTGTTGATGCTATCTCCATCCACGACTAGCTCGTCGCGACGTAGAACCCTTCTTCTGCAAATCCTCATATCCATCACTACGTCGACGATTATCAAATGTCGCCTGTCGCGACCTAAACTCGTCTAATAAACGATCAGCTTCTTCTAAAGCTGTTGCTTGTGGTACTGCTGCTACTGCTGTTGCTGCTCCATTAACCTCACTGTTGTTACTACCGATACGTTTGAGGGAAGGTGACGTCCCATCTGCAACAACACCTTCCTCTGCTCGACGTTTACGTGATGATGATGGCGTTGCAAACATGGGTGCTGGACTCCTATCACCCTTCCTCGTTACTATGGGTTTGGCAGGTCCATACTGATGTCCATTCACTACAGCACTAGCAGCTGGTGGTTTTATAAGAGGTATGGACTGATGCCATGTAGCCATGAGGGATTCAGTGTGTGTTTCAAACAGTCGAGTGGCCAATGGTGTGAATTTCGTAAATGTTAAAGCGGGATGGGCGTCTAGTAGGCCATCTAGACAATCGAGAGCTGCATTCATCATGCTCTGAAATACGGTTCCTATTTGGAGCGGTTTTCCTAACGCGAAAAAATCACTAGCTTAGAATGTAACAATGACAAGAAATGCACTTTCTAGTACCTTGACTCCGACCGACTTCAGACTCGAATCGTTCAAAAACAATACGAGCTGACGTGACAAGATGAAGCGAATTCCCAGGCAGATGCTGTACAAATGCCTCAACTAGAGCTATGTACATATCGCGAATTGTTCTGCGAAAAAAACGTCGCAAGATCAATATCCGTGTCACCCAATCAATGTGCGCATATCCACACTTACTCAAAATTACCATCTTGCCTTTGACTTTCTGGAATGACCAACGTAGGAATAAACAATGGCTTCATGCTCTCTTCTAAACGAGCCAGAGTATGCGGTGCATTCCAATCTATAGGTGGCGCATTCACACCATCAGCAAATTCGAGTGCCGGCCATGCCAAAAGCTTAATGGTAGGCTCATAGAGTGGCCCTACTATGCAGAATATACGATGGTTGTGAATCTGCGTCAGAATCGAGACAGCAGCCAGATTTGCATTCATTGATGTGGCTAGCGCAAAAAAAGGTTGTTGGGCAATTTTCAAGACATGGTTCTGAGAAACTCGGCATGTGCCGTTTCATATATCTTACCCAGCGGTAGTTTCATTTCACGTTCGACTGTATGTAAACGACTCTCAAAACTTATGTCCGTTTCCTGTTTGATTTCTAAGACGAGAAAAAATCCCAAGTTATTCAATGACACAACATCCGCCAATAGACGGTGGATAACTCACGCTGCTCAAGATGCCTCTGAACTCCACCAGCAACAAAAGCATGTTCACTCAACCACTTGACACCATCCTCCAAAGCCTGTTCCAATTCATCAAACTGAAACGATTCCCATCGCCATAGACTTGGTGCATTCAACGATATGACTTCAAGTTGCATAATTCCATATTCTTGCAGTTTGTTTAAGCCAAGATTTCGTGTAGCACTAGCCAGAGAAAACTGATCCTCTACAGTAGAATCTACCCATCGGATCAAGAGTAGCGGAATCGATGTCCGACGAGGAAGATGAGATGCGAAAGCATGCAAACGAGATCTCTCTTCTTGCCAATATGATTCGAGAGACGATCCTGCACTAGGTAGCGACATTACGAATATGGCGGCACTTGATCCCGATAGATTCGATTCAAAATTATCCTATACATGGCATTTTTTGAAGGAGTATTAACTATGTGTTTGGGTCCAATTCCATGTGCTAAAGAGGAGACGTCTCACCAATTGGGTTTCTAGTAGTGTCGGTGATTCATCAACAGCAACCACCAACATGATGGCCTGTTCACCACCAATCAGAGCTTCATCTCGAAGAAGATATTCTAGACCTCGAGCCTTATCTTTACCGCCACCCAATTTATATCTTAAGAAGGTATTGGCAAACCAGCCACTTTTATCATGCTGCACCAAAGGATGAGCCACTTTGGCAGCAGGCATAGACACGACGAATTTCACTAGCCATAAATCGTCGTCCGAGAGAGGATATGCATCTGGAATGGTGCGTTTATGACGACCGAGATAGACCAATTCCAATAGCGGGAGTGGACGCATTGCTCGTTCCTCTGCTTGTTTGGCTACCATGACAGATTGAGCTACATGATTCACACCTTGACCGTCATTCGAGGCTAAGAAGCTATTACCCGATTTACGACGAGGATTCGGTCCCATGACACCATTCGGTATAGTGGCAGCAGCATTCAGCATGAAGTCAACATGCTTCTTTTGTTCTTCAAGCAGCCGTTGACGTTCATCCCGAGCAATTCGTTCCTGCTCGTCCCACCGTTGTTGAGCTCGTGTCGCCCAAAAGGTAAAAGCACTTTGTTGGATTTGCAGGTTTCTATATAATGGAACGACCTCTTCCAATATAGCATCACGTACTACCAAATCAATCATTCGACTGGCAACGACATCTACTACACGAGCGGCCTGTTTTAACTGATTCACAACCTGGCTTACCACGGTAGTTGCTTCTGACTGGATTACTTCATCAACGAGATGCTGAATTATAGCCGAAGCAGCATTAGACTGAGTATTAAAGTGATTCCGTTGTTGTGATACTGTCTCATTAGCAATATCCTTGGCAAAGTCAGACATCATGCCTTCGAATACCGTGTTGATGACACTACTGGGTATGTTACATTTCACTGGTGCAGGTGGTGGCTGAGTTTGTTGTGTGAGGGACGGTGGTTGAAAGAAGTTCGATGGCAGCGACGCCATTGGGTTTGATACTGGCACCGGAGGATTGGAAGCTGCCGGTTCGCTTAAAAACGAGAATCCTGATACTGTAGGTGATTTCACGTTGGCAGCGGTAATAGAAGCACCTGACGTTTCTTTATTTGCATTAGGAGCAGATAGAAACGAGAATCCTGATGTTGGCACCTGCCGATTACTTGCAAACGCTGATTGAATTTGCTGTTGTGGCTGCTGTATTTGTTGCTGCGATTGTGTAAAAGCAGACATTCCTGGTAGCCCGAAAGACGTTCGATTATCTAAACCCAGACTATTTTTAACAGGTGATGTCGTCGGTATGCCCAGTGACATGATTCCAGTAGCCTTATTGAATAATGTACCTGGAGCAGATACTGGAGATCTGGGTGATACGGGCGAAGCAATAGGCTCATTCTTTATGATTGACGGTGTCGGCCTTGTTGGCACACTGATAATTGGCCTGTTACCCTCAAGATCCAATCCTTCTATGAGATCAACCAGATCGATTGATTGGATCATGGGTCTGATAATCCGCAGAGATTGTCGAGGGATTGCTGGCAATGTGGCCTCTTCACTAAAGGCACCAGAGCTTCTAGTCCTTTTCGTAGATCCCGGCCGTTGAGCAAACCTAAATCCCATCTCGGCTCTAGCTATACCAGATTCATCTAAAACTACAGGGATCTTGTGAAGCGTTAAATCCTTTATAGCGTCGTCTTCATCGTCATATCCCAATAAATCGACCAGATCAAATACATGTATATGTTCTGGATAAAAGACTTCTTGCATGGCTTTCAAGGCACCTCTCCGAATTTCAGGAAAGAATTGCCATACTAGAGTTGCGACGAGTACTGGAGTTGTTGGTTCACTTAATATTTTAAAGATACTAGTATAGGCATGCTGAGCACCTTCGGATGAATTGCTCTGCTTGCGAAACAAGCCGAGACCACGTTGAGCAGCTGCTTGGATTTTTATTGCCAGTCTCATTATCGGTGCTTCGAGAATGGGCAGAGGTAAATGATCAATAGCCGTCTTGTCGTTTTCATACAAGTGGGCCAAGATGTAATAGGCACGGAATTCGGCTTCGTTCGGCGATACGATCCCAATTTCATTACGATCATTGTAAAAGTCATGCAGTGACCGAAGTGCTAAGAAGAAAAGAAAAATTAGATTGTGACTTCAAGGCCAAAGAAAACGTAGTGACAGCGAGAGCAAACATCGGTGACTACCGGTACTCACTCTTTCTCATCTCATCAGTTTCCTGCTTGTAACTAAACATATCTGAAGTATGACACTCGTGAGCAAACAGGATGTGCATCCGAGCAATTTTCTCATGTGCTTCTACTGCTTCAGGCCCACTGTAGCTCTGCAGAGTAAAATCATTACGAATGGCTCTTGTTCGATCCCAGCAAAAATAATATGGACCAACTAGACCATTTTCGGCGATAACATCATGGATGAGGAATTCCAACGAACGCTAGAATTATTAGGAAATTGTGAGAAGAGAAAAAAAGGACTTCGACAAACAAAAATGGCTTACAATAAGAGCTGCTGGTGTTCTCACGTCACATGGCAACACTTGAGCATCACCAGCTGCTGATCTCTTGAATCTCTTGACCATTCTCGAATGGTCTGTGATGTCTGTACCAGGAACCTACAACGATCAGACATCAGTTAATAAAAACTAAGCACGAACAAAAAAAATTAGGGTTAGCTTACTCGTTCAAATCGAAATACATCTCCACTCTGCGACTCTCTTTCGAATCTCTCGTATTCCGGACAGTAATCTTCGCATTCTCCGATAAGAGTAACGGCATCTGATAGATTCACTTTGGCAGTATCATCATGAATCTTTCCAGCTCGAATGTAAGCCTTTCTCAGTGCTTCACGTTGACCCTTGAGCTATTCTCGTTGAAAAACGATCCTTTTTAGCTTCAATCTTTTTTGAAGGAATTTCAAAATCACAGACCTCCGCAATCTTGATTACAGCTTGTTCCTTCCTCTGCTCTGGCGTTAAATTATAGTTGATTGGCATGACCCCCCTGCGAAAAAAATACAGTTCAACCGTGGAACACCACATCATCATCATTGGTAAGGTCATTTACGTACAAGGATGCTCTCGGACTTGGAGCAGATGCTCTTCGTACAGGTCGCACATGAGGTTCAGGCCGAATCGTGTTCACTGACACACGAGTTCGAGGAGTCGTTGCAGCCGGACGTACGGCATTCTGCTGAGGTACGATTCCTGTAACTGCCTGCGAATATAATTTTGAAAGACCTATTCCAGCACCTGGCCGTGGATGTGCATTATTTACAGTTGCGCCGGGTGTCGGCCAATCGAACGCACTAGCTTGAGGTTTTACAGGCTGTCCGAAGCTAGATGTAGGTACTGCAGAGTCACTCGGTATTAGACCAAGAGCTTCAGTCAACACTTCGGTTGGTATAGGTTCTAGTTGTATGTGATATTTGTCGGTCAGTTTTCTTTTACGTGCGTTCTAGGTCAAAGGAGGGCACACGTACTTGGTACACTGCTACTAGGATTCCGTAATGTTCTATTTTGGAAGGTAGCGCGTCCTCTACCTCTCTGGGTCAAATGTGATGTTGACTTAGCGATTCCATCAGCAGGCGAAGATGAGGAAGCTCCACGTCCTAATATTCCGCCACGTCCTCTCATGAAAGTAGAGTTTGCTACACCTCGAGTAGTCCCTCTACTTGCAATCAGGCTTCCAACAAATGATCCTCGATTTGCATTTCCAAATGATGAAGACAGTATTGGTGCTGACGTGCTAGACTGACTCGTTCCAGCCTAAGAAATTAATTTGTCAGAGGTTTGTATTGTTTAGAAGCCGTGAATATCGAATTCAACAAGAAAAAGGAGTCGTTCGAAACTTGGTTCAAAGCACACATTTCCTGCATCGCCCATTGCAGAGTTATTCATGAAAGCAGAGTTCCCTGGCTGCGATTGCTGCTGCTGCTGCTGCTGAGACCGAGAACGGTCTTCTCCTGCCTCCCATTCCATCTTGGATGTGCCTCCTCAAGGGACATTAGTTGCTTTATGAAACTGGATGTCGAGCGAACGTTGCGAGATTCCAGAATGAAACACCACAAACAATCATCAATTTATGTTATAAATGTGTACATCAAAAAGGTCTATTCTTCGTCTCGTTTACTTTCTTTGGAAGATGCACCGCGCAGTTTGCGAGGAGGTGACTTGGTCTCTTCTTCGTGATCGTCGTCCTCATCGTCATCGTCTTCCTCAGATACGGCTGGGTCCTTTCCTTTGCGGCTTGCAGCAGTCTCCTTCTTGTTGACCTTGGCCTTCACCATTTGTGTGTTAGTCTTTTCGAGTTCCTAGTGTTTGAACGACCAGAAGCATGAATCGCATAATTCTCATGTGCCTAATTTCTGTTTACAACAGTTTTGACGGTGTCATCAAGGACTGTAATAGGGAACAAGCCCTCTGCGTCTTAAATATACATTTGTGTGTATCTGTAGCACACTAAACAACTTTCTCAGAGTATCAATGTCACTAAATATGCATTCACCTTGCTACAAAAGCCTGTCAACTCAAAGAAATCCCTTTGCTGCAAGTTCTCGCCACCAAACCATCGTTACTCCCAAACTAACATCGACGTACAAATCTGTAAGTACACTACAAAGTTCCACCACAGATGATGTAGATTTTTTTATCTATTAGTAATGTTCTGTAACTGGCATCAAGAGTATGATGAATATATTTACATCTATTAGTGTATTCTGTAAGCCCATATTCAGAGTCACGGCTGCATACAACCTCTAGCATCAGTGAATCAGTAATATTACAATTCCCTGATATCCTTGACCTGACATTTACACTCGGCACCCTTTTGGATGACAAGTAATAACTCACTCGCACTGCCTCACACTCTTATCAAGATCTTACGATTGACAATCAGCCGAAGAGCCACGGTAAAGACTAGTGACACGACATATATCGTACCAACGTAGTAGATTGCTGGCAGGTACGACTCGTACTTATTAGACGGTCCAGTGTAATCGATAATGGCACCAAATATTGGAGCAGATGCAAACTCTCCAATAAACCATGGCGTAAATAACAGTCCCATGAGCTAGTGACGTTCCAATTCAGCGCAAAACTCCGAATTGTTAAATACGACGAGAAAGCTGGCAGCATACCTGAGCGATATTGTCAGCTCCAAAGACGCTAGTTCCAACATTGAAGAATAACGATATGAGGCCTCCAGAGCACAACCCAGATATCAATACAAACGCCGTGAAAATTTCTCGAGTCCTACTTAATGGCCATAGAATGAAGGTGGAAAGTGATGACCCGAAAACGGCTATAGTGAAGCTATTCAGAGGCCCGAGACGGCTATCAGCTAACAGCCCACCAGATACTTAACAAAAAAAAGTTGGAAAAAGATCAAACCGAGAATTGGAATGTTAGTAAAATTGATCAAAGTAGCTTACCCCTGCCAATCGTAGAACCCACGTTGAACAGGGAAAGCATGAAAGCTCCCTCGGTTTCTGTCATGTTCAAGGTGGATGAGAACTCTGGAATGTAAAAGTATCTAAAGCGAGAAAATGATATGTTGCGAGACTGTTGGATTTCAAATTGTGAGCAGCGATTCGAAGCTTACGGCACTAAAAATGCAAAATTCATTATGAATCCCGCAACAGACAGCATTCCGAATCTCCAGTTGAGAATCTTGCTGGATGGAAGCTTGCTTCCCTTTTGAGAGGCTGCTATGGGAGCTTCTTTGACGCAAGCAATTGCAATCAAAAGAATTACTACAGACAAAAAAATGAGGATGATGATAACAACAGGATTTGCATGGATTCTGCACATACAACCAGTAGTTAGAGCCAATATTCTAAAAGCCCACGCCGTCCCGAATGCGTATATCAGCTTTGCTACCACAATGGACCAAATTACACCTCCTAGGCCTGAGCCAGCAGTACCCAGGCCAAGAGCTAGGCCCAATCGCACATTAAACCAGCTTGATACGGCCGACACTGATGGCAAGTCTAAGAAGCTTCCACCGATTCCTCCAATGATGCCGTATGTCAATACTAGCTCCCATACAGTGGTAGCAAACGAGCTCAAAACAAGACTGCTAACGAATAAAAATAGCCCTATAAGCATGGTAGGCCGATATCCTATTCTCTCAGCGAGTATGCCCGTAAAGTAGCCCACGATTTGAATCATGGCCGATTGTACAGTTCCAATCATTGAGAGAGCACTAAAAAAGTCGTTTTAAAGTTGAGATCATGATTTGCCTAGACCAACTGATCTATTCCCAATGAACAAATGGCTGTCGTCCAGACAATTTTTACCTGTTGTCAGCAAGACCTTCAGCTAAATAGTAGCGTTGGAAGACGCCGAATGCGAATGTCACGCCTACAAGAGCAAAGTAGACTAGAAAACATCCCAAGCAACAGATCCAAGCTCTCGGAGAGTCCAAATACGATGTGTCGTCGTGGATCTAGTGAAAGCAATGATGGTCAAAACAGGGCATGTAATCAAGGTAGAACAAATGGAAAGCAAGCCAAAACATGTATGAAAGATGACTTACGATCAGCGATTCCTTCTTCATGTCCTGCAAATCAGGGATGACGACTTCTTCCTCGTTATTATTGTTGTTGCTGGGTTGCCTTTCTGATTCTCCCAGATCCCTCTCGTTCACTACAGCCTCGAGCATCCTCCTCTGATCACCAGCGACTACAAAGCAAGACTCTGTCACGCCCTCCGCAGTATACTGGATGTTTGGATTTTGTAATTGCTGATGACTTTTCTTTTTTTCGGCAAAAAGTGATCTAGTCATCGAATACAGAATGCAACGGTTAGCCGTCAGATTCGACTACAGAACCATAAAAGCTGTGCAAGACTATACGCGTCGGTTATCTGCAACACGCGCAGATCCTGTGTGTTTTGCGCCGGTTTGGCTCAAGTAAAGAAGTAGAGGCCGGCGAAAGTCGCACGAACTTGCATGAAATGGATCAGATCTCGTGCATATAATTACACGAAAGCAGAAAATCGCGTCTTTTACCTTGGGCATCTACGGTGCAACGACTCGATTCGAACTCGCTTCACAACAACAGTTAACCAAACAGCAAGGACACGATGAGCTTGAAGCTGAGAGTACTCCTAGCTGTCAGGCGATCTTTTGCTACTCAGATTGAGCAGCCACAATCCGGCCTCGCTCAAATAGGTATGGTGATGTTCTTGGGTAACGAGCTTTTGGAAGAAGAGAGTGAAGAGACTATCGGTTTGCTGAGGCCTTCACCTTTTAGGTCCCTTGGCCGAGTATCAACGGAGAATCGCCATTAATCTTATGAAGCCAAATGAGGCCCAGTTTCTCTCGATCGTCAAGGTTGACATCAACACCAGTTTTCAACACGAGCTTCACGGTGCTGTTTCAACACCCGTTGCAACATCAAATGCTAAAACACAGTTGTTTGTTACGTTAGCTTCAAAGATTGACCGAGGATCTGTTGGATTATCAACCTCCTGTAGTCATAAGGCCATATTCAAACAAGGTAAGCCTCCCAAGTGAGAAGACTGCGAGAAACGAGCTATGTCAACAAAGAATCTCACATTTTCCTTGGCTAGTCCAAGGCTATTGCAATGACTGGTGATGCACCGCCTACAGAACCCAACTCTGATGCCCGATCGATGATTCCCATCATAACGGATGATACAACTGAAGTCATTGGCCCAACTGGGCTCTGGATTCATGGTGAAGTCGGGTAAGCCCAAGAACCTCAACTGCCGCCTAGCAATGCCGTCGTCGCATATCTTGAACTGTCTTTTTCTTAGGACGGGCAAAACACTCTGCATGGACATGTTTTACGACTCGTTGCCTATCGAAAAAAAGAGGCGAATACACTTCCACAACTTCATGTTGGATGCCTACAGACGTATCAACGAATGGCAGAATCACCCCGATCCGTCTGTCCGGTCTTCTCATGTCATGAGTCATGTAGCTAGGGACTTTGTTGGAGAGTCGTGGCTGCTCTGTTTTGATGAATTCCAAGTAACGGATATCGCAACGGCTACCGTGGTGCGGCAGCTGTTTACCCACATGTTTAAATTGGGAGCTGTGGTGGTCGCAACCAGTAATAGAGCTCCCGATGAGTTATATAAGGGAGGGTTTCAACGCGAGCACTATGCTCCGTTCATAGATTTGCTCAATGATAGATGTGAGGTCCTGAACCTGAAGAGCAAAGAAGATTATAGGGAGATGATGTTGAAGGAATCCCCTGTCAGTGCTGAACTAGATGTGTATTATAGGAGAGACGATCCCGACCAGGCCAAAGCATTCGTGCAGAGAGTCTCCAAGCTGTTTTATGGACTCGAGTGTAAGAATACTGATTTCAAAGTGAACCCATTCTCATCGTGACTTAATTCAACTCGATTTGATAGTGACGAAGGCTGAATTTAATATTTATGGCAGAACTGTCGTCGTGCCAAAGCAAGCAAAAGGCCTGGCTCTTTTGACTTTTGATGAGCTATGTGGACAGCCTTTGGGGCCCGCAGATTACCTTCAGCTCTGCTCTTTGTACCACACCATCGTTCTTCAATCAGTGCCTAGAATGGGTCTATTGCAGAAAAATGAGGCAAGAAGGTTTATTACTTTCATTGATGCTGCCTACGAAAACAAGGTTTGCAAATTTAAGTCGAAATAAGTTTGGTTTCTTCAGCTTCACCAATATTCCTTCTAGGTCAAACTTATTTTATCAGCAGACGAAGACCCAGAAAATCTTTTCAATATTGTCGCCGATCCTGCCGCAGAAGAAGATAGCGACACATTCATGCATCGAGAAATGATGGGAGATTTGATGGGGTTGACAAAGAGGGGGAAGAGAATGAACAGTCACGACATCATGAAGGTACGATAAAGGTCGATAATACAAACCGTGTGGTATCTCACGTGCAATGATTATACTAGTTGGCCATCTTTACTGGTGCTGATGAGCGATTCTCCTTCGCTCGTGCTGTATCCAGGCTGCGAGAGATGCGCTCATCATTATGGGCGTTACAGGAACACTCACCGCAACACGTAAATAATGAAGCATCTCCTCAATATTCAAAACCCGCCACAACATCACCGAATTCACCTGCCACATCAGCAGCCAGCAGTGAGCCAACAATAGAACCTTCCGAATACCACACACTCAACCATCATTCTCAGTCAGATGATTTTGGAGACGAAGCTAGTTACAGAGGACTGATTAAACAATACGCTCGATTTAATAGCCAGACATCGTTAGCTGATACCGTCAGGAATGCAATTAATGAGAAAATGTCTGAAAGAAATGCAGACAAGCCGAAATTCAAGGATCCACACTTTTGGGGAATGGGTAAATGGGGGAAACGAGCTGGGATATGGGGAATTGGGCCTACAAGTGGGGAAGATGCAAATAAGACGGATACGTATCTGGCAGAACGTGAAGATAGAGACAAGTCTGATGCTGAAGCTGATGCGAAAAAGAAGAACTCATAGAGTACTATATAAAATACACGTAATTATTAGCATACACTGGGTGTCTGATCACAGTTCAAGCTTTGCGTGCTCAGGTTGATTTTGCAAACTTGCAACGCGCAGGCAAAACGAACAAAGTGATTCCATCATGGAATTCTACGAATTGTCTCGATATACCTTGCTGTCCAAAACGGTTGTTGATAGTTCCTTTGATCGCGTTGAACATCTGTTGGCAAAAAACAAAACGTTTTGAAGAAAAGAACTAGGCAATCGCTTCTTGGACAAGATGCACTACCTCATCGGAGACCAGTCAGGCCTGATCAAAAGTACGACACTCGCTCTCCAATTATCTATTCTTGTTACATCAGTGAAGCTTACCAACTTTTTTTTCTTCGGTTTTCAGACGTCGAGATCCCACAAGCACCCTCTAAATCAGTCAAAAGGAAACGAGACGATAAAGGCGAGCCAATAAAACCAGCTCCCATCGTCCAAGTCTGGGGTCCACTAGACAAAAATGCATCTGTCGATCAAATCACTTGGTGTGTTGAAGGAGGAAGTCGTTCTGATCAAGTGAGTTTAGAAGATATCCAGAGCAAGCACGTTGCATATTTTGGGTGTTTACTTGATACACTTGTAGTTCCTGGTGGCGAGAAGAGGTGGTCGTGTATCTAGAATGTCGAGTCAGACTGGACAAGTGCTGGAATCGTTTGCTACTTTTCAGCCTAGTTTGGATGAAAAGGGACAGTTGAAGCTCAATAAGCATCGTCAGCCGGATCGCATTATTGGGATATCGCATGAGGACGGGTACGCAAACTATACTATCATTGAGGACTGGTCTTTTTGTTAGGTTTGACACTCTTTTCTGAACTAGATCGATACTCAGTTGTTCAAATACCGGTCTGGTGCATCTAAATCGTATATCCTCTAAAACTGACACGACCAGCGAGGTGAGAAGTGAACAACGGACAAAGGCTTACGTGCCAAAAGAAAGGACCTCTAACAGTATGATTACAAGGACTTTTCGGCTTCGTTGAATCAAGACATGCTGTTTCGAATGAGGACGTCACCGTCGAATATGAACTTGTTTGCTACTGGAGGTGACGAACGAGATTTATGTATATGGGATTTGAATAACATGCAGAAAGAAGGAGCTACCATTGAGCCCATATTTAAGGCAAAAAATGTAGGCAACGGGCTTTTGGTATCATTGGTGGTTCGACTCCGTTGATCCGAGTTGCATCGTTTTCCGAACATTCTGTCGACTTGCCCCGGCACTCTATGTTACTTTACCAACAACTTTACACGATCTCTTAGGTCCCACACGACTTTCTGGACTTACGAGTACCAATATGGATTACCGATTTGCAGTATTTGACTCCAAGTCAACTTGTAACGTGTACAGGTTATCATCAAGTACGATTATACGATATGAAGGCTGGCAAGAAACCTGTCATGAGTTGTGAAGTCGGGGACACATCGCTACGAACTGTGACTGTGTTGAATGCAAAGTACGTTTGCACAAAAAAGAAAACGTACGTTACAATCAGAAAACACTGACCAATGGACATTTACAGTGAGGTTCTAGTCACGGATACTACTGGTGAACTGACGTCGTTGGATGTACGTCAAGCAGGCAAGTGATCTGTATGCTGGTGTTCACATACACTCTTTGAAAGCATATAGGTATCCTGTTCGCTAACCACGCACTCAAAAACTGTACAGGTCGTGTCATGGGCAAGTACAGAGGGAGTGTGGGTGCTATACAAGACGTGTGTGTATCGAACGATCACATTGCCGCTGTGGGTCTAGACCGCTTCCTTCGCATTTGGCATGTCAAGACACGTCGACTAGTGCACCAAGTATATTTGAAACAACGATTGACATCCGTCCTGTCCATGTAATAAAGTCCTTCTTTGTCGAGCCATCAACGCCGAATGAAATAGAAGCTTTCTGTTTACAAAGATGGGGCTAGATCAATGTTCGGACAACACGACGTTGCAATAGAGCTCGAACGAGCAAAAAAAAAGTTTGTGTGTATTGCACGGCCTAATCAGAGATTGATCACGATGTGAGCACACACAAATTCTACTGTGATATCCTTTATCTTGAACAATCTGTTGAACCGTTTTTTTGCCGCCCTTGATGGCTTTGTTCTAATCGTCTTTATCCCACTTGCTTGCGTAAAACTTGCCTGCCAAAAGCTTTTTTTGCAAAAGACAGCCCATCTGTAAGCTAACTCGTCTGGTAAGTAGGCAGCCATTTGAAACAATACCTATTGCTTCACATTCTTGCCTTCAGAAAGCACCGACCGGTATAAACAATCTGACGTTTTGCCCTTGCTTGGTTTTCTAGTATTCACTCAACGGAAAACTTTCTTCCAACGTATATAACATATAAAAAATGCCTTCTCAAACCACCACTCTCGCTAAATACCTGAGCTTGCCACAAAATGGCAAGATTCTCGCCTCGTACATCTGGATGTAAGTAAAAAAAAAATTATTGACGTATTGCTCACGATAACGACAATACACGGGGTTTATACGAAATTAAGAGGCGCTGTGCCTTTCAAATGGATATATTGAGCCGCTGAAGTTGTCTTTGGGCCGTGTAAACCGATGGATGTAGAGAGATTCGGCGTGCAACAAAATTCTCGTTTTGTGAGCTTGGTGGGGCAGCCACCAACGTAACCTGCTAACTTTGTGGTTGGAATCAAAAGGCAGCATTCATGCAAATCGATTTCTGGCTTCATTCTTTCGTGATGACTCACGATCGACCCACAATCACCTTTTCGCTAATCGTCCTTTATTTCATCATAGCGATGGTACCGGAACTGATCTCCGATACAAGCAAATGGTACGCATCCCTCATCTTTCTGCTCCCACCAACCAGTCTTTTACACCTAACCACACCATTCATCCAGACCCTAGACTTTGTCCCAACGTCAGTCTCCGAGCTCAAGGAATGGGCCTTTGACGGTTCATCCACTGGCCAAGCCGAAGGCCACGACTCTGACGTCTTCCTCCGTCCTGCAGCCATCTTCAAAGACCCCTTCAACGGCGGCGACAACATTCTCGTATTATGTGAAACATATGGCAAGGACGGTACACCAAACCACATGAACTTCCGTGCTGAATGTGCCAAGAACATGGCCGCTGCCGCTGCATTCAAGCCATGGTTTGGAATCGAGCAGGAATACACTTTGTTTGATACCGATGGTCAGGTTCTTGGATGGCCAAAGGGCGGGTTCCCTGCTCCTCAAGGACCATACTACTGCGGTGTGGGTGCTGACCGTATCTATGGTCGTGAGCTGGTTGAGGCACATTGGAAGGCTTGTGTTTACGCTGGTGTAAAGATTGGTATGTGTGGTAGTTGGTGTGGCGAATGAAGTATGTGACTCATCACTCTTTTTTGTATAGGCGGTACCAACGGTGAAGTCATGCCTGGTCAATGGGAATTCCAAGTTGGTCCTTCTCTTGGTATTGAGGCTGGTGACCATCTCTGGATGGCTCGATTCTTGTTACACCGTATCGCTGAAGACTTTGGATACGTTGTTTCAATCCACCCCAAGGTATGTACGCATACAATCTTTAAGCATTGAGTATCATGTCTGACCTCTATTTATCCCTTTATAGCCAATGAAGGGTGACTGGGTAAGCCTCTGATTATCAACTTTGATCGATCCAGTGTTGAGCCACATGTTGGGCCGATTTATTTTGGGATGCAAACCTTGATTTCTCTCTCATCCATTACGATAACTAACCCAACTGCCCCCGATTTCCTATAGAACGGTGCTGGATGTCACACCGTAAGTATCCGTTTGGCCTCGTTGAACATTCAAAAACTTCAGAAATTTGACAACCTGTTCAAACAACAACCCTTTGCTTACATTTCCTCTCCGTTTCCTCTAGAACTACTCCACCGAAGCTATGCGTCAACCCGGCGGTATGGTCGCTATCGAAGCTGCCATTGAAAAATTGTCCAAGAAGCACAAGGAACACATTGCCGTCTACGGTGCTGACAACGAACAACGTCTAACTGGAAAGCACGAGACCGCTGATATGAATACCTTCAAGTATGGAGTTGCCGACCGTGGATCATCGATCCGTATTCCACGTGCTGTTGCCAAGGGTAGGCGAAACTTGCAAATTGATTTTTTACACATACTTAACAAATGAAGACATGAATTAACGTCTTCTATCGTCTTGTTTAGATGGATATGGATACCTCGAAGACCGACGCCCAGCATCGAACATGGATCCTTACAGAGTCACCGGTATCATTGTTGAGACCACCCTGTTGTAATTCCGCAGTAATCAGACCTAAATGACATCATTTTTATCCAAAAAATAATAAAATACTCAAGAGTGATCCATATCTACGTCTCATTCCATGTTGTTGATCGTTTGGTCTCGTTGTAGTGTTATGATGCAAGATATGGACGCAAACGTATCAAACTATATCATGACTGGCGTACTAGCTGTACAGGCATTAGACGATGGTCATGCGTCGTTAGAAACCACGGATTGTCTGCTTTCTAGAGTGATAACTCCACATTCGTACAAAATGTCATCCAAATCTCCCGTAACGACAAGACCAATTAAGAACTTGAAGGAGAGGAGAGCTGATACAGCGAAGGCGCATTTTATTAATGTTTCCAATCTCAGGATCATTTTCGCAATCTCAGGATCAAAATCCGTATCTGCAAGCAAAGGAACCATGAGTCTCAAACTCACGTCCCCTTGTTTTTCGTCACTGCAAACGTGAGACTGGAAGATCTTCGTCCATGGACGGAACTAAACTTTTCTAAAACGTTCAAGCTGCTCTGCCAGAAACCGTAGGCCTTGCTGGGCAAGTACAAATTTACATTGCTTGACATCAATCAACGAAATGGCCATTTTTTACCCAGACCTCAATGGAACAATGACCTTTTAAACCAGCAAGAACCTTGATTTCCAAATAGAGGCTTGAATAATTTGATGCGCATTTTTGGTTGGTCGTGAAGGAGACAAGTCTCTTCATCGTGTTAATAAATCCAATTGGGAACGAAACTCCTTCTCAGAAATGACGGGAACTTTGATGTTGAACACGTTACATTTTAATTCAATAGAGATATTGTGCCAAGGGCTTCAACTCAGTGTCTTCATTGTTATTGAAGCCGCAATTGAAAAATACAACGAAGCACCGTTTGCTGTCCTCGGTGGAGACAATGAACAACGTCCACCTGGAACGCACCAAACTGCTGCGACGAGCAACATTCAAGTACCGCGTTGCTGATCGCGGTCCATGTATTTGTATTCCTGGTGAAGTTGCTAAAGGAAGGCGCAAAACCACAAAATAGAAATCGGTGGACCAGGAAGCGAGTAACTTCTTTAGTTCTGCTGAGTTTCTTTCATAGTATGGCGGATAATGTGTTTTTAACATCCTCACAGACTGACCCCTCAATACAATCAACAACATTTGCAAGCAAAATGTCTTGTTTTAGGTTGTATCGTGTCAAGTTATACGTTCAGCATTTCCACAGCCTTTTGGTCGTCATGTATCTTTTGCAACCGTGGAGACAAAAGCACAAGACAAACTGAGCGTCAAGTCCTCATATCCAACATGACGACTCCTTGTTTGGTTTACAAATGAAGTGATTTTATACAGTATAATGCCTAGCCCTCCCTCCACCAAAATCCTTACACACCCCTCACTTCTTACTCACGATAGAATCCCTATCATTCTCCACGCCATCCTCCTCCAAAAACAGCGATGCCAACGCAGGTGTCAGCGACGGCAACAATGCAAAATTACGTTTAGTAACTCTCATCAAATCAAACGCAATTCCCACAATCGGAGGAACCACATCACCATCTGATGAATTTGAGCGAGACCTTTGTCGTTTGGCTTTACCGGGTGCTGATGGACTGGTTGATCGTGATCGGTCAGGGCTTGGTGATGTTCGTGGTGCTTTTTTTGTAACCGCTGGAGTCAGGACTGGGAGTTTGGGATAGCGTTGTGAGAAATGCGTTAAGAGGACTCGTGATGCTAGCATTCTGTTGTTTGGGAGGTTCTGGTTAAAGAAAATTGGAACGCAAAATAATGAAAACAATCAAATCTAATCAATACCTTTTGGCAACATCTAAAGCTTCTCCAGTAGTTGAATGTTTCTTATCCAGAGCATCCAAATACATATCGTTCTCTAGTGTTGCTTCATGTATCAAGATCGCAGCACCTTGACCAACTGTGACTAGATCATCACAGGGTCGGCAGTCTCCGGAGAAGCTACAGATGCATGGTGTTTTAGCTGTATCTGTTTTTTGCTGCCTTTGCCTCAAGCACTTACACGATCTTGTTCTCCTCTCCTTCAGTAAACACGACAGCATACGCATCCGGACAATGGTCTACCTTGACAGTTTGGAAACTAGTCAGGTTGACTGATGCTTGCATCTGTTGTACGCTATACGACCCATGCACAGGATTTTAGTGACTCAAGAAAAAGGGACCACTTAAAATGGACAAACCTTGCACGAAACCTCTCTGGCGTATGTCTATCCCATGCAAGTGCATCAGAACGGATAAACACAATACGATCCCAGCCAATATCTTCACATTGCGAATAGGATGACATCCACGACTCAAACGCTACAGGTCCCACCAAGTATAATTTACGTGATGGTTCCTTTTTGGTATACTAATTCAAAAAGGTATGCACTGAGCTTTAGCGTTTCTGGATTCTTCCAAGTAACGATTTTCAAACGTACTTCATTCCATCGGGCAATCAACATAAACACACCAAGATGATGGTCTGCGTGCATATGAGATATGAAGATGATCTTGAGGTTTCTCATGACGTCTGCAGTCTGTTGACCAAATGCTCGAAACAATTGACCATAAGTGCCCTCCCCACCATCAAGGAAGATATTTCCAGTTGGTAACTGAACAAAAGTGGAGCTGACTAGAGAAAGAAACGATGGTTTTTAGCAACTTTTCGTTGACTAAACAAACCTTTCAGCAAGAAAAGAGACAGAAGTCCCGTTGTATTTACCGTTTCTGTATTTACTTGGAAGAGCAGAACCAGTACCAAGAGGTATGATCTGTACTGCATCATCTTCATTCTCATGCGGCAATGAATCAACAAGAGCATTTCGATCTCGATAAACCTTTGCAAGATGCGGTTGCAGAGTTACTGCAGGGGGTTCAATATCAAGTGGACCACGACATGCTGATTCGTCTAATTTGAAGGTAGGTGCAAACTGGATGGTCAATAGAGGTTTAGCCAAGCATGAGTTCTTGGGTAGTTTGAGATCTAGATTGATTTGGGTTCCTCAGCAGTGAATCACTTGGCAAAAGACAGGTCTTTTTTTGGTCACCTTTTTGCAGGTCAACAATCGAAGCATCGTTAGTATACTGGACTGGAAAGATCTCCTTGTCAATATAATTCAGCTGCTGTTGAATGCGACCAACGGCTCTGAAGATTACAGTCTGAGGATTATGTTTCTCACTCATGATGATGTGCTATGGTCATGCGAAAAAAACCTTAGTCATAATAGAATGATGAACTTTCTCCAACTTTATGCTTACTTGTGTTTGGTTTCCAAATGACCTGATCCATTCTCTATACTGTACATTCTCCAGGACGCCATCTCCAAGAATGTGTATGATACAAGTGACTGGTGAGGTCTTGACATTTTTGAATTGTTGAAGGTATGGCGCATTGATTAAGGAGGATATATACAGTTCACTTGGGCAATCCAGAATAAAGAAGACCTAGGCGAAAAAAACATGTCAACAAATAAATTTGATTTGAAAGTGATTCAATGACAGACGTCACGTACTGCTCCTGGTGTCTCTGGTCCTACACATTGATGCGGATGTATCAAAGTACCATCATTGGCTTCAACTGACTCGCCCTTTGTAAGGAGGCCTAGACCAGGATACATGAATATTCTCCCGCGGCGCAAAAAGAAAACAAAGGCAGCAGGTTCCATACCAAACTTGGGACCAGGCTTTATTCCCAGCTTTTGCGCAGCAGCTGGATTGAATTTGCCCGGTTGAACAGGTCCAGTACAGACATAGCATGTTGAGATAACACCAGCATGTCTCTTTTGCCGGCTCTCTTCATCTTGATCTGCAGGCTCCATTGGCGTGTCACCATTCCAACTAGCAGCAGCGTCTTTCAACGTTGGTCGTATCAGCACGGAGACTATGGTTACATTCTCGTCTTTCACAGTCTCTTGAGCGTCACGAGTTTCGTCCAGCGTGATTCTCAAATTAGGCCTGTGCAGTTGAAAAGGTGAGCTGTGAAGGGCAAAAACAAAAAAGAAGACGAGAACTTTTTAACGTACCTGTATGTAAAGTACTGTATTCCCTTCATGAATTGTCTGAGCATAGGGGGTCCATGTATATTAATGCCGGTAACATCCTGATCAGCTAAAGTGAGTAACATTCCTAGGACAAAAACACGTTACAGCTCGTGTTTTATTGCACTCAACAGCACAGTAAGCATTTTACCAGGCAAGCCTCCAATACAGTCCCAGGATGTGCGCGTCAACAATACATTTCTGATTCGCGAGAGTTTCATGCTCGTTTCGACAGCGATCCTCTGCAAAAAAAACAGTCGTTGAGCTTTCAAATTGACACGAACCAACAACATGACAAAATCGAAACAGTAGTATTCACGGTACCTGAGTGCCTTCTCCACAATTGAATAGGTACCTTCCCGAGTCCAAATGCAGGATGACAGAGGGATGGACATCGTGAGTGTGAGTTCCCAAGATTGTAGCATAGTACTTCATTCTGGCTGGTAGACTGGTAGAGAAGCAACGATGGTGATTCCTATACAAGATACTGGCGATTCGCATTCATCTGCCCTCCTTTTATTCCTTAGTCTCTAAACAAAGCTGTAGTGTCAAAAAGTGCTGAAACTGAACAGGACAGAGATGCTGGTGGCTATGAGTTCGCTGTTGAAACCGCACAGATTATTATTTATTTGCGTGTGAAAACGGATAAAACTAGCAAACAATTCCATTAACTTGCGTGCTAGCCTAGTACTCTGGACTTTGCTAAATGTGACATATTCATCTGAGTCTGGGCGTGTTCTATGAGTGAATTCACGTAGCCTTACGGCCATATCACGTAGAAATACTGCAGATCCTGCTCTTTCAGCTGACATTAGTGTCAACGAAAGTCCAGGCTCTCCCGTGGGGTCAACCAATAAACTGTGTGCGGACGACAGCGGAATGAAGATACTGAATCGAGGAACAAGGAGTCTGCAGAGAATATCAAGTCGCGGATCCGATGAAAGCATCATAAGACAATCCGCCGGTGGTGATTCCAGTGACAGTCAAGATGAAGTCGCATCAGACAATCATCAACATCAAGTTCACACGGACATCCAACCTGATCCAGGTATAATCTCATTCTGGTGTCATGTACTCGTTATAGAGTCTTCGGTTTGGTTTCCTTTTCTAACTATTCAATCTGCATCGTTTTGACATTCAACGATTGGCAACAATGTCTCTAACGTCGTGTCTGTTTTCACTAGCTCTTGGACGTCTGATGACATTCGTTCGTCCTGATCCAAGAGACCTCGATGCGTTCGAACCACCAGAGTCTCACTTTTGGGATGAAGTCAAGGTCGCGCTGAAGTGGAGAACTGTGTCTGCAATCATCGTCAGGAAACTATGGTCCTTGCTACCAATTGTACATTGGCTTCCGTACTACAGATGGAAACGTGCGCAACTCTCGTTGATTTTGATCTTGTCAACTGCTTCTCACCGGTTCTTTGATTAGAGGAATTGAAGGGTGATCTTCTAGCTGGTCTCACAGTTTCAGTGATATCTGTGCCTCAATCCATTGCATTCGCCCAATTGGCAGGAATGCCACCGGCGTTTGGCTTATATACGAATCTAGTACCGCCTGCAATCTACTTCTTTCTTGGCACCTCGCCGCATCTGTCTGTTGGACCAGTTGCAGTGAATTCTTTATTCATAGCTGCTTCATTACTGCCGCTCGCAGCTGCAGAAAGTGCGCGTTATGTTGATCTGGCTCTTTTACAAGGAATATTAGCAGGATTCTTCGCTCTGGGCCTGGGATTAGGTATGAATTTCTCACGTATACCGAACCAATATTTGACAGCTTGTAACCACACTTGTGCTAGCCAATCTTGGTGTCGCTGTTACCTTCATCTCGCCTGGTGTCATCACTGGCTGTGCGTAAAATCGTCGCTTGTTGCTACTATCTTCAAAAGTCCAATCTGACGTGGCATCTCACTTCAAATAGTTACCGCTGCTACCGCCATTATCATAGTCTTAAGCCAAATGTCATCTCTTCTCGGGTTGAGTGGAGTCACCAGATCTGCTTATGCCTCGGTATCACTATACAATTTATGTGTGCAGCTTCCAACCGCACGTTGGCAGTCGGTTGTATTTGGGGTAACTAGTTTGGCTGCCCTGCTGTTACTGAGACGAGTAAAGATATTATCACGACCATCGGTATTGATTGTCTCTGTGGTCGCCACTGTCTTGTCTTGGATTGTGTGTACAAAGGCATCATTTACACTTGATGTCGTTGGGTTTGTACCACCGGGACTGTAAGAAAGATTCACACTACCCTTGCACCTTCTGTTCGTGGCTAACACCCAACTTTTCGTAGACCACCACTATTTGTTCCCTCGTTCAACTCTGACGATGTCACCTCTGTGATTGCCAGCAGTTTCGCGGTAGCAATCCTCGGATATATTCAATCAATAGCAGTTGCTAAGAAACTTGCAGAAGGGACCGAAGTCGAAATAAATCCATCTCAAGAATTAGTTGCTTTGGGCAGTGCCAAGCTTGGAGGTGCTTTGTTTGGTGGATTTGACGCAACTGGATCTATATCGAGAAGTGTGGTGAACATGCAGGCGGGTGGAACCACTCAGATGGCAGCTGCATTCTCAGTTATTGTAGTCATTATAAGTTTGCTGGTCTTGACTCCACTGTTTTATTGGCTTCCTCGGTCGACACTAGCAGGGACGATCATCGCTAGTGCAGTTGGGATGGTGGACATTGCAGCTTGTGAGTTGTTGTTGCTGTTTTGTTTACGAGCGCCCAAAACGTTCCTGACACTAAAAAATTCACTCTCTTTATCATTCAGACAAAACGATGTTTCGAGTAAATCCGAGAGATTTCATAATCGCAGTCTTAACAGCCGTCGTCACGTTTGGTGCTACTATACAAATCGGTCTAGCTGTTGGTGTGGGTGCTTCACTCTTTGCAATCATCCTTCAAACGACCTCTGCCCACGAAGCCATACTTGGAGAGGTTCAGCCCGGAGTGTTTCGGGACATTCGAAGGAAGAAGAGTGCTGTGTCGTTTCCCAAGATTGTGATATATAGATTTGATGGACAATTGCACTTTGCAAATGTGGAGAGGTTTCGGTCTCATGTTGTTGGGATTGTTACGGGGGAGTGGAAGGGAGGCCCGGACTGGTAATAGAATACGTTTCTTTTGGGGGTTCTTTTTTGGCATTGATCGTATTTAATTTTCATCTAGGATTGAGAAGCCATTGTCACGGTCACCATCGTTTGCAGAGGTTCGGAAGAGCTCTAGGTTTAACCGAGACTACGATGTCGAGCTGTCGAACGTGATTAGTAAAGATAAGCCAAGGTATATATTACTCGCTCGTCAGAGCTTTTGAGACAACAATTTTCTCACATTGATACGATATTACAGGTTTATAATCGTCGATGGATCTGGGATCAACGACATAGACTCTTCGGCAGCCGCTGTGCTCGTCTCGCTATCATCCTCACTGCGCAAGTATGGTAGCGTGAAACTGCTATTTGCAAACATGAAGGGCCAGATCCGAGACGTATTGTTTAAACAAGTGTCTGGTCACTTTGACCCGTCAAGTGCACCTTCTACACCACAACTCGGATCAAAGCCTCGTTTAGAAGGGCTACGTCGGGAACAATTCTTTTTGGGTGTATCTGGGGCATTGAGATATGCACAAGAAGCGGTGGCCTTTGAAGAACAGCGCCAAAGGACTTTACGTGAATTTGCTTTTACTCATTCCATTGACGTAACTCATGATATTTCTGCTGCTGTCGCATCTGGGTCTGAATAAAAGACACCCACAGAGTTGTAAAACGTACCATGGAAATAATGACCACATAATGAAGATATAAATGACATAATAATCTGCACATGTTAGTGTTGGTCTATCTGTTGTTTTGGTTTCTGGGGTTTATTCTATCCCGGCCGGTAGAGACCACAAAGCTGCAAAGCACCAGTGTTACATTTTGTCACAGATCCAAACTACCAGTCCTTTGACTGAAAGCAAAACTGCAATATATAACAACAGTAATCTGACCACATGGATCTCACTCACGCATCATACGATAGCTGCGTGACTACCGACAATTGCTCTGTCATGCACGGCATCTGGTGTAACGGAGCTGATAAGGTAAACAGGGGCACGTTCCCCCCATTGCCGCATCTTTTACGCATAATATACACCACAGATGCACCCAATAAGTCACTAACTCTGTCCTTCTCTATTGGCTCGATTGCCTCATATAGACACCAAACGACCTTTATGCTCACACACCCGGCCGAGACTACACCACCCCGACACCACCATGGAATGACGAAGACTGTGATTCGTCATATCTGGGCTCTCCGTCTATACGTGACTCGTCGTATTTGAATGATATGTCGACGTTGTCGCATGAACTTGAGCGAAACACCCTGGGTATAATACCGGAATTTCCCGGATATTGTTTAGGGCCACAGCTAGTTGGGTCGTTGTTGGATTCGTCGTCGCTGGGTGTAGATGCTGGGATGTTGGAGGGTGGTGTGGTTGATTTGTATCAGCACGTGGGAATGCTGACGCCTCCATCAACTCCTAAAGCACCTGCCAAGCGTCGTGATGATGATGAAGGCTCTCAAGATGTGGTTGATAAATCTAGGTCGTCACGGGGTAGTAAAAAGTTGAATGGTATCCCGAAGGTGTCCAACAAACTTGGTAGAAAAAGGAAACATGCTGGTGGTAACGTGTACGAGTGTCCGGAGTGTCGCAAGACGTTTTCAAGGTACGGACGTTTGTAACGTTGGATGCCCTTTTTTGTGTTTTTGAAACAAAATTCTCATTTACTAGAGCTTGGAATCTGAAAAGCCACATGGCAGTGCATATCGATACTTTTGAATTTGGTTGCGAGTATTGTGATCGAGGGTTTAGGAGGGCTAATGACCTTAAGAGACACCTGAGGCTACATACAGGTAATGTTTTTTGCGTCCGTTTATCCCAACGTTGGTTTTTTTTGCAAGCTAACTGATGTATAATAGGCGAAAGGCCATACACTTGTAGTGAGTGTCTGAGAACGTTCAGCAGGCCTGATAATGCAAGCAGACACGTGTGTGCAGGCAGGACCGAAATGTAAAGCAAAGTGTCGATTTTTTTGTTCTGTTTTAAGGAAACAGGAATTGTAAGAAAGACTGCCAGACTGGAAATCATTCATGACATTATCACTTTATCAAAATTGTCTTTAATCAAATATTTTTGTCAATAATAATTACTTGAATCTAATGACTATGCAAAAACAGCGACGCGAGATTCGGTCAATCGCTCAAACTGCATCATAGCCTCTACCACCAAGTGGGATTCTTAAAGTACGGAGTAGCATCATTAGGGACGGCTTTTCTTACTCGGCTGTCATACCAGAGCAGATTATCAAGCACCCTAGAGAGGCGATTATGGAGGGTAAGTTGCATTATTCTCGTAAGAAAGCAGCGAAAGACATGAATCTCACCATGTCGGTAACAGCTCATTAACCCACACAATATTGGATCCTCGACCGACCAAGTACCTCCGTTTTGGCACAGTAGCAAATGCAGATTCGAGGATTTCATTAAGCACAACTTGTGGTTTCAAGGTAGTCTAATTTTATTCAAGAAGACGAATTCAGACGCACTTTAAAGGCCGTGAGCTAATGAGGTTGCGTTGCTGAAACGGCAAACTTACAGGAGATTCACGCAGCTTTCCAAATTGCTTCTTCAGTTTCTCATAGATGTGGCTTCCATATGCAGACTGAATTTCTGAATCCAGTCCATTCCAGATCTTGCCGATACGTTGCACGGCGAGGTCTCGAGTGGGTAGGATGTTTGTTGAAGCGAAGAATGGCTCGATTATGACTACGCGGACACCGAATGGGGCGAGTTCAATCCTTAGAGCGTCAGAGAATGCTATAATACGATCAAAAGGATTCGTGTCAGAACGAGGAGTTCCGCGAGAAAAGTCGACTTCTCAATAGTACCATATTACCTTCACCAGCATGTTTTGATGCACAATATGCTGACATTCCACCTGGGGTAATGCGGCCAGCAACACTAGTAATATTGATTATACGTGGTGCCAACGTATCAGGGCGTTTCTAATGAGTTTGTGCTGGGTCAGCACACTGCACCAACAAGATGCATTTCCTGTTATAAGTTTACCTTGACGTGAAGCCGTAAAGAAGGAGCAAAAGCTTTCGTCATCTCGACCATTCCCATAAAATTAATATCCATAACCTTCCTGTACTGCTCCATAGATGTCCACTCAACAGCGCCGCCCTCACCAATGCCTTATCGAAAACGAATACAGTCAGATATCTTGCTTAACGAGATCTCATAATCTTGTAATAGCCCTATACCGGCATTGTTGATGAGACAGTAAATCCCTTCAGGCTCATTCTTTACAACGGTTTGGCGTAGCGCCTCGATATCTGCGCTCCTGGTGACGTCGAGGGTGAAGGGGTGGATGCCCTTTAAGCGAGGATCGCCAAGTGCGGCTGTTTCGAACTCTTTGATGGCTGCAGATGTGAGGCAGCCTGAATAGACTTTCCTGGAAACGATGAAGATTGTGTGAGCCTCAGATGTGAGAACTAAAAAAGGTGCCGGAGACTCACCAGCCACGCTTCGCGAATTCATAACTTAGGGAATTTCCAAATCCAGTATCGCAGCCCTAGAAGTTATAAATTTGGTTCAGGTCTTGGTTGTTTCTTATTTGCAAAAACATGTTTTGATGCTCATCCTTTACCGAGATCACCACGGGACCTTGAGGCACTTCGATACTCGCGGAGCCAAATATCCAGTCAAACAGTCCAGAAGAAGTGATGCCAGCCATCTTGCTTGAATGGGATGGATCTGTAAACAAGCGTTTTGAAGAGTGGTTGAGCAAATAAACATAAGAAGACGAGGCTAGCTCCAACCTGTATAGATAAAATGTATAATTACCTATCTACCTGTTGAATGATGCGTTTCGTCCGCTCCTCTGGTTGCCTGGTATGGTGAAGCTTGCTGAGGCTCCTGCAGGACGAACAATAGGAATTTGAAAGGCCGCTCAGAATCCACACTGATATTCTTGATGATTTCCGTTGTAATATTACTCTCGAAAGCTTGTAAGGCCTAATGAACTGAAAAAGCTATCGATATTACGTACAAGTGAGGTTTGCGTCATTTTGTAAATTTTGGTTACGACGGTTTAGATGTTTTAAAGTAGCCGATTACACTGTACTGGACAGGAGGCCGTTACTCTTCCGCGAAGCTACATCGAGTGATTTTCCGTATGCGCCGTAACGCCATCAGCCAACAAACACATCTGCGATCCAGCTCCTCGAAATCGAATCGAATTACAACTGCGAGGCCAGGTCATCCGTGAGCATAATTCCAACAAAATTCATTTTATAAGAATTCTGAAAAAGTTATTTAAATTAAGGCAAAACCTACAACAGTGAGATTGTTGTTGGGCTAGGAAACAATTCTAATCACCATCATCTCTGATGAAAGCATCATAAACACGCAATCTACCACCAAGTTGGGTTCTTGAAGTACGGCGTAGCATCATTAGGAAGGGTACCGTCTCGACGCATCCCGAACCATATCAAATTGTCAAGAACCCTAGATGTGTTTCAAATAAGCTGACTGTTCTGGGAATTTGTCACAAGTAGTATACTTACCAAGTAGGCAACAACTCATTGATCCACACCACATTGGCACCAGCACCAATCAAGTACCTGCGCTTTGGCACAGAAGCGAAAACAGCTTGAACTATTTGATCAACTACAACTTGTGGCTTCAAAGTTGTCTAGTTGTTATGGGAAAAGATCGATTTAGAAACGTTGGTGACCAGGCCAAATAGGCCAGCCTGAGTTGCTACACCTAACTTACAGGAGAATTACGAATAGTGCCAAACTTCTTCTTGGCCTCTTCATATATGTGGCTTCCATAAGCAGCTTGAACTTCCGGACTCAAGCCATTCCAAACCTTGTCAATGCGTTGAATAGCCAATTCTTGGGTAGGCAGGATGTTTGTGGAAGCGAAGAATGGTTCGATAATTACTACTCGGACACCGAAGGGAGCCAGTTCAATCCTTAGAGCGTCAGAGAATGCTAAATAGTATTAAAAAGGTTTGCATCAGAGCGAGAAATTGGGCGAAAAAACCTCAAAGATTTATCGGACAATTACCTTCACCAGCATGTTTTGAGGCACAGTACGCTGACATTCCAGCTGGAGTTATACGACCAGCAACACTGGTGATATTGATAATACGTGGTGGTAAGGTATCGGGGCGTTTCTAATAGCGCATGGTCAGCCCTTGTTCGAAAACGACGCAACTGATATTTCACCTTTACCTTGACGTGCAATCGCAAAGAAGGAGCAAAAGCCTTTGTCATTTCGACCATTGCCAAAAAGTTAACGTCGATGATTTTCCTGTAGGTTTCCATAGGTGTCCACTCGACACTGCCCCCGTCACCAATACCTATAAATGAACGGAATCAGTCACACTAAGCGTGCAACCATATCTCGTAAGCCTGAACCAGGTCTGTACCAGCATTGTTGATGAGACAATAGATTCCTTCAGGCTCATTGTTGACAACGGTTTGACGAAGGGCTTCTATATCAGCACTCTTGGTGACATCAAGAACAAAGGGATGGATGCCCTTCAGTCGAGGATCACCAAGGGCAGCAGCTTCAAGCTCTTTGACGGCAGCGGCTGTGAGACAGCCCGAGTAGACCTTCCAACCACGTTTAGCAAATTCATAAGTCAACGAGTTTCCAAATCCAGTATCACAGCCCTAGTTGAATAAAGGTAGACAGGATTCACCTTCATGTTATTTTGAAAGGTAGAGAAACGGGTCTTGAAGTTGTTCTGGAGGTATGCTTGATGGATAATCTCGAATGGCCAGCTCGCAATGCTTACCGAGATCACAATAGCGCCCTGAGGGACCTCGATAGAGCTAGGGCCAAGTAGCCAATCGTAGAGACCGGAAGAGGAGACTCCAGCCATTTTTCTAGTTTTGGGTTGTTTATTCGATGCAATGTATCTAGTTTGCAAAAAGTCGTGAGTAGAGCCTGATTTGTTATGTAACGAAACGGATTATAGGGTCAAACTCATTGTTAAGACGAACGGACGCACCTGTTAAATAGATCGGTCCTCTTCTTCTCTTCTGTCTTTAAGTTGGTCGTTGGAGTTCTGATTTTCTGCCAGCAAAACACCGATTTGTCTCAGTTGTAGAATTTGTCCATTTTCGCCGGCAAAAACTAGCTGCCCAACCATTGCATACGTGCTGCTCGGTAGAAAATGCTGCAGTCACGCGAATGGACACCAAATCACAAAAGCAAGAATTCATCCAAATCATTTACTTGTATCAACAGACGTGAACAAAGGACGCCAGGACCGTGTAGGCCTTTGCCACAAGGACGATGCAGTTACTGCAGTAAACTCACATTTTCATCTTTATCTTTTAATATCCTACAGAATCAATGATGCTCCTCTTGGACGATTTTAAAGTTGCAGGCTTCCTCAATCAAAAGAAGAATGACTATTTCGACGCAAAGCTCAAAGACACAATGGCCATCTTCTGCACCAACCAAATTAAACTCAAAACATATACTAGAATATAGTCTCGAGGTAAGCAAAAGCATGGCTTTGTGATGGTGTTTGCAACAATTGGAAGTTGCATCTTGGCTGGTTTATTTGAATGTAGAATCTTTTTAAGTTTCTCAACGGGCAATGGGAGAAACAATGATCATCATCATCAAAGAGCTCATGCAAAGCTCGGATGCACAAGTAGCGCTCCAAGTGTTGATGTGGACCTCCATCACTCTCAAGCTGGAAGCTAACTAGCTTCTTGTACGTTTTCAGGTCAAGCTTACATACATCATAAATCCAGATTTAACATCCAACCATGTCTCCTCCATTGCCAGAGGTAGACACTTTGTTTTTATTTACAGTCATGCCCATACATACGCTTACGGAGTTTGCTTAGATTCCGCAAAACATTGGACAACGACGACACTTCAAAAGCTTGCCACCACCTATAGTAACTTCGAGGGCTACTACCACATTTTCAAGTTGCTCCTCATTCTCACTACCTTCGTTGATTTCCACAAACGATCGCAGTACGTTGACGAACTCGCAACAATCCTGCAAGCCAATATTGCCAGTTCGAACAATCAAACTACCCATTCCCCAGGCTGGCATTCATCATCATGACACACGTCTCTACTATCCATCACCAGTTTTTGAAAGTCAAGAGAGCCGAGTCATCACACCTACAATTGCGAATCTCGTCAATTCATTCGACGTTTCTCCTTTTGAATTTGTCAAGGACTCTTTGGATTCAATTAATACGCATGCACCGCTCATTAAACATGATTCAATCTTGGGAAAGAGGTCTATGGACGATCTCGATATTCACGACGAAGAAGACGATATGGACGAGAGGACAGATTGGAAAAATATACAACGCCCGCTAGTAACGCAAAAACCACGAGCCTCATTGGTAGAAGATCAATCAAGGTTAGTTGTAGTAATTGAGAAATGTTGCTGGCAGTCTTGAGTGTCTAACAACTGTATCTGCAACAGTTATCGGATGATTCTACGCCAGCAGCCACTCTGTGGTCTTGCGTGTGGTTTCTCAGATACTGAGGATCGACGAGTACTGTAAGTCAGGAAACGAGCCCCACTACTCTGCTGAATTTAGTTGGTACTCATGTTAAGATCGTTTCCCCTCTCAGAGACCCTCCACCAGTACTAGAGCTCAAATGCAGTTACAAATTCGACATTACGCATTTGGTTTGCTATGCAGCTTTAGTGTCTGCTGACGGGTCAAGTGAATGTCGTGGTGTAAATGTTCCCAAAGGAATCGAAGGCATCAGTGAATCCAAACGTCGTCGTAACAAATCAGAGCTGCCAATCATCGAACCTGCCCGGCAACGCACACCTAGAGAAGGTACCAAAACGAAGCAGAACTTGGTGGGAAGTTTAGTCGCGAGTCCCATGGTGCTACGTGATACGGATGGTGTTTACAAGATCTTTTTCGTCTTAAATGACATTTCGATCCGAGCAAATGGACAGTACTGTCTACTCTTTCGGTTGATCAGCCTAAATCCCCAAGGAGGCCGAGTGCTGTCAACACTTGTGACGCAACCGTTTGAGATGCTGTCGCCAAAGAGTTTTCCTGGTCTGAGTGGTATGTAAAGATCATCGTACTGTTTTGTATTTCTTGTTTATTTGACAAAGTTAGCAACTCACTTACTTTTAACAGCATCAACAGAATTGTCCAGGTGTTTTGCGCGTCAAGGAGTTGCCATACATATCTGCAACGGAATATAAAAACGAGTTTGATAGACCGTGAACGTGAAGTTCAAGAGTATTAATCGCCAAATATATCTTGTGAGTCAGTCAGTAGTGGAGAAACACGACCGTCTTTGTCTCGACTTATTACGCGTAATGTCATACATGAGCGTATGCAAATTAAGCAATAATGCAATAATTGTAGTAGAGTTATGGTGGTTTGAATCCAAAAGCCAGTCAAAAAGTGACGCCGCACTGCCTCTGATGTCCAAAATCTCCAAACTTCAAAAAGTACAACACAAACGGATCACACGCTTTAGACTCGAATGAACGCCTTCTTCAAAGCTATGGCCGGCCTCTTCGGTGGGGGGAGCGATAAATTCAGTTATGAAGTAAAGCCTGGAATCGAGGGGCAGGAAGGAGGGACTCGACGAGGCAATGTTGCTCGCGACAATGGCGGAGAACTGGTGACGTCCATTTCTCCCAATGTCAAGACAATTGTCGATGTATTGGACTATGCTACAAACAAGTACGGCGACCAAGAGTCCCTTGGCCAACGAAATGTCATCAGAGTCATCTCGGAATCAAAGGAAATCACGAAAGTCGTTGGAGGACAAGAGGTCAAGGAAATGAAGGAGTGGAAGGTATACTTGTTGCATTTATTCGTGTCAATCAGAGATCTCTATCGCGGAGATTCTCTCTGTGTTGTCAACTCGCCGTTGGAGATTCACAAACCATGTTTCACTGCAATCACGCTCACGGACTAAACCCCACTGTTTGCATAGTATATGGAATTGTCTGGTTATGAATGGATGTCTTACAAGGATGTCAAGTCTTATACTGTTGCGGTCGGCTGTGGTTTACGAAAACTAGGCTTCAAGGCAAAGGACAAACTCACTCTATTCGCTGATACGAGGTACAAACTCGCAGACAAACGCTATGATGCTCAGCTTCAATCACAAAATAAGAACCCCATCAACCAATATTTTTACCGTCTCTCTTTTTTCCTAGTCGTGACTGGATTCTCATGGCTCACGGTTCGCTTCGTCAAAACCTCACAATCACAACTGCCTACGCCACTCTTGGAGAAGAGGGTCTCACCCACTCTATGAACGAATGTGAAGTCCCCGTCCTCTTTACAAACGCCGAACTATTACCCATCGTACTTAAAGTCATTCCTCGTGTCCCAACTCTGACCACCATGATTTACAATGGTGAACCAACTCCTGAAATGTTGAAAAAGGTCCACGATGTCATGCCTTCCCTCAAAATCATTTCCCTGACTGAATTGTATGAACTGGGTAAAGCGAATCCAGTAGAACCCGTCAATCCTACTGAAGACGATATTGCCTGTATCATGTACACGTCTGGTTCTACAGGTCCACCAAAGGGGGTTATTATTCTGCACCGTAATGTTGTTGCTACCGGTATGTCGTAGGCATTGTTTGAACGTGACGTTGTGAGATTGGTGCGAAACTAAATCCTGTCAAATCTCAAACTTGTAGTTGGTGCCGCTGCCAAAATATTAGATGTTGTACTGTCTGGACGAGACTACTATCTTGCCTATCTCCCCCTCGCTCATATTCTTGAATTCGCTGTCGAGCATACTGCCATGGCTGTTGGTTGCTCTTTAGGTTATGGATCTCCTAGAACATTGACTGATGCATCTGTACGAAACTGTAAAGGTGATATTCGCGAACTAAGGCCGACATTGATGGCTGGTGTTCCAGCTGTTTGGGAAACGTGAGTATATATCGCTGTGACTGTTAACAGTGACGAATCTAACTAAATTGTCTTTTCTTGGCTAGTATTCGAAAGGGAATCCTAGCTCGAGTCAAAGAAGGCAGCCCTACCGTACAGAAAATTTTCCATTGGGCGTATAAAATGAAATGGTCTCTGATTCAAGCTGGTTTGCCTACCGGTTTGTTGGATGCTATAGTATTCAACAAGATCAAAGATGGAACTGGTGGACGTCTCAAGTTTGCTCTATCTGGCGGTGCTCCCATACCACGAGAAACTCAGGAATTCTTGAGTGTATGTTTGTGTCAAATTGTCGGTGGTTATGGTATGACTGAATCTACTGGGTAAGATTGGATTGTGCAAAAAAAAACTAAAGCAGACATCGAATGTTGGCTGATCCAATACATATTTTTCAGTGTGATATCAGTCCAACAACCAGGTCGATCTACATATGGTGTTCTTCAACGAGTAGGTCCACCAGCCGGACATTGTGAAATCAAGTTGGTGGACGTCCCCGATGCTGGTTATCGGTCCACTGATAAACCACATCCTCGTGGTGAGATTTGGGTTCGCGGAGGACAGATTATGACTGGATACTATAAGCAGCCTCAACAAACCGCCGAAACAATGAGTGGTGATTGGCTCATGACTGGTGAGTCGAGATTTGAACATTTGTTTTGTGGAGAAAAAAGCGAACTGAACCCCTTTCTTCATCCAGGCGATATTGGTGAATGGCAAGCCGATGGTAGTTTAGCCATCATCGACCGAAAGAAGAACTTGGTCAAACTCTCGAATGGTGAATACATTGCCCTAGAAAAGCTCGAATCCATCTACCGTACTTCAGGATATGCCCACAATCTCTGTCTCCATGCCGATCCCGAAAAGTCCTTCCCTATCGCTATCATCGTGCCTGTAGAAAAACCACTGCGAGATCACGCTACTGCCAATAATCTCTTCCCTGGCAAGGAGCCTTCCCTGGAAGACTTGGTTGAACACCCTGCTATTAAGAAACTCGTGTTTCAAGATCTGGTTGATAGAGGTAAAAAGGCTGGTCTTAAGGGGTCTGAGCTAGTGGGTGCTTCAACTATTGTAGCTGATGAATGGACTGCTGAGAATGGTTTGCTGGTATGTTGATCAGGACTTTTACATTTGAAAACTAGCTACATTTCTTTCCACCAGTTTTTGTCCCTGCGTGTCGTTTGGAGAAATGAATCCAGAGCTTACTAAGATTACCATTTACACTATTAGACCGCTGCACAAAAGCTCAAGAGGAAGGACATTGTTCGCAAATATAAAGATGAAATCAAGACCATGTATGGATTGTAGAACAGCCCGTTTTGTTTGTAAAGAAATTTGGGGAAACGCAAAAGAGTGTAAGAAGGAAAAACACTCATGGTTTGGACGTGTCGTTGTCATAAACCATTTTTTGTTACGCAAATATAGCTTGTAGTTATCGAGATATGTGATGGTCGTGTCGCTCGAGCAATATCAAAGAACCGAAGTACCTTTTTCACATGAAGTCATTCATTTAATTCACCGCAATATTATAGTTTAGGAAACATTAAAGTGCTGGTGCCACATCCAAATTCACGGCATGCGTCACCAAAGATTGTCATGCCTTTAATTAATTTTTCGTCAGGTGCAAAGGCTATGGACCGAAAGTCAATTACCAGAATGCAAAAGGAGCACTGTAATCAGTGGCGAAACCAATGGAAGACTTACAGAACGAGGCTCTGAAATACGGCGCATCAGCTTGTTTTTCCTTTCCCCCAGACGCGAATTCAAATCAGGAACAACCATCACGCCACGTTTACAGGCTAGTTCAAAGAGTTTCCAGAGTGTGCCTGGTGGTGCATTTGGTGGCAAATTTACCTTGAGCCATACGAACATGCCTGGAGAAAAACCGACGAAGGTAAAGCTACCCACTTTTGAATGGCCATTCAAACATCCAAGTATTTCCATACACATACCTCCAGAAGGTATAACAAACTCTGCACAAGCCCCATCCCCCGCCCGTCGCGGTGCAAAAGCAGCCAACGCAGCTTTCACAACCACATTCCTCTTATGCGTATAAAACCTCTGCAAGCCCTGCATATGCACATGCAACCCCTCACTCCCCCACTCAGTCAACAGTTTCGTAACAATTGCCTGCGAGATCCCGTTCGGAGAACTATGCTGCTCGCCCACCATAACCATCTTTTCCGCAAACTGTTTGTTGGCTACTGCGAATCCGAGACGGATGCCCGGTGCGAATATCTTGGAGAATGTGTAGAGGTAGATTATGCGGCCCTCGTCGTCAAAGGATAGGATTGGTGGGCGCAGGCCGTAGAGGCCGGGGTGCGTGTAGGTTGATTCGAGGAGTGAGTCGGGGGTGGTGGCGTCGGTTGGGGTGAAGGCGGGAAGCTCGAGGGCTTGGTATGGGTCGTCCTGGTGAATGAGAGGTTGAAAATTGAAGAACGAACAACGAGCCAATGGAGAAACGACAATAGAAGATTCACCTCTATGATCATGATATCCAATGTCTTACACGCTTGCAAGAATGCCTTCCTCCGCTCGATGCCCATGCTCGTACCAAGTGGATTTTGTGCTAGAGAGGAACATTGGGTACGCGAAAAGTATACTATTGATCAATCATTCATTCAAGATTTGCCCAGCAACTACCTTTTGCGCTCACCTGTTGGGATGGTATAAACAGCCTTGACGATTTTACCCTGTGCTCTAGCCTCTCGAGTTACTTTGATAATGTCTTCGGGGACCATTCCCTCAGCATCGCACTTCACTGGCAGAGGTGTTACTCCACATACTCTGATTTGTTCGAGAGAAGCCGAGAAGGTGTATTCTTCGACCAGGAAATAGTCGCCCTTGTTGCCGAGAATCGAGAACGCCATCATGTTGCCGTTGATGGATCCACTATTGTTTCGACGGTTGGCTTAGATCCGAGAAAAAAAAACACAACGTCTCTTTATCGATGAAGTTTGAAACATTTCCAAATTTCACCTTGTGACAATAACACGATAATCGTCGTATTGAGGTCTCAAAAACTTGGCAACGTGAGCTTGCAATACAGCCAATAGTTCGGGATGGCCGTCCGAGTTTCCGTATTGTAGGGCCTTTTCGAGACCCAGTGCGCCACGACTGTTTTGTGCTGGGATCTGAAAGGTTGATGCATTTCCAGATGTAGCAGCGTTTTGGACAGTCCATGAGGTAGACTTGAACGGGAAGACGTTCACGGGAGGAAAACCACCTAGAACATCAAGTTCTAAATGAGTAACTGTATGGCCACAAGTTCAAGAGATTCCAACGTTACCAACCTCCTAACGAGACTATTCCAGGAGTCGTAAGGTACCTTTGAAAAGATAAGAGAAGAGGGTTGAGCGTTTACCGTGAGGGTACATCAGCCAAGAGGGACTGATGAAAGATCAGTCAGCCAACTTGACGCAAGTGTGGATCATCAGCACCTCGAGACATTTCAAGTGTTTGCCAGCACCAATGAATACAATTAAGCAAGAAATCAATGATGACCACAATTCTGTCCATGCTGCCAATGTGGCAAACGGCCACAATTCCTTGATCAACCTCAAACTCACTTGTAATACATCTTTAGCCCAGTTCGTTCTCGAGCTCTAACTAGATTGCAGATTGAATAATTAGGTCGGCATCAATATAACAAAATTGTAACACATTTTAGTGATTGGTACCATTGTCGGCGAGGAAACTCGAGAAATCTCTGGCCAGTTTTTGAGGCTTGTTGGTCTTGGTTTGCGACGAGATAGACGACATGTTTTCGTGTATATGCAGGCCCACGGTTCGATATAGAGAGTGCGACGAAAAGTCCTCCGCGCTCCGAGTTGTTGGTGTCGATTCTAGAACAAGAGTGAAATTCGTAAGCAGCAGCGAGATCCATCTGTAATTGTTTGAGCGTGGATGAATGTTTTTAAGCGCGATTACGCGTAGAATGTGCTTCTGAGGTCTCTCAACGTACCGTTCAGTCTATTCCAACGAGCTCTTTAGCAAAATCAAAACATCACAGGACGTGACTGTGCAGCAGAAACCAACTCCTTTTCAATGTATCCTCTTTATACGCGATTTGACACCAAATATAGTCCTATTCGCTTGTTCTCCTTGTGTCCCTTCAGTGCTCTTGAGCTGCTTTCATCTTTTTCATTTCCTGCATTCTTGACCACAGTTGCTATTGGCAGTTAACTCATCGACGACCCATCATCCAGACAGATCATAGCGGCGTTTACTGGGTCCCATATTATATTATATATATTTACATTAGCCTCATCTCTCCTCTTCTCTTTTGACGAGGATATATAATTTGCCAAAATGAACGGAATGATGGCAAGTACCAAGACTCCCCTTTCATGCAATCCAAAAGAGAATCAACTCTAATATTGTTAAATATGTATTATATTATATGGGCTAATGTCATCCTTGTCTTTCCCATTAGCAACCACAAATCATCATCTTGAAGGATGGAACTGATACATCCCAAGGAAGAGGTCAATTACTATCAAACATAAACGCTTGCATGGCCGTCGCTGATGCCATCAGAACTACTCTGGGTCCTCGTGGAATGGACAAACTCATCGTCGACAACAAAGGTACATTCTGCATACATCTTGCGCAGTTCATGACTTTGCATATTTAACACCTCAAACATCCACAACTGTGCAAACCATATCACACAATCACATGTAATAACCAACAATATCATACAACATACAGGCTCAGTCACCATCTCCAATGACGGTGCAACAATCCTCAGATTGTTGGATATCGTACATCCTGCTGGTAAGGCATTGGTGGACATCTCCCGTGCTCAAGATGCTGAAGTAAGACATCCATATTGTTAAGAGGATACATATATACATAATATTATTAGGATTGCACATATGTCAAATGGTCGATTCTAACATTCATTCCAAACATAGGTCGGTGATGGAACAACCAGTGTCACATTATTCGCTGCTGAATTATTAAAAGAAGTGAAAAACTATGTTGAAGAAGGTGTTGCCCCTCAAGTCATCATCAAGGGCTTCAGACGTGCTTCTACTTTGGTAAGGCATTGGCCAGAATGTTTCTTTCGCTATTTTATGCATGTTCCAACCCATAGCACGCCATCTGTCTCACACTCCTCATCTTTTACAGGCTGTCACTAAAATCAAGGAACTCGCTGTAACTGTAGAACGAACGAATGAAGTGTATGCTATCCTTGATCTCTGTCGTGCTCGTTTTTCTTTGTTGAAACCAAGCGCGAACCTAACAGATTTCTTGCATCACAGAGAATTCCGAGACTTGCTAGAAAAGTGTGCTGCCACAGCAATGTCATCCAAGCTGATCCATTCACATAAAGAATTCTTCACCAAAATGGTTGTCGATGCCGTCCTACATCTAGACCAGGACGATCTGAATGAACGCATGATTGGTGTAAAGAAAGTGCCTGGTGGTGGTATGCAGGATTCCCTCTTTATCGATGGTGTTGCATTCAAAAAGACTTTTGCATATGCCGGCTTTGAACAACAACCAAAGAGCTTCAAGGATCCATTAATCTTGTCTTTGAATGTCGAATTGGAATTGAAGGCTGAGAAGGACAATGCTGAAGTCCGTATTGAGGATGTCAAGGTACGTTGAAAGATGTAGGCCACCATGAAGATTTCTTGTTTTTGTGCGTCGTACTTTTCCTTCTTCGGTCTAAATTGTTCAATCTCACTAGGAATACCAAGCTATTGTTGATGCTGAATGGAGCATTATTTATGAAAAGTTGGAAAAGATTGTAGCCACAGGTGCCAAAGTAGTCTTGTCAAAACTAGCTATTGGTGATCTAGCTACTCAATACTTTGCCGACCGTGACATCTTTTGTGCTGGACGTGTTCCATCGGAAGATTTGATGCGTGTCATCAAAGCTGCTGGTGGTTCAACTCAAACGTCTGTAAATGATATTAAACCAGAACACCTTGGTCGATGTGACTTTTTTGAAGAAAAGCAAATCGGTGGTGAACGATACAATCTCTTCCAGGGCTGTCCTCATGCCAAGACTTGTACATTGGTCTTGCGTGGTGGTGCAGAACAATTCATTGCCGAAGTGGAAAGATCTCTCCACGATGCCATAATGATTGTTCGTCGTGCTATCAAAAACAAGTCTGTTGTCGCTGGTGGTGGTGCCGCTGAGGTTCGTACATTCCTTTTATTTTTGTCTTGGCGTAATCGCTCCAGTTATTTTGTTGTGCTGTCTTGCTCAACCGTCCATCATATCCTTAGATGGAATTGTCTAAATATCTCCGTGACTACTCCCGTACCGTCGAGGGCAAGCAACAAATGATAATTGCTGCTTTTGCTAAAGCTCTAGAAGTCATTCCACGACAACTCTGTGACAATGCAGGGTTTGATGCTACAGATATCCTTAACAAGCTTCGTCAAAAGCATGCTCAAGGTATGCATAAGTTTTTGTGGTTCTGTTGTAATATGTAGTGTGATCTTGTATTCATGAACTGTTTCGAATCTTCATTTTTGTCCTTTGCCAACTGCGCGCGGGTTGAACTGACTTGCACCTTGTTATATAGGTGGAACTTGGTTTGGTGTCGACATGGCCTCTGAATCAATTGCCGACAACTTTTCGACTTTTGTTTGGGAGCCAGCACTTGTCAAGACCAACATGCTGTCCGCTGCTACAGAAGCTGCATGTTTGATCTTGAGTGTTGATGAAACCATCAAGAACAAAGAGGTAAAGGACATGATTTTATCTTTTGTCCATTGACGGGAACTGTGTTCCTTTTTTGCGGTTGATACTGAAACCATCCTGATTCTTTAACAGAGCGAAAAGCCCTCTCAAGGACCACCAATGAGAGGCCGAGGACGTGGAAGACCCGCAATGCGAGGAATGAGGCGTTAAATACCACACCAACACATGCAATCCCCATATAAACTTCGTTTTTTGTATGTATAGAGAAAAGCCTGAAAATTTTACTTGTAAAGCGAAAAATACATGTTGTCCATCGCAAACCAACGAAAAGTGTGGTGTGCCTGTTTGCAATAACGCGGTTTACTCTTTGACAAGGGTGCATGTTAGTTGGACATTAACAATCTATGTGTATTTGTATGCGTATGAGTAGACTATGAATAATATTATACAAGATACATGTTGAATCAACAAGGGGAGATTAGACGAGTCGGCACAAAAAAAGCGTGTTTGCATGTTTTTATGTGCATGAGTCGAGCAGTCAAACACCGTTGTTCCTCTAGCATACAGTAGGTAGCACATCTGAGGCAACAGAGCAACCTCCCGAACTGCAACCTATAAACTTGTAGTATTTCTTGGTACCTGCCGTGCATGGAGTCGTGTCGCTATAAAGTGTCGAGCCAGCTGCTCGAATATCATATACATCGGCCTTCAGTAATGTGAATGTGGTGTTGTCTAGTGATGTCCATATTTGATAGGTTCTCTGTTTTGTTGGAGAAGGAACGTGGGTGTGAATTCGTTGTGTTGGCGTGTTTTTGCGCAAAACGTCTGCAAAAAAACGACTGTGTCATCTCCTAATGCTTACAGCCATAGCAGACCCAAACCACGTCAAATTCCTCGGTGTAGCAGTCGATATTATCTTTGGTGGTGGCGGTACAGGAATGCTTGTGTTGGTAGGTATACTCTGAATTTCTCGTGCTGCCAGTATCATGTTTGAGACTACAAAGAATTCGTCAAAGGCTGAGACGGTGCTGTTTGCTGGTGATGTTGTGGAGAACCCCGGGAAGTGGTAGCTCATGTATGGAGCCCCGAGGACTTGGATGTGAGAGTCTAGGTTGAGAGAGAGAGAGAGTTAGGATGGATTTAATAAATACATGGAAATTTCGATTTTTTTAGCGCAATTACCCCATCCTAGCGATAAAAAATTAGATTGTATAAATTGCGATGTATTTGAGGTGCGCAAGTAAACCACAACCACTTACCTCCAAAGCGTGAATGTGCAACAAGAGCCCACAACAACGTTCCAGAGACCGCGGGATTAGCAACAACAGCAGCCAAGTAATTCCGAACCCATCCGGTCGTTGCGGCAGTAGACCAAACGCCAAACTCGTCAATCACGAACGGCTTGTTGGCTGCGATTGTATGATTAGTATCAGATGCAACCCGCGCGACGAAATCGGTTGCTGAGACAGGGTTGTAGTAGTGATTGTTGAGAACGTCCAGGCATGTATCGTTCAATATGCTTTGTTGTTTGAGATAGTCCCACTTTGTGAGGCCGGTTCCGGCGCCGACTGAGATGTAGGAGTCGGTGTTGATGCTGCCGTCGAATATGAGATGGTTTGGCTATCACAAAGAAGAAAAAAAAAGAATTATTCGTGAAACAAATTATGAAATTTTCGATTCTGGTCACCAGCTTACGTCTAACGATTTCACATATAGAAACATGTCTTTTGCCCATGTCGTATTATAGCTGCTGGAATGCCCGCCCAATTCGTTTCCAAGCGACCATCCAATGATTGTTGGATCGTCACGATATTGGATACCCGTGATGGTATTCACTCTTGTCAAAGTAAATTCGACAAAGTTTTTGAAGTCTTGTATTACAAGTGGATTCGAGTAGAAGACTGTATCGTCGGTTGTTGCAACACGAAAATCTGTGAGGCAAAAACAACTCAGAAATCATTTTCATGAATTGCGACAAGAGGATGCATGACTGACGTACTCGTAAAAGCAAGTATTCCACCAATCCATGCCCAATTGTCAATAAACTGAAACCACAGCTTCACGTCGTACTCTTGGGCAATAGCGATGGATCTGTCCATGACGATAAAGTACTCTTCACTGTATTTTCCAGGACCCTGTTAAAGTATAGTTAGAGAATGAACAACAAAACGTTGTGATGAGCTATTGTATACCTGATATGCGTGCATGGGAAGCACGGGTCCTGCACAACCACTTGAGTCCCATATTGAGAATGGGTGTGTTCGGATTACAGATCCATTAAACATGCTGACTGCCTGTATGCCGTCTCGCTGCTCGTCTTCCTAAGGAACAGAGAAGATTGCCGTTGTGAGAAGATGAATTGCGAGTCTGTCAAAACTGCAAACACGCACAGTTGGAAAGTTGATCGGTTGAGTCAACCCGTCGTGGCAGTTTCCTCCTCCAACTCCCAGATTTGGGATCTCTGTTTGATTAAGAGTTAAAGATCAAGAGTTAACGTTAGCGTGGCACAAAAAAACGTTGCTCAAAATTCACAACGTGTAGAGTGTTACTTACGAACAGCCGTCACCATGTTTTGAAAGTTGACTCCGACAAACCGAAACAGCGACCCGTTCTTGTATAAGGCGTTTCCTTGCCTGCAAAACAGTTTTTTGAGGGTTTGCTCCAACGAATCCAAACACCGATTCATTGCTTGCCTGTAAACCCAATTTCCACCAACATCAATTGTTCTGCAGGAACAAACTGGTTGACAGGCTGGGAAGCTTCTGGTGTTATTCGCGTTCTAGATGAAATGAAAATCAGCTTCATTCCATCGCCAAAGAAGAGCTGCTTCTTGAATACCATTGCTTCAGCACAAGTTCCATTAGCGAAAGCGCTCCCGTCAACCGCACAGCTTGAATTACTATTAAAATTACATCGATTAGAAAACATGATCTGTCACAATCACACCTTTTCAAATTGCGTAAAACAAAAGATGTAGGCACGTTACCTGTTGGTGCTGCTACTGCTGTCATTCTTTTTACCAATAAAGAGAGCCAACACCACAATCATTATCACGACAATAAGGACTACTAGCGAAATAACTGGTATTAACCATCTCGGTCTCCTTCTCGACGACAGATGCTTTTCGTCTAGGATGGTAGCTGGCAATGAAACCGTGGCGACAATCTTTGGGGGATCGGGAAGAGACATCGCAGCCGTGCTGAGAGGATGCAAGAAGTACTTGACAAGTGTGGTCGACTTGTTTTTGGAAGTAGTGTTGAAACCCGCAAAACAAAAAAGAATCTTCACAAAGTCCTAAGACTCCGCTCGCAGATGAGCCTCAGGCCGGCACGTGCAGGGGTCATTGGTCTGAAATTTGCGAGCAATTTGCACTCTGCTACTTTGTCCGTCTTAAGGCTATATATAGGCTATAGGATGGTGCGGCATTCTACGAAACGTGATTTCTAAGGTTTTGGACATTTTGGGGTACGAGCAACGCAGCGCAAACAAAATATGAAACTGATTGAAATTTATAATAATGTGCTTGCAAGAAACCGTGGACCGACCGCTTAAGCAAATGCCGAATTCTTCTTGACTTCTTGAAATTCTTGATATCATATCTTCAACATTCTTGAGACACACGACTTCAAACTACAATTTACTCTGCTTCTTCTTCTCTTCAATCTCCTTCAACTGTTGAGCAATCAAGGCACGACCCCCTTCCTCACGTTTCTTGAGCTCTTCTTGAGTCTGCCCATGGATCATTGGATTCTTTCCCGGCACATCCAACCCCTTACGCGTAGCGGGTCTTTGAAGCATTCGATCCATCTGAATGAACGATTTTTGAGCCTCTAGCCAAACGAAACTAAAAAAATGGAGATGCGTACCCATTTTTGTAAATGTTGCAAGCCATCTAACGAAACGCCAGCCCAATCATGAAGACCTACGAAAAAAGTAGCACATAAAGTCAATTATGTTGCAAAGATTTATTCCATAAACACGGCAGTGTTATTACCAATCCAGCCAATATTGATGATATCAGCAGCGCTGAACTCTCCAACAATGTATTCGTTGCCGGTCTCTTTCAAGTGGGTGTCCAAAACTTGGTAGAGTCGTCTGGTTTCATCTTGGTATCTCTTGATGGCATATGGAATCTGTGATTGAAATGTTAATATGGGATGTCAGTATCATGATGTCTGTGAGTGTTTAGTACGAGTATTGAATACCTTTTCTGGAGCGTATCGCTAGAAAATGGCAATCAGAGTTAAGTTAAGTAGTTTTTTGCCAGGGTTTGAACAACGCATCAAGAAGACACTTGCCGAAAAGTGATTGGCTTGACCTGAAAAGCAGAGTTGTGGGATTAGTATCTACGATGTTACAACCAAAGTGGATGCGTTTCAAAACTCTCGACAACCATTCTCTGGCATATGTGCGCTTACCTTGCATGGGTCCAAGACCGCCCATTTGCCACATAATCCATTGAATAGCTGAATTGTTAGTAGAAAGTTAGTTGTTCGGCATATGCACGTGAAAAGCAAAGTCAATAAGTGCGACAGGTAGCAAACCTTGACTGCGCTTCAAAGGGTCTGCTGGTAATAAGATATGTTTTGGATCATAGTGCTCAGCAAGGTATCTGGAAAAAAACATGGTTTAGCGACATACACTGCTACCGACACGTGGCAACAGACACATACAGTAAGATTGCACCAGATTCAAAGACGGCAAATCCATCCTTGCCGCCCTTGCTGTGATCCACCACTATAAAGAAATATCAATAAAAGGCGTCAGAATGACACAACCATCCAAACATCTTTTGGGCGACAAAAACCTACTAGCTGGAATGCGCCCGTTGGGATTGATTTTAGTAAACCATTCAGTCTTTTGTTCATTCTTTTGCATTTGAACATTGTGGGTCTTGTATGGTAAGCCTAAAGTTGGGAATTTCAAATCCAGTCAACAACCAATGTTGATCAAACGTTGCGAGAGAGGAGGAACGTGCCTATTTCCTCCAAGGCGATACTAGCCTTCCAGCCGTTGGGAGTTCCAGCCTGTACGAAGAAAAGCAGTACCATCAATAGGTAGTATTCGAGCCTTAAGCCAATTCGTGATTTTACTCATCACGTATTTTTCACTCGAACAACCAATGAAGAGACAAGAACGATTGATGCTTACTGTGTACAAAGTGATGAATGGCTTGCTCATGTTTTAAATCTTAAGTGCTAGGAACCTATGTTTGTGAAGCTGTCTTTCCAAGTGAAGTCGTGCAAACTGCAAGCAGGCACATTGAAGAGAGTAACAGCTTACTAGTACAGACAAAGAAGCCTTCCAAACGTGAGTTGTTACTTCCAAGTCGCGTAGACTTCATTCCCGATGGGCGATCGATAAAACTTCTATCAGTATAATTTCTATTGCAGACAATGTGAAGGCCCAAACTATTTCAATACAGACAAAACATAAATCCCAATACTAGAGACTGGACTAGAGAGCTCGAGGCTTGACAGTTATCTCATACTTTGATGTGACCTAGTAATAAGCAATCAGCAAACGAGTCCGCAAAAGTAAATAACAGCCTACACTTACCAAAGTCAGAGTAACAAACGCAGCCTTCTCAGTACTTTGACTTGGGTTTGCATCTCGAATCTCAAAGGACCGGATAAAGTTGGATAAAAAGAGCAACATTTCCATGTTTGCGAATTGTTTCCCAACACAGTTGCGGCTTCCTGATGAAAAGGGAATCAGACTCCAAGTCCAGTTGTTTGCATCCCCATTGGTTACTCCTTCCTCTGCTAGTTTCGTGAATCGGTCAGGGTTGAAGCGGTCTGGTTCGTCCCAAATCGAACCGCGATGGATAGCCCAGATCTATAAAGGTTTTTGCAAGTTAGCCAAAAACAAATCTCTCCAAACATGATCAGTCTTGACAACCGAATTCGGCTTACCGGTATCATAATATCGGTTTCCTTGGGCAAGAATGTACCATCTGACAGTGTAACTTCTTGGTCTCTAGTACTTCGTATAACTCCAGTAGCTACAGGGGCCAGCCTCAACGTCTCATTTATGCAGGAGTTCAGATAAGTAAAACCTTTTGCTGTTGATGCGGTTATAAGACCAGTGGTTGGATCAACGGGTACAGCCAATACTTCAGCTTCCACTTTGGCTAAGCATTCTGGGTTTCTAACTAGCTCGATTAGAGTATATGCCATAGTAGCACCAGTGGTATCAGAGCCGGCGTTGATAAATAGTATGGCGGTTTGCATTATGAGAGGATCTTGCATCTTTTCACCAGAGTCTGGGTCTAGTCCGTCAATCTGGAATACGTGATTGAGGTTTGTTAGTATTAGAAATCTAAATCATACTCGATTGATTCGCTTTTACTGGATGTTATCGCTTTTCTTGCATTACCATGATTTGCATTATATCGTCTCGATAAACTGTCCCATCACGACGTTCCTTGACGAGATTGGTCATGTAGTCGTTGATTGTATCTTGTCCTTCTTTCGCCTTCTTCATCATGGGTAAAAATGGCATATATTTCAAGAATGGGAAGATTGTGATTATTGCAAAGGCTATGGTTAAAGTTTGTTATAAATCCCATCCTCATGAATGACGCTCGTTGAATTTCTTACCTCGTAATCCACGTTCCAAGATGTCTACAATTGGTGCTTTGCCAGTCTCAACAGCTCCAAATGAATTTCCGAATGCTGTCTCTCCTACAATTTGAGAACTTCAGTTGTATTTGATACATGTCGCTTCCAAATGACATTTAAACAACATACCTATCACATCCACAGAATAAGCTTTAGTCTCCTTCCAAATATTTATGGTAGTCTCTCCGCTACTACTTTCTTTAGCCCGCCTTTCAAGTTTTGTAGCCAGTTTCTGAAACAAGTCCGCCATATACTTTTCAAGGCCATTCAAATACTTGATTGAGAAGGCAGGGGACAAGAATCGTCGAAGAAACTTGTGGTTGTGTTTGTCCTGTACAGTCAATACATCGTGTTTTCTTCCAGGAGCAACGAGCTGGTCGTAAATCTTAGATTTTGGCAAGTCCTTTGTGACTAGGATCTCGTGCACGAGAGCAGCATCGTTTACGGATACAGATTGAGGCCCAATGCGGATAACCTTGCTGTCGTATTGACGGTGCCATTCTTCATGAATCTCGAATCCTTTTTGTTGAGCAAAGCGTTTATCGACGAGCAGAGAGAGCGGTCCCAAGAAGAATGGATATCTATTTGTATGAGGGTAAACGATGTGCTGGCATAGGTCAAGAGAAAAGTCGAGTGCAGCAATGTTCAAAAAGGCACTCAAACGCAATGTCTCGCGCAGTTTACAACCTCATCAAAGAAGCAGTACTTACTTTGGACCTGGCAATCTAGCTAACGGACTAGCAAAAATCAAGACTAGTCGTTTCAGGTAGCGATAACCTCCGTATGCGACGATGAACCACGCGAGGTAGCGAAGATATGGCGATTGCAGCATGGTCGCTATAGGCGATCAGTGAATTGGAAGGTTGGAACGAGCTGATCCTTGCTTGTTGATGAAGATGGATGGGCACAATTCCAAGATTGGCCGCCTGTTGGTTGGGCAGCGTCCTTGTTTAACCAGTTTAAGCAGGTCACGACTGTGGATGAAATTAATTGGCCGAACTGACCAAAACGAGTAGAGTATTGCCTAGATCTGCTCCTTCTCGTCATCTTGTACTGCTAACTCTCTCCCGTGGCTCCGTATACCACCAACATGACCGTGTTGTCCACATTGTCACGTTGGGCCCTTCCTGCCTTAAGCGGTTATCTAGCTATCCGATTTATCTGCTATATGTTTTATGGACACTTCATATCTCCCTTACGAAAAATCCCAGGCGGGCCATTGCGTAAGTCATCAAAAACACATTTTTGGATGCAGTGCATTTGCGCATGCAAAACATTGGACTGCCGTAATTCGATATTTCTGTTCGTTATTGTCAATAGATTCCATTTATGGACCAATATATCCCTTTGTACGCGCATTACAAGGGAAGGGTGACGATTTCATGCTTATTGATCGATACCACAAGAAATATGGAGGCATCATTCGCGTATCAAACCGTACCATTTCGGTGGCTGATCCTGCAATCGCAAGGTAAGTGCAGGATTTGTAAATACCAATTGTCAAGGTCCTCGCTGATGTTTTGTCCTTGGTTAGAGATGTCGCAGTGAAACAGGACTTGCCAAAGAGCTGGATGTACGAATTGTTCAAACCTTCATTCTCTGACAAGAGTAAGGAGTTTGACGGAACAAATCTACTCTCAACCGCATCAATCTTTGACCCTTACGAATTCATTTATAGATTTGTTCAACACGAGGGACACCGCATATCATAAGCAAATCAGAAAGATAATGTCACCATCGTTTGGGATCAAGTATATCGACAGTTTAGAAGTCTTTTTCTTCAAGGTCCTGGACGGGCTTTTTGAGAAATTCGACAAGGCGATTGCTCAAAGTAGCGACGGGACTGGAGTTACGAATATTTGGAAGGATATGCACTGCTTCACTGCCGAGATCATTGGGTATGCGTAGCGCTAGAATCAGTCGACGCATTTTTCTCACTCATCTCGTATTAGAGAAACGGCCTTTGGCCAATCTTTTGGACTAGTCAAATCTGGGAAATCGGAAATCGTAGAAGCAATGGCAGACATTTTCCGATACGCGGCGGTTACGGCTTTCTTTGCTTTCTTGAGACCATTCAAGTTTATACCGGCAATGCGCCGGCTGGGTGACGCTGAATTCAAAATTCAAAATTCGATGACAAAAGTGATTGAAACGAGAATGAACTCTACGGAAAAGCGGGTCGATATTTTACAATCTCTCCTTGACGCACGTGGAGATGATGGCCAGCCATTGACGGAACTGGAAATCGTCGATCACACGATATTGTTCTTAGCGGCTGGATCAGACACTAGCTCGAATGTGAATACAACTTATTTAAGATGTTTTTTCGGTGCAAAGCGTTTATGCTCACTTCTTTGCATCCTCTTGTTAGACAATGTCGTTTTGCATCATACACCTACTGAAAAATCCACGCGTATACCAGACCCTTGTCAAGGAAATCCTGTCAGTGCCATTAAAGGGCAAATATCTTTCGTCGGCCACGATCGTAAAGTCGATACCGTATATGGATGCGGTCATCAAGGAATCAATGAGGTAAAAACTACTGCTTGTTGCTGTTGTCTAGACATTATTCTTGCATTTTTACGTTTATATTAATTTCAGGATGCAACCGGCTGGAGTCTCAATCCTTCGAGAAACCAGCAAAGAGACGGTTCTAGGCGGATATGTGATACCCCCAAAGACGGACGTTCTGGTGGCAATATACTCTCTTCACCACTCACCGGATTTCTGGGAGAATCCAGAGGAGTATAGGCCTGAACGGTTCTTGCCTGGTGGAGAAGCTGCTGAATCTGAGAAATATCCAGCCTGTACGTGTTGAGAATTTTGCATCCTTTTCAAGTGATGTCCTTTGATCTCTAAGGCGCTTTTTTCTCAAGACTTTCCGTTTAGCCACGGGAGTCGAAATTGTATAGGTACGCTTTGAATTTTTGACATTGTTGGTTGCTACAGCAACTTTTATCTTTGTTTGAACCTTACTGATCTTGACTAAACCAGGGAAAAACTTTGCTCTCGCGGAGGTATCTCAACAATTTTCAATTATAAGTGGCAGCTTTGCATTCTCACTACGCCTTGCCCCTGAATATGCCTGTAGATGCGCGTGTGCCTGGCCAATTTCCTCAGGAGATACGAAATTATCGACGTGGACCCAAATCAATCTTTGGCAACCGACAGTTTCATAACCTTGCAGCTAGTCAACTCGACGTACATGATTGGTATCAGGAGACGCAAGTGAAAGTTGAGACTGCTAGTTGTTTCATTTTTTCTGTACATATGATATCCAGTGACAACTCTATGCCCTTTGTTCAATATATGTAATCTGTTAGTATTTAAGCAATGCCAATTCTACAAGTTTAGAGAATTGTTTCGTGTTTTGAACAGTTCCAAATCGGTTAACACGTGTCTTTGCTGGCTTAAGTGGTGGCTAAAAGTTTAAGCAAAAGGTCAGATTGTGGGCATAGATGAAAACAAGTATCGATCGGCCACCTGCGAATAATGTGAGCGATAATGTAGACGATTTTGGTCAGCTTTGATATTCGTAACTATGTGCTAAGTCTGCATCAGTCACATTTAGATAATTTTAACCAATTACCAAATGGACAAGCTGATCAAGCTTATCAAGTTCTGGACGATACCTGCAATCGCATCTTTGATGGTATTAAGGCTCTGCAGATGGTACTATTACTACCACATTCGGTCCCCATTAAACAAGATCAAGGGTGAAAACATTGTGTTTGGATTGCTGCACGATGCCCTTCTTGGTAACGGCCAACAATACAAGAGGGCTATTGCCGTGCATCGAAAATACGATAGCGGGATTGTCAGAGTCTTGTCCAATACTGTCTCTGTTGCCGACCCAAAGCTGATTCGGTAAAATGGTGTTTGGAACACAGCTTCGTACCCAGTTTGGCATGGCTAATTAATTGTATAGTGAAATTCTGGTTGTCAGAGATCTCAAGAAGGCGCCTCTTTATCAATTAATTCGCTTTCACGGGTTTCCGGATAACATTTTCACGACTGGTGATCGGGATCTTCATAAGCAATTGAGACACATTATGGTTAGATCTTTAATATGCTCTTTTTTTCATTCGCTTTGGAATGACTCGCTTTGTTGGATCTTTAGTCACCATCGTTTGGCTTGACCTACCTTAAAGGGCTGGAGTTTTATATGAACAAGGTCGTGGACGACCTGTTTGCAAAATACGACCAGGCACTCGAAGGATCAGACACCGCGACGGTCGATATATGGCAAGACATGCACCTCGTCTCGCTGGATATCATAGGTGTGTCTTTGATTTTTAAACGACACGACAACTTCTGAAAACGCCCCTTTAGGCGAAACTGCATTCGGAATGTCATTCAATTGCATTAATGACAAGCGGTCGGATGTCGCAGACATGCTGGAAGATGTGTTCAGGCTAACCACACGCACAGTGCCAATTTCATTTGCAAGAGGGCAAACATGGATTCCAATCATGAACCGTCTTCATAAAGCTACGCGCGGACTGACGGATATCTTGAAAGAGTCAATTCAAGATCGGCGGAGTGGGAAGGTTAAGAGGCAAGATATCTTGCACCAGCTTGCGGAAGGAGTTTGGGGTGATGGTACCTTGCTCGATGATTCCAATATTGTTGTGCAGTGTCTTGTTGTGCTTGCTGGTGGGAGTGATACGACATCTAATGTAAGAAATCGGATGAGGGAAATTGTAAATTCTTTACTGTCTTGGAATTTTACGTCAACTTTTTTTTCCCTCACCACAAAACAGACAATGGCGTTTACAATCATTCTCCTGCTAAAGAATCCTCGTGTATACCAGAAATTGGTGGAGGAAATCATGTCGGTTACGTACGAGGATGGTGCCAAGTCTTTTAGTAGTGCTTCGTACATTAAGACGCATTGTCCGTACCTCACTGCCGTCTGCTCTGAATCACTGCGGATCAATACAGTGGCGGGAACGGTAAGAGCACAGTGAGATCGCGTTGATTTCTGAGGTATGTGCATTCTCACAACCTTTGTTTCGTATTAGATGTGGAGGCAAGCTGAAGAAGATATGATGCTGGGAGAATATGGTGGGCCATGTATTTTATCTTGAATCCATTGTTTTTTTTCTCAGCCTACTCTCTCTGACATAGAAATCCCAAAGGGGACAAGCCTATTAATTTCGTCTGCAACAATGCATCATGACCCTGAGCTATACCCAGACCCAGAGTCGTTTAAACCTGAACGGTTTTTAGGACAGTCTGAAACTGATAGTTCTGCTTGTAAGTTTTTCCATAAGTCGCAATATCGTAGCTTGCACTAACTCCGAGATTTCGTAGACGTGCCTTTCTCGATGGGATCAAGGAATTGTATAGTGAGTAAGAGTGTGAAGCTGATTATGATCTCGTTACATTATTGACCTACCGATTTTTTCGTCAGGGCAAGAATATGGCATTCGCTGAGGTAAGATCTCCGACAAGGGCATCAAGGAGCCCACAGACTTGGTAACGCTTTTTGCTTTTGTTTCATGAATAGATGCGAATATGCTTAGCAAATCTGATACGGAGATATGACCTGTTTGATGTCGATCCCACACAATCGCTCGACAAGGGATCGTTCATCACGCTTCAGTTGATGTCGTCTAGCTACAAAGTGGGGATTAGGAAGCGCTGAAACAGCCAGTATGTCTCTGTCCGCTCATAATTGTTTTTTCTTTTGCCTAATATGTAATTTGCCATGAGTTCATATCTCGAATAGACAACATCTGTAACAAATTTGTGATGCAAGATGCTTGTGGATATATTTTGCATTTGTGATTTTTACACGAGAATATCTTTAATCCAAAAAGATATTCGAAAAGTACGAGTGTGTCAATTTCTGCATTTCCTCTAAACGAAAGAGAAAAAAAATCATTCTTAACTGATGCCACATAGGTTTAGGCTACAAATATTGCAACAACTGTATTGCTTTAATTGACATGCATACCGTCCACGTCGAGTAGAGTCATTTCTGCCTTTGGTAGGACCAGATAGAACTCACGTCCTTCAGATTTCCGTGCTAAGATCCAAAACTCTGCAACAGATCGAACACTTGTTTCAGTCAAATTTAGAGCCGTACTGTATCAATGATGTAGGAAACATGATGAGCATCATAGGAAAAAAAATTGCAAAGGCCTACGACATACCTTTCAAAGTCTTCATGTATTTCGTTGAGACACTGCGCAATTTCGGGAGTGACCATCGCGGATTTTGAAGTTCCAATGGATGTCTTGAAGGCCAGGTTGGCGGCATTGTAATAGAGGTATCGATAGTGTTGGTCGGTATATTCACTAGCAATTGAAATGGTAATGTCAGTATGATGAAATATTGATGAATAGCGATGTCATTGGCTTTTTTTGGTCGATCCATACCTGATTTTCCGAGTTCTTGAAAATCCATCTGATATGACTGATGATAAGTGAGGACACCGGGACTCTAGGAATGCAGACAGAGCAGTATAAAAGGTTCGATCTCTAGCTTGTACCGATGGAGGTACAGTCTGTGAGTGGGATTCGGCCGTAGATATAAAGAGAGCTATTGTCAATTCGTCTTGATTCTAATCATTAAATGAGATGAATATAGTTGTGAAAAATCGGGAAAAAGGATAAATAAACACCAATACCTGGTAGAGGACGACAAACATTTCCTCTGCATCTCGTCCAATAAACAGCTTTTTCGGATGCACAGGGACGGAAATCTCTGAGGGATTAAAGGACGGCACAATAAATCCAGTAAAGCGAGATGATCGTGATGTCAATGCTGAAAACAACATTGATGATATATCCGATGATGAATGGGCGTTCTGGAGAGCCAAAGCTGCAGCTGTTGGCCTGAGTGTTGTAGGTCGCGATGCAATCACCGACTAGATATAAGAATTAGTTAGCGGGCGAAATACTTGTGGATCAACTCAAGTTTTTTTGCACAAGACACACCTCTCCTTTGGGTTTCACCATGCTCACAATTCCATCAGCAATCTTTCCCGTTTCAGGATCTGTAATGTAATCATAAAAGCTCTTCAAATCCAGCAAATCTTTTAGTCCACTCGACACTAGATGATGTCTCCATAAAACCACTGTAGCAGTGACATTTCCAAAACGAGCTTCTAGATCCTGGACAAAGGATACAGTTTGCAGATACGACGTGCGATCCAGTGGCAGGAAGTGGACTCCTTCTAGTGCTGATACCAAGTCTGGGTGACTTAGAGTAGGAGTCAGTTTCATCAAGTATCCAGAAAAGAATTCGTCGAGACGTTGCCGGAGAGCCACGGGCGATTGAGCATGATTGACATGAGCAAAGGATTTGTGGAATAGCTAGGTTGGAATCAAGATTAGTATGGTATTGAGTAAGCATAGCGTTGAAAGGTAGTGCTTACTCTAAAGGCGTGGTATGCTCTCCACAAAATGTGTTTCACGACGGCATCAGGTAGATCAGCGTCCAGATGCTCCAGAGTCTTTTTTCCATCACGACCAGTTCTCATGGCAGTAGCTAGCTTCACTTTCTACAAATCGTTGAGTCGTTCAACACTGGAGTGTGCTCAAGCTCTGTAACAGACCCACCATCATTAACCAGTAGCTCGGCTCTGGCTGTATCATGGCTATTCTATGCTTCTTTGTATGTATGTTTTCGCAGGGTAGGTTTGGTGAGAACGTCCTATTAGGGGCGTTGGTTCATAAATGTGATGTCAACACAACACGACAACAAGAGTATTACTTTGTGAAGTTGATCATGGCTTGAGCGAGTCCGACCTGGCGTATTTTCTCATCCTTTGCCGTGATGGGGGGATAAAAGTAGCAAATCTGGTCTCCAGCTGATTCCTCCGTTGGAGCTAATGATGGATCAAACACTGCAAAATTGACCAAAGAAGCCGGAGATTCAGCCACTAGAGCACGTACATTGTTAGTAAAGATGTCGGGATAAATACTAGTGTCGACCTTACTTCAGCTTCCTTCAAACTATTCTACACAAAGAGATTGACAATACCACAGGAAGCAATCTTTCTCAAACTTCAATCGGTTAATCTGCTGTTTATCCACGTAAGATCGATATAATTTTGTAAATCCACGTGTCTTCCACGTGTTTGATCGTGAAATCACGTCGGAAAGTGGTCCATCACAGTTCTCCTTACAATTGCTGCTCTTTTCGGTTTAAAGCGTGAAAGCATTTAAAAGTAGGATCCAAAGTACTAAATAATTGTAAAATAAATTGTCGCGACTGACCCGTCGACGATACCGTGAATCTCGTCAACACACAGCGATAGCAAAACACCAGTTTTGAATCTAGTTGTTGACGGCAGAGAACAAGCTTAATATTTATGAACGATGGATGGATCAACCAGGTCACGAGGGGTGGCTGGAGATGCCCATAAGCCAAAACATCCTCCACAATTGTACGTCCAGGGATCTATTCTGTTCTTATTACTATTACAATCCAATTACCAACCAACACACTCATTCCATATCTATCTAGACCAAAGATACCAAATAGATCCGGACGGTCGTCCGTTGCCTCCATCCAATTAGAATCTCCAAATGTCCCCCATCCTCGTAAACCCGATGCATCATTCATGCGCTCCAACATGTCACAACAGCAGCAACCGTTCGGTGGTTCAAACGCTAGATTCGCAAGAGGCTCGCATGCTCAAGTCGAACGGTTGCCAGATCATACTTCTCGTGGTGGTCCAGCCGCTGCTCAGAAAAATGCTCCTGTCGTAGTATACGATGACGAGGGTATCGATGTTACGCCCGTCAGTCTACTCGGGCCTGTGAGGCAACAGCCTGCTCGGCATCGTGGTGTCAATGACATGTCTGTAGCAGAATCAAGTATAGGGGTAACTACTCGCGATTCGTCCTCTTTTTTCTTGTGGTTTGTCTCATCACCATTTGACGATAGAGGGAATCAGTGCAAGATGCTCTGAATAACATCGAGTCCATGACTGTTGGATCATGGAAGACATCTGTGTTCGCAGGGAAATCTGCTGCTCAAGGAGCTGGAGGCCTCAGTTTCAGTTCAAAGATCTCTGCAGTGTCTGATAGCGAACGGGATGAGGACTCCAGTTCCATGGTCAGCGCTGATTCAGATGATGAGCGTGGAGAAGGTTTGATATGTGGCATTTTAGATCTCTGATGTTTACTTTTGTTTGTGTTTGCTAACTAGGACACCATTTTTAGCAGGAGGTGAATTAGCTGGTGCAAAGACTAAAGCATCAGAGTGGAGTTTGTTACGAGCCACTCGGCGTGTGGAAGCAGATCCAGAACAACGTCTCAATATAGTGCTGACGGAAACAGAGACCATATGGCTGTTGGACATCCCGAGTAAGATTGTACCGTCTGAATCTGAAGAAGCCATACAAGTGAAGGCCGATAACGCAAGATATAAAGAAGTGGGTTTGATTCATCCGTTTCGGAATCTGTTACATCTTCATCTAGAGCTAACGTTTTTTGTACTAGATCAAAGTGGCACGGCCAAGTTCTGATAATTTTGTGGATCGATCCACTCAGACTTTAAACAATGCTCTTAAAACCAAGGATGTACAAGCAACTGCAGTGAGATCTGTCAATGCTGACTGTCAGGTTAATATATGGAGTATTGCTGATGCTATGGGAGAGAATAATGCAACAAATGACCAGAGGGGGGATGGAGGAGATGAAACGTAGGTTTATTACCACTCTTACGACCTTTTTTGCTCGGATACTCACCAATTATTCTATAGTGGTCATGAAGCTGATATCGATGCTTTACCGTCAGCAGATTTTGGTGCCTCGGGTCCTTTAGGCTCACACATTCAATCATCCACCATTGCTGAATCTGTGAACTTTGCAATGGGCACACGTCACGATATGGCATTAGCTTCATCAATGATGGGCGGTGCTAGCACTGCTGGCATGTCGACATACATGGGAGATCCTGAGAGTGGAAGGGCCAGTTATGCTGGTGGGTGGAATGATGCCGATGCGAATGCCGCCCGAGAAACTGGAACACAGACACATCAACAACATGCATCAGAGCTTCTTGCAGTGAGTCAATTTTTTCAATGATAACGAGCGTTGCAGTATTGTTTTGGTGCGCTTGATAATTAAACAATTCTTTCAATCTCCATCCAGATCAATCAAGATTCTTTGCGCTCTTCGTTACAGACTATGGAGCGTGCAGTAGTTGGAAACAATTATTTGAAACGTCTCATGTCGTATCGTGAAGTTCCAGATATCGAAGACGAAATCGGCTCACAAAATCCAAATGCCCCTGGTCGACCTTTGCGTGGCGGCGCAAGTCAACTCGCTCTTGGAATTCCTACTACTTTACGACAAGCTAGTGCAATCGGAGGTTCTCGAGTACTGGCCAACCATGGTAAGACTTACTTCGCAATCAAATACAAAATGCGGTATCTTAACCATTATTGTATCTGCAGCACATTCTCTTACCGATCTACCGGCCGATATTCCAAGTCTGCAATTACTTTGGTCCTTTAGATGTGAATTGACGAGAGGAAGGTCTGTCAATTACATTGCTTGGAATGGCCAAAACCAGGTATTTTCGTTTGTTCAGGACCTTTTGTTTTGCGGATTCTCTAGTTACTTCCAAATCAAAACATTTATAGAACGTACTGGCAATCGCATACGGAGAAGCCAAACACAATCCCGATGCAGCACCAGGGCTCATTCTATGTTGGTCGTTGAAAAATCCAGAATGGCCAGAACGAATATACCCTGCTAAATCGCCAGTGACTGCTTTGGACTTTAGTAATGCCAATCCATGTCTGCTGGCAGCGGGATACATGGATGGTCGTATAGCCGTATATGATGTTCGAATCAAGGACATAGCGAATGGCATGGTGCTTGACTCAAGTGAAGTGGCTGGTAAACATCGTGATCCAGTATGGGAACTCAAATGGATTGAACGGGAACGTGCTGTTGGTGATGGTAATTCACGTGGAGAGATACTTGTATCGGTGTCTACTGATGGTCGTGTTGTTCAATGGATGATACGGAAGGGATTGGAGTGCTCCAGTAAGTGCTATATGGATCCTCCTTCAAACCTTTATTTCTCATTCTGAAGAACACCCCTGATGTCTCTAGATCTCATGACCCTGAAACGAGTGAGTGAGAAGCAAGAGGTCAAGGCAGGTTCTCCAACTCGAAACAGCGGCTTCATGGCCAGACACAGTGGTGGCTTATGCTTTGACTTCCATCCGACTGACAACAGCATGTGAGCACGCAGAGATTGCTGAGTTTGGAGACTTGTTTTTTGTGAAATTCTGATCATCGACAAATATTATGCAGGTATATTGTCGGCACAGAAGATGGATGTCTGCACAAGTGCTCTACCTCATATCACGAACAGTATCTGTCCACATTTTCTGGTCATCAAGGGCCTGTATATCGTGTTAGGTGGTCGCCCTTCCTTCCATCATGTTTCTTGTCTTGCTCGGCGGATTGGACTGTCAGGCTGTGGAATCAAGAATCGCCTGATGCACCTCTCAAATTCCAAAATGGCAAGGTGGGCGATTGTATTAGCTCCACAACAACTCATAGATCTCGCAGATAACTGAACACAACTTCTATTGGGCATCTAGGAAGCTGTATTGGATGTAGCATGGTCTCCACACGCATCTACTGTATTTGGGTGTGTCTCGGCTAATGGTCGTTTAGAAGTGTGGGACTTGTTGTTTTCAGGGTAAACGACCATAAGCGATTTTTGTTGCTCAAAGGAGAGCCACAACAGTTGGTCTAACATCTACAACAATAATTAGGCTGGACCCTGCCATTACGCATCCCGTTTTGGATCGACAATTAACAACGGTGTCGTTCTCGCCCATTACACCAGCCATTTTAACCGGTGATGACAACGGTGCAGCTTACGTGTATCGACTAAAGAACTTGCCATCTATGTCGATGGGAGGTAGTATGCAAGAGCAAGGACAACGGCTGCAGGAAGTCATGACGAGTAAGACGTCTCATCTTCCAAAGATGGAATTAGCCCCAGCAGCAGTTGTGTAAAGTTTTTTTGTTTTGTATATATGAATATATATTGGTTATTGGCTTCAGATTTATGCAATTTTGACGCGTCTTTTCGCATATTCGTTCTCGCACGAGTGCTAATCCAAACTCCAAACACCAAAATAACACAATTTCATTTACAAGCGAAGCATTCATCCTTCCAGGCCAAAAGAGGACTGTTCATTCTAGAACGCATATACGTGTGAAGCAGAGAACTACCTTTCCCGTAAGTTTCGAGGCAAAGAACTATCGTAATCTCGTGTGTTTTCATTCTCAGTTTGGAGTCAACTATATGCATTTGAGTTAATGACTCACGTGTTGTTTCAAGTAGAATCTCGTATCTTTTGCTAAATAGAATAGAGCTGGCTTGACTGACTCATGACAATTGCATCGTTGGGTTGGGTGATCAACAATGTCCTCCACTAATTTGAATCTTGAGGCAGTTCCACTGGTAATCTGCTTATCAATGATGTTCATTTTATTCATTCATGATCAATTTGGACACGCTATTGAGTCTGACCGTGGCATTCTTTTGTCATTCTCCAACTCGTTGATCGTGTGAAAACCTGACTGTGCTTAACCAACACACTTTTCTTTCATCACCCAGTTATTCACCTCTGTCATTGATGCATCGCATGGAGATTTATCACGAGATCGGTTTCGTCTTGCAGGAAGCCGAGATGACGCTGATGTTGATGCTCTTGCACAGTACTTTAATTTCAACCAACGTGATAATTCGGATGGCAACGCGGCAATATCGTCACGTAATAACAGTACAACTCGATCTGTATTTGCGGATGAAGAGGAACAACCCTTTCTGGGTCTCAACTTGGAGTTACATAGCCCTCCTCGAGTGGCCATGTCCACCGTGGTATGACTCTGTTTCTCGTTCCTCGCTTTCCCGCTATTTATTTCTGAATCCCGATCAATCATTATTCCTTTCCTGTGTCGTTAGAATGCTTCAACGCCGATTGTGGTAGATGACGGTCTACAATTTATCAAGAGCTTACTCGACACTCAGGCCGCAGCAATGCTAACTCCAGCACCGACAAGGACACATTCACCATTCCCTGGGATGCGATCCGAATCAAATCTGCCTAGCCCATCTGCAACACCAGGAGCCACTCCTGAAGCAGCCGCCATCCTGGCATCAATAGCACGGTTTCCGTTTACCGCACACCCGACATCACCGACAAGTCACTTACAACGGCTCGAATACAATTTTACATATCCAATTAACGACAATGTGCCTGCACTAGTGTCGCAATCTTCTACGACATCAAGTGATAGTGGCACTGGCGACATAATAAACAGGCAACCGAGTATCATCCGCAGCAATAGTAGTAGAAAGGCTGCTTCTGTAAAGCTAAATGCCAATGTAATTCCGGAAGGTGCATCTATGCTGATGCCACCGCCACCGCCAATACTTCCCACTGAACGCAGAGTAAAGCTGGAACGCCGCAATTCCAGGTTTAACGGTGATACTAGGTTAGGTTTACCTGAGAAGCGAGCACCACCACCACTGCCTCTATCTCGAACTATGACTAGAACGACAAGAAATGGTTTATTAACGTCAACCAGCAATAATAAGTTAGTAACAGTAGCGACTTCCACACCACCAGCTGACGATGAAGATGAAACCGACGATGAAGACAATGCATCATCGTCAGTCGAAACGCCGAGTAAAAAGAAACAAAAGAAGTCGGCATCAACGACATCGACAACGGCTCCCAAGGCTCGTCAACCACGACAGTCACGTCAAGTGAAAGTAGCATGTTCTACTTGTAAGAAGGCATGCAAACGATGCGACGAAGCTCGGCCTTGTTCGAGATGTGTCCGATTAGGTATGTCGTTTGGTTTGACGCAACGATTACAGCCCCTTACTTAAATTTTGAATTGTAACCTAGGCAAGGCGGACACATGTGTTAATGCTCCTCGTAAAGAACGAGCGAGAGGGTATACACGTGGGCCTTATAAGAAGGCGAAGAAACAGGGTGATGAAGATGGAGATGCTTTTACTGGTTCTGATACTCCGTCTGGAAGGACGGCATCTCGTAAGTAGTCTGTTTGGGTGTGTTGTACACCGCTATTGAGCTTTTCTTGTGATTACATGGTTTTGATTCGTTTCTTTTAGCATTCTCCGCTAGGAACGAAACGCCAGAACATTATGCCATGACTCCAACAGAGAATAGTGAAGAAGAAGATGCAAGAAAGCTGGATGTCAAAAAAGACAAGAAAGCGGAGGAACAACAAGACGAGCAACCCACGACGAAGCCACCTCCGCGACGATCTCGTCGATGACAGTAGCCTTACGACCAATCTCGTATACTAGAACAACCCAACAACAATCAAAAGAAGATCTGCTGAATAAGTGTATCCAATGCAGGGAAATTGGTATTTAGTAGACCCACAAAATCAAAAGAAACAGATTTACTGAAGAAAAAGTAAAGCTAACGTCAAACCACCACAAACGTTGATGAGTAAATTAAACTGCTCGTATTTTGAAAATATACATATGCTTCCCTCTAATATTGGGCTTCAAAGTGATGCTTTTATCTGCAGCTTGGAAAGACCGTTCCGGACATGCTCAGGTATTGGTTCTGGTTTGCCAGTTTCCTTGTTCACATATACATGGACAAAAGTCCCAGTGGCGGTAGCTTCGTTGTCACTTGATGCTGGGCCAAACGATTTTTCCTCAAATGTGGCGACCCTGAGACATGAAAGGTTTGAATATTGATATTGAGTCGGAAGCTTCAATAATTTCAATCCATTTCAATGATCAACATAAATGTACCTGTACGTGACTGACGTGTTTCCCAATTTCTCAACCGCGAGCCCAACTGTGATTGGATTCGGATACGTCATTGGCTTGAAGTACTGACATGAGCTTGACTGAGAAATGGCATCAGAAACATCGACTACTTCAACCATCAAAACAAACCCAGCGCAACCTTGACAAACCCAACCAATTTCCCTTCAGCTGATGTTTCGCAGTGTTGATATAGATGGATGTTGACTGCTGTATCGAAAAGAGAGTAGTAGACAGCATTGTTGATGTGTCCGAATTGGTCATTGTCCATCCACCTGGTTGGGAAGTGTGAATATAATGTCAACAATGACACGCATACCGAGGTGGTTTGTTGTTTGCTGGGCGGTACCTGGATTGGATGGGGATGAGGAATTTGTAGTATGATTTCTGGCGGTCTGTGGCCATGCTGGAGAGGTGTCTTATCGTTCTTAATGTTCTGATGCCAGAGGGTACCGCCATTGACATATTTTATAAACGATGGACGCAACAGCGGCAAATACGTCGAACAGCACAACTTATGCGTAAAGACAACTTGAATTATATTATTTCAAAGCACATCTACATATCGAACGGCACAATTTATGCGTAAAGACAACTTGAATTATATTATTTCAACATATAGAATGCAAATCACTTTTTGCCTTCTTGTGCCATCTTGGCAGCCATTACTTCGACTTTAGGCCCTGGGATGCAAGGGATGATGCGAGCAGTCGTCTTTTGATATGCCTTGTAGAGAGGATACTTTTTGGCGGTGTAGAATTCTGTAAAGTCGGTGGATCCGTTAAAGAGAGCGATGAGTACCAGGGCCGGTACGCCAGTCCAACTAACGTATTGTCCAGATGCTGATACCGAGAAGAGATAATATATGACCCATTGGGCTTGTTCAAAGAAGAATGCTGGACTAGAAGAGGGAGGAAGAGGAATGTTTAGATTTGATACCTCCATCACCAACAACCAAAACTAGACATACTGTCTACTGTATCTGAATAACCCATCAGCCAAGAATCCGCGATTATAAGGATATGGCAGTTCTTCAAGCTTTCGTGTCTTCATCAATCTCTTCTTTGTCTGTTGGAAATTCCATTGCTCCTGGTCGGCTATTGCTTCCATGGTGAGACACCCCAAGAATGCAGCAGCAATCATGGTATCGCGTATTCCAAATGGCCGTGTTTTAGCTAATGCTGCTCGATACGCCACCCACGATGGCACCGCTATGCCGAATAGCAGCGCGTTCTGGAAGTTGCTTATGAAGGTTATGTTGAAGATGCGGTATGCTTGGGGGTATGGTTTGAGGATGTCGCGTAGTAGAGGCCAGCGGTAGTCTGTTAGAGGGAGAGAGAAGAGAAGTGAGTATTCTGCGGTGAGACCTCTAAGAGGGTGTCCTCAACAATCGGTAGACAGCTAAGTCATTTGAATGTGTACCTTCGTCCTTCCAGTTGTAGCCGCCCTTCCTGACAAAGTTGTAGGTCAATCTAGTAATGCAGAGTGTTGGTCTCGATTCGACGTCACATAATCGTGCAGTGGACTTTGCCTTAATCCCCAGATGGTAGCGATGGACGACATGGTCAACAGTCGTGCGTCCCAACTTCCGGCTTGTAAGCGATGAGCAATCGTATAATGCCATGCGTATCTACACGTGTAGAGCGAGATTAGGTGCTAATTCACGTATCTGCTGCTGCGACCAAATGTACTCACAACCAAGGAACCAACGACCACACTCTATCGACTTGAGATGAATTTCCCGTGATTTCCGACATTATATAAGTAGTGCACGTCACGATGGTCTCGAAGAGCAGACCGGTTGGCAGGGCATCAGTGGCAATGTAAGTGGATGGGAAGTTCTTGATGAATTCAATCAATGGACGAATTCCAAAGAAGGAATGCGCGTGTTCATTGAAGAATGACGTTGTAATCTCCTTGGCGACCGCCCACGATACATCCGCTTCTTTTGACAGACTCATTGTATTGTGTGTATTGAAGCCAAAGTCACACTCTCACAACACATATGAAAACAACCTGAATGAGCTCGGAAGCTGAATTCTGACGCGGTCCTAATTCTTGATATTCACGTTTGATCTTGACGCTGTAGACACGGTTTCGTTTCTTGCGTGTTTCGGGCTGACATTTGCTCTGAATAAGTAAATTTGCATATTTACAGCTGCTGCTCTGCCGAGGAACTCCTTAGATCTTCTGTATCAAGCCTCTATAGAAACGCGGCACTATTGGCCTAATTCCTCTGCCTATACTGACTTCCTACCCTACGAGGGTCTGGGTTAGAATATTTAGCTCTATCTGCCATGAATTTTTCCTCCTTGAGACGGGTCGATCGATGCCTGAATCAACAACCAAAGTATCCTCAAAATTCACGTCAGAAGCAGACAATCCCAGATTCCCATATCTGGTCCAACTTTGTGCAGCCCTAGTTACTGCTTGCCAACATTAATTACTGCACGACCAAAGGTTGAAAACTGCATTCATTATGACCGACATCAACTATTACTATGGCCAAACCATCTCGTAAGTGCGAAATCACCTTTTAATCACGTTGATAGTATGATTTCGTGTTTTTTGGGATGATCTGAATAGTTTGCGCCAGTTGCAATACATTTCGAGCTTTTACCAACTATTTGAATAGTTTGCCACCAAACTTTATTGCATTGGCAGCCTTTATACTCATCCTTATTGTTCATACCTACCAAATGATTCGTTACAAGTAGGTGTTGCTAATGAGAAACATTTCAATTAAAAGCCTTCTGAATATGATTTTTATTGTTAGGACGTGGATAATGTGGGTTCTGCTCTTGCCCATGGCGATGGAAGTCTCTGGATTCGCTACCAGATACTACTCGATACAGAACCCAACTATGCTCATGCCAGTAGAAATTTGCCAGTCGTTTTTGATCCTAGCTCCCATTTTCAATGCGGCTATTAATTACGGTGGGTGAAAGCCTTTGATTGTAGGCGGTCAGGCGTTCCTCATCATACTTTTCCATCGTAGTGATTTGCGCCCGTTTGATCAAACACGCAGGTCGACAATACGGTATAATGAATCCAGACAGAATCGGCCTAATTTTCATCAGCTCAGACGCTTTAACGCTGCTTGTGCAAATCATTGGAGCAACACTCTATTTGGCACCAAACCCTGACTTGGCCAAGCTTGGTATGTTATACTGCTTTAGACTCCCATCAATCGCACATGTTAACACCATTGATATCCTAGGAATCAAGGTTCTTTTGGCTGGTTTAGCTCTTCAAGTGCCAAGCTTTGCGCTCTTCCTGGGCAATCTGGTTATTTTCGACGTTAGAACTCGCAAAGGAATGGCCCCGACTGTTCGAGCCCAATGGAGCCCCCTTCTCTACGGTCTTTACTTTAGTTCTGCCATGATCATGGTACACAAATTCGTTACTTGACAATTTGCTATTTTGAAGATTCGACTTTGCTGACTTGTCCTTGTAGATCCGATCCATATACCGAGTTGTTGAGTTTGGAGAAGGTTTGTTGTGAATTTGCAGCTAAAACGCAGCAGAAACGGGCTAACAATCTCCACCACTAAAACAGGAAGTGGAGGGTACTTGTCCACCCACGAGGTCTTCTTTTTCGTGTTTGATACTTTACTCATGTGGTTATCCGCATGTACGTCATTGCATTGTGTGCTCGTACTAAGTTTTGCTACTTTTGAAACTAATTTTTAATCCATAATTTTAGTCGCATTCAATATATTCCACCCTGGCCAATACATCATCACAAAAGCAACAGAAGAAAAGAGAGACGCATTGCAGGCAGCGTCCTCACAAGATATCAGTAAACAAGCCGGTGCTACTACTGCCGCCGCTGGCAGTAAGATTTATCCCGATGCTGAGATGGCAAAGGTCTCCAATGTGTAAATGCGCCAAAGACAATAGACGCCTCCCCCCTCACCAACTTTCGCAGTTCGCGTCGCGTGTTTTTATATTGTTAATAGCGAGGTTCACACGTCACTGATGAAATTCTAAGCTTTCTTCTTCGAGATGTTTGATCTGTTTATCACGACATCACGACATTTTGCAATTTGTTGACAACACCGACGCATTTTAATATAATCCACACAATACAGAAACAGACGTGGAATAGAGGACGTTTGGATGTTGGCAGCCATATTTGGAAGTGCTACATGGTCGCCCACTCCCTCTAGCTCTCCTCTCATCAATCGAAAGAGCACAATCAGTGCCACATTTGTCCAGCCTCCTACTCGTGTATTGTCAACACTGGGTCGACGAAGATCATGGGCTGATACAAGCCATGGAATTCGTTCTTCGTCTTTACTTGACAAGAGTGCCAGACTCAGTGCATTCAAGCTAAGAGTCATAAACAGCTCGCCACGATCATCAGCCGCAAGCTCAACATCTGACGATAGCAACTATAATAGTCAGAATATCATGAAAGATACTAGTAATCAATCAAACAAAGAGAATGATGATGGCAATGGTGGTAGCGCTGAGCTATGGGAGTGTATCGACCTGAACGAGCATGGCGACAACATGGACCATCATGAGACTGATACTATACCTGATGAGAATACTACACTGACAATGATGGATGATTCAGCTTCAATTTATTGGAGCGATGGTCAAGAAGCTGATGCTGGAGAACATAGTTGGAGGTCGAGTGTGGCTACTGAACTTGACGTGTCACACATCAGGATTGGAAACGATGTGCAAATACATATCTTGCAAAATGATGATGATGATGCCGACACCTTGTTGGATGTTCCTATGGTGCGTACCTTGGAATTGTCGTTATTATCGTCAAAGTCACGAATCAGCCGATTTGAGACACGACACCCAACAGTGACACATCGGCATCTAGGGTCCGACTATTCAAAGACGGAAAGCTACAACGTTTGATCAAGAAGTAGAATCGATTGTATCTCGTATTCCAACTCGAAGTATGAAAATGGAGAGTCAACGTGCTCCTCTCGCCAAGTTGCAAATAGCCAAGTTTTCAACTGATAGGGCAGCTCGCTCCACGCAATCAACAGTATCACGATTCAGTTGGACAAAGTTTATTGAAAGCAGACCAAAATCTATGCCAACAACTACTGTAGAATTATCTCCCACTTCTTCAACTGTTTCAGCTTCAAAGAGTTCCAAACGCGGCCCTGTATCAGCAAAATCACCAAACTTACTACCGCCATCGTCAAAACCAATCGATGCTCATTGGGATTTAGAGAACGTCGTATCGAGACTACTAGATCAACGAATGGCACGCTTTGATAATCAACGTGTAGCATTAAAGCCACGAGTGCTCAAACACCTACCATTATTCAGCGACGAAATATGTATAGATATGCCTGATCTCCAAAACGATGTATCTGCTTTAGCCGCCAAGCATATAAGCTCGAGTCAACAATCACCAACCATTGATAAACCTGTATACCCATTCCAACCATCCATTGAAGCATATGATAACGTGAGGGCACCACGTATTATACCAGAACGTACAGATTCATTGAATCGTCTGTATTTGATTGAAGGCTTGTATGGTCATACATCGTCTGAAAATGTCAACAAGAGGATGTCTCGTCCAGTGATGCCTCCCCCTCGAGCCGCTTTGCCTGGTGAGGGTCGCTCGCGAGTTGGACGAGAAGTGGTATGGGAACTGGGAGAAGATGGATCATCGTTGCGACGTAGAGTGCTGACGAAAAGCATGGACTAGACGAGAAATGGTCTGATGAGAATGTTGTTTGTAGTTGTTAGCAGTCGTCGGTTGTCTGTAAAAATCAATGGTGGATACTATTATGTAAAACCAATGTAAAAACGTGTCAAAAGTTTGAGTTCCATTCAAAATAAGTGTGATTTATTCAAACTAAAGTGACTGGACTATTATTCACAGCTATAGTTTTGCAAATGGACTAATCTTGGCCAACATTTCCAACACCGTTTCTCCCAACAACTGCAAGTCCTTTGGCCGACTCATTTCATGTAATCCATCCTTCACCAGTACGACCTTTACATCCTCGCTCTCTATATCTCCTGCTACGTTTATACTGGTCTGATATGGGATGGCGTCGTCCATCACTCCATGTATCAGGGTGACTGGTACCTTGACTGGCCAGGGTTTTGTCACCAGATTCTCATGCCCATCTTCTAGTAGTTTGAGCGAATACGGATAGCCTTTAGGATCATATTTTGAAGGCAGCCATATAACACCATCGCCACGGCGTGCGTTCTCGATTAAATCGGATGGAATCTTCTTATACACTGACTCTGTAAAGTTTGCAGCCCCACCGACGCCGACTAGTCCAACTATTTGATCAGGGCGTTCCTTGGCAGCTAGCAGACTTATCCAGCAACCTAGGGACGACCCGACCAACAGTTGTGGTTTTCCCTTACAATACACTGAATCCAGGACTCTTAATAGATCATTCTTCCATCGCGTTACCGTGCCATCAATGAGTTTTCCTGAGGAGCTTCCGTGTCCAAAGTGGTCGTATACCATATAAGCCAGACCGTGTTTTTCACATAGCTGTGCTAGATTATTTGATTTGAGACCAGTTTCAATCGTCGAGTTGTATCCAGATACGAGTAATATTTGTGGTAGATGGGCATTGTTGGGATGAGCAGCCCTGTGGTAGTATGCGAGATGGTCGTTGCCAATGGTCGAGAGTTTACGCAATGGTAATTTGTGGGTTTGGCGAGCCATAGTACCTGAATAAATGATAAATGATAGGAGTTAGAAGAGAACAAAGTGATGCGTCGGCTCCACATTAATTTCCACCACCCTCGCTGATTCACAACTCATCAAAAACTCGACGAGGACATATAAAGCTTGTAGATCGTTACAAGCAAGCAGAAGGAGGAGGATATTATAGTGCAGAGCCACGAGATACATACCTTGTTACTACTTTCTTTCTTTAATAAGGACCTTTGTTTTCCCATCCAAACCTGCAAATCCAAACTACAGAATGTCTACGGTTTTCTACAAGTTCAAGGCCGCCAAAGAGTATGATACCGCTACATTTGATGGACTCGGAATCACCGTATTCGAGCTAAAGAGAGAGATCATGCTCACTAAAAAGTTGGGAAAGGGTGATCAATTTGATTTGGCTCTATTTAATGCTCAGACAAATGAAGGTGAGTTTGGATGCTAAGAGAGTGCATGAGTAGAGGATACGAGTGTAATAGACGCTATTGGATCCAATGCTGGTGTGGATGGGTGTTATTCGTTACTTGTAAATCTTGCTCTGTCGCCAACTTTGTGGCTATTGTGTGTGATAGATGACGGATATGTGCCAATATATTATATGATTACGTCTATTTATGAGTGGATGTACTCTGTGATCACTTTGGATTGCTTGATGCCTTGCTGCGCGTCACTACTTCACTGTGGAAGTGATGGGATTTCTTTTCACGCATCATCAACCCTATCAACCCCCTCTTTCACACGTAAAACTAACTCGATCTTAATCCCTCATTTAGAATATGCAGACGATGCTGCAGTCATTCCAAGAAACACCTCCATTCTAGTATCTCGCCAACCAGCTATGAAACCAGGTCGTGGAACTGCTCAACGTTATGTTTCCAATGCTGGTCCAATATCTGGTTCTGGTTATGGACGTCCTCGACCTTCTTATGGTGGTGGTTACCACGCCAGGCCACATCACCAAGGTGGTGCTGGTGCTAGTAGTGCACCTCCTCAAGAACCAGCCGTAGCAAAGTCACTAGACGAGATGACTGAACAAGAGCGAACTGAAGCCATGTTTAAACAGTCAGGAGAAGCATGGATTGAAGAGATGGAACGAATGGAACAGTGCGTGTCTGATTAGTATTGTTACTATAAATCTGCGTGCTGTCTTTTTCAAATATTAGTAATAATCTCTAAAATATTTTCTTTTGTTTCTTCCATGTTCTTTTGAAATTTCTTAGAGTACGACCAGTTGGACGACCAGCAGGACGTGGTGGGTTCCGACCTCATATGGATTCAATGATGCAGGGTGAACCACCTGCAGGTTACATTTGTTATCGGTGTGGTCAAAAAGGTAGGTGTTTTGTAAAAAGCATGCAAGCTTGGTTTGTATCCATTCCTTCTGAGTGATCCAAGGTTTTAAGCCCTTTTGTGGTCAAATAGGGCACTGGATTTCTGCCTGTCCAACTCGAGAAGACAAGGAATATGATCGGCCTAGGCTAAAGAGAACAACTGGTATACCAAGAATCTTTCTACAAACAGTTGAAAAGCGTAGTGGGGATGGTGGAGTCATGGTCACCCAAAACGGTGAATTTGTGGTAGCAAGACCTAATGAGTATGTGTATAGTCAAAGACTATGTGTGTTTTTTCGCTGACTGAAACATCAGTATCAATTAATACTGACAACGCTGACAACAACGTCTAGGCAAGAATGGCAAAAGAATGTCTCGAGAACTAAAAACTATCTTGGGCTGGGTGACATTTATGACATGGCTCCCATATTAGAGCACCTCAAGTGTCCTATTTGTCAAAAACTGTTGCGTGATGCAGTAGATGCTCCATGTTGCGGAAAACACTTTTGTGATGACTGTATGTTTGATTTTGAGAACAATGTTTTTCTTTGTGAGAAAAAAATACAATATTCCAACATGTTTCCCCCAATTTCTTTTGTCACATCTCTGTTTAGGCATACGAACCTCCCTCCTTGAAAATCCAAACCCAATAATGCACTACCGATGTCCTGAATGTAACAAGGACTTGTTTCCTGGTGATTTGGTGGAAAATCCAACACTACGAGCTCAAGTTGAACGACATTTACGTGCTTTTGCTGCCACACAACGAGCTGGATCTCCGTCAGTAGCTGTATCAGCACCTGAAACAACCGTCCCTGCACCAGCAGTGACTAATATCGACATGACTCCTATATTTATACCTGATCAAGCAACCATAATCGCCGGTGCTCAAGCTACTGCGAGTGCGACGTCAGCACCTCCTCCACCTGGTGTTTTATTGCCTCTAGCATCCAAACGGGAACGAGCATACAAGATTGTTGAGCCTTCGGCAGCTCCAAAACAGGTAGTGGAATATGCTCCTGGTACTGCTCAAACGTCTCAGAGTGGAGAAGAAAAAGAAGAAGGGGAAGCTAGTCGTGAAAGCGTAAGTTGATGAGTTGTTCATTGTTATTCTCTCTTAACACACTGAACTTTTTTTTGTCCGCAACGTATCAACTAAAAAAATTGTCGCCTTTGAAAGCAGACACCAACTACATTCGCTCGACTACCAGCTTCTGGATTGCCATATTCACAACCACCATATCGATACGCTGCACCTCCACCTCCCGCTGCAGTAGTACCACAACAGTATGGTCGACCCTACTATGGAGTACCACAACAGCAACCGCTCAGCAATTATCCACCTGGTGTTTATAATCGACCACAATATGGCCAACCTCAAATGTATCGTCCTCAACCTGTATATGGTCAACCGCCTCCAATGGCATATCCTCCGCAACAACAAATGGCATATGCTCAACAGCCACCATATTCGCAACGCCCTAATTATCCAGTTGGCGGAGCACCACCACAATTGATGGCTGGTCCTTTAGGTCCGGACGGTAGACCATTGTTTTTGAGAGCTGCTCCAGAGCTGGAGGACGATTGGGAGAGGTACGAGTTTTGTAAAACAAGAATGAGCGCATCGGAAATCTTATTTTTTGTGATGAAATTTCCGTCTCAGCATTAACAAACACTTTCCACGTTTACAGGCAAATGAGACGGAAGCGGCCTAGGATGGATGAGTACAGACCAATGTAAAACATCAAAGTCTGGCTGATTATGTGGTCCCCCCACAACCGAAAAAGTCCCAACATATAGAAAGTGGCATATTTTAACAATAAAACCTCAACGAGATTTGTATTATAACTTTTGTATTAACTAAATACTACTAGATTACTACTGGTATGAAACTGAATACTGATTACTTTGTTTACTGAAAAACTATTGGGTATAATCCCTGGCAGGCCTGCTACCAAAAAAGTTCAGTGAAGAACTTTTAAACTTTTCCTTGAATGTGGAACTTGAGTCCCTGGAGAGAACCGTGCTTTCTCTTGTACCACTGTTACAAAACGAAGCAGTGTTAGATGAGTATCCCCTCCAATTTCAAGCATTAAAGTTCCAACATACCAAGAGAACACCTGCGGCACCTAGACCAACGGCCGATGAAGCACCAACTGCAATTCCAGCTTTAGCACCACTGTCTAAACTAGCAGGATCAGCGACAATGGTAACTGCTTGCTTTCTGTTACTGAATGCATTATTTCTTGCTGAGACCTTAGAAATAAAATGTGGAGGTGAGCAAAAAATCCAGGCAATCGATATAATGAAGTTGCAGAGTACTTACTCCAGTAAAGACACCAGCATTCTGTACTTGCGCCATGTAATTAAAGTATGGCGAGGCAGCGTTCAGGAAATGGCAAGACTGAGGACTGTTTGCGTTCGTAGCTTGAGTGGTCAACATATCCTAATGTTTGAAAAAAATGGTGAGTTTGTGCATTGTTTAAGAAAGCGACTCTTTTGTCAACGTACTTGGACGCTAAAGCAGTTCGACTGATTTTGAAAGGCGAGCATTGCCATATCGTTGAAAGCAAACATGGAGGTATTGACCAATGGCTGACCAACGTTTGAAGAGGATGTAATGGTTGGAACAATGTTGGAGCGATCGGTACCTATATGTGAAAAAGAGAGGTTAGCCATATAAATGAAGCAATCTTTATAACTGGTTTGAAGTGCTAAGCATATTTAATATAAAGCAAGACATACCAGCACGTCCCTGACCATCATTTCCTTGATCATTGAAATCTGAGCCGCACCATTGGAAGTGGACCATATCACCTTGAGTTACTCTCAAAGTCTGGGGCACAAAGTCGTATTCGACACAATTTCTGACTTGAGCAATGTTTCCACGTTTGCCTCTGACGTTCAAATTGTGGATGTTTACGTTTTGGAGAGAAGAGGGGCGTCGGAGGATTTTGAAGGCGTAGGAACGGTCTTGGAAGGCTAATATAGAGTTGAAACATGTCAGTGATTGTTGCTGGGTTGAGTTTTTGCTGATTCTGCTTAAATTGCTAGTGTAACTTACTTCGGCCATATTGAGCAGTGTTGATTGCATGTCTTATTGGTACAGCCTTCATTGGGTCTGGGTCAGAGATGTTTCCGAGAGCAATGACTGGGTTCGTCTTGACGGCACCATTGTTTGCGTTGGTTGCAAAGAAGGCTGTAGTAACGAAATTGTGTCAAAACTGGGTGGTAGCAGATTCAGGTCCACAACAAATAGCACAAAGTAACTTACGAATTTCTGCAGTCGAGATATTGTATCGGATTCTTGCAACACAAGTAACAGAGTCAGCACCAGCAGGTAGCAACGAATCAGGGATGGTCCACTTGTACGAGGCTTGGTTGGCAGTTGAAGCTCCAGTTACGCCCATGCCAAGATGGTTGTCCATGGACCATTCGTGTTGAACACAGTCAGGAGCACCGAGTTTGTTGGTAGCATTTACGTATACCCACGAAGTGTTGGCATGTGATAGACAAGCGGCTTGAGAATTGTATTGCCATGCAGTAGCATCAAGTGGGTCATTGGGGTTTACACATTCAGATCTGCTGACAACGTTTTCGGAATTTGCTTGGTAGTATGCGCATTGCGTTGTGTCAGAAGTCTTGACAACAATGTCCATCCAACCAGTGGGAGACCAGTAAGGGTAGTAGTCACGTTCTTCAGTACATTCGAATCCATGTCGATCGTTTCCACCGTTGTTGTCTTGACGTGTGAATGCAGCAGTGTTTCCGTTCAAGTTTTGATCGGCCAGGAATAAACCCTAAGACAAAATAAAAAATCAGAATCGAGCATGATTGAATCATATCATGCCGACAGCATTAAAAGCAATCCTGAAAATTTGAAAACTTACTCCCATGCCCCTACGAGTGGTACATTTCGACCACGAGATTTCAGGTTCGTGCAAGGCGTACGTGTAAATCTTTCGTGGTGAGCATTGGCATTGATTGCTGTTGAAGGTGTTTAATCCAGAGTTTGTTGATAGATCGAGACCAGCACAGACATTAGTAGCGCCGGTGTATTCGGTATCGTTGACACAAGTAGCAAAAGTTGGTCGAGTTTGGGTGCAAGAGCTTTGTCCTTCAGTCGGGGTAGTTACCATTGATTGTTGGTTTTTGAGTGCGTAGGGCCAAAATCGGGTGCCGTCAGCAGTGGTTGGTTGAAGAGCTCGGAATGTGTCATCGCACCCAACTTGAATAATCACTTGACCTAGGACAACCTTAATGTCAGCAACATGCCAACCAAAAACAGCACATTACTGCAAATGGTACATTGTTGGAATTCAGGATTGCTGGGGTCGTTTTTGGCCACTCCTCCGTTACCACATCCATCTGTTTGTATCGATTGTAAATGTCAATGGACGCAACATGTACGGAAAACAAGAGACACGTACGTTGTGAGGTGTATTCAAAGGTGATGTCTGTTCCAGTGTAGTACTGCATGCTACTAGGGCACACAGCTATGGAAGGTAGTTCGCGAGTCAGTCAAAAACGATGCAAGTTTCGGATGTGAATAATAATTTGACCATTGCACTCACCATAACCACCGGCAGCATTGTTTTGCGAATTGAAAAGTAAATTGGCATTGTTACTGTAAATATTTACGTTAATTAGTATGCATTTCTGCATTTCCTTCCCATAATTTACAATCGCGATACTCACCGATCATTTGAAACTTCGTCGCAGCGATCATTGCTTCCCTAATAAAAGTAGGATGAATTTACGTTAATGATATGTGTTGTAATAGCTTCAAAATGAAGACGTCCTTCGAGTCCTCGAGAAATTAGTATCACAAATCGTCGTACGCACCCGCGGAGAATGCATATACAAATCACAAGTTGCCGTTGAAAACAGCTTGGCTAGTGCCAGTAGCCCTATTATAGTCCGCATGTTGTTGACAATTGATGTTGGAATTGGAGAAAAAACACGAGTTTGGTACTTTTCGTGATTTTTTTCTCGAATCAAGCGCAGCTTTGGTTCTGGAAGCATAGAAGAGCTCGCCGAAGCACTGCCCCTAAAGCAAAGTTCCTTAGAATGCTTCCATGAGGTGTGGATCAAATGCCCAACTAACGGTTGCTCATCACTGACTCCAGCACAACGAACTCGATTGTGTCCATGATGAGCGTGAACAGCAGCGCACAATTGGTAGAGTTGGAATTGTGCCGCAAGTTCACGGTGAACGTACTGCTGACCTCGCTGCTCGGTTTTTCAAGACTAGTTACGAAAGTACGCCGACCTTGAATGCCGCATACTTGATCCTTCACGAACCCTTGATCTTTCGGTCGACAGGTTGTCGATACATGATAAAGAATGATATCCGATACTCAATATACCTCTACGATCGTTCTGATCGCCATGATACGTTCAAGTTTAGTTTAGGCTGTTCTAAGTGACTAGTGGACCCGTGGTGCCAGCAACTCTGGGCCAAGGCTTTGCAAATTGCAAGGTCCACAATTTTTCGCACTTTTTACTGCAACCATTTCTTAAGTCTATCGACAGTTCGTACTTGATTCCCGTTGCAGACATGGTCAATTACTATGCCGGACAGTCCCCTAGGTTAGTTACTATTCAGTGTACAGCTTTATGTTGTCGGTTTCATTGGTTGCTCTGGTGGAGCAATTTGTTGAACTGCAAAACAATGCGGATGGCTGCCAAGGCAATAAAATTTAGTCTTGAAACTATTGTAATCACGGACATGGTGCTCAGGTGGCACCGATCGATGACAGATATCATCGGAATCTAACATGCCGTTCCAAGCACACAATTCACCATCACGAACTAAAACTGCAATCATTCCCCCTCGAGTCACCGAGCCTATCGATAACACAGATGTGTACTAATCACATTTCTTTCTTTCATTAGTTATGAGGCGGTATACGTTGCGATCGTACTGTGGGCGCTTGCTCTTGCGGCACACATTTATCTGATGATTAGATACAAGACATGGTACATGATGGTCATTGTGGTGGCAGCAACCATGGAGGTCGTAGGATTCATCACAAGGTACCACTCTCTGATGCCCCACAAATCGCATTTGGATGTCATGGTCCTCTAGGATCTCATCCTTCCCTCCACTCTAGATACTGGTCGTTGCAAAACCCAACGGTGTTGCTACCAATTACAATTACTCAGTCCTTGGTCATTTTAGCTCCAGTTGTGAATGCTGCTATGAATTACGTGTTGGCCTCAAGAATGTAAGGACAACTCCCCCTCAAATACTGTCACGTTATAAAGCTGACGCCAAATATCCCTCACTCTTTCCCAGAATTGCACATGCCGGAAGTCATTTTGGATTCATTTCAGCAAACAGAATAGTTATCTTCTTCGTGTCGTCGGATATTCTGACCTTCCTGTACGTTTTGTTGTTTGGCACGCGAGTCGTAAATGGTTGAGTGTCTCACCGGTAACTCTCAAATCTAGCATACAATGCGGTGGAGCCGCACTCTTCTTAAGTGGTTCGACTTCAAGCTCAGACTTGGGTAGAAACATTCTGCTCGGCGGTCTGGCACTTCAAGTGCCAAGTTTCGGTCTCTTTATGGCTTCCATGTTCGTATTCGATTACAGAACAAGGAAGCAGCTCTCGCGACCGCTGCGAAAGCAATGGGAACCTTTACTTTGGGCCTTGTATATCTCGTCTCTGTGCATTATGGTATGGTTCACACAAATTGTGTTTGTTGGCCAACATGGGGTTTTGCATTCAACTAATCTACGTTTTATGTAGATCCGTTCTGTATTCCGTGTCGTTGAGTTCTCGCAGGGCAAGAATGGATACATTTCGGCTCATGAAATTTACTTTTACATATTCGACACGATACTTATGTACATTGCAACAGGTAACGACGCCGTTTCCATTTTTCCGGACCGTTGAAGCTAACCACACCTCTCTTTTCCACAAAGTTGCTCTGATAATCGTTCATCCTGGACGATACTTGGGAGTTATTGGCCAGACAAAGAGGGATGCTATCATTGCCAGCGAAGAAGGCACAGACTCTGCTCTAAGCAACCCTGTAACGATGGTTGATCTTGGAAAGGCCACAGACGACCATGTGCCCAAGGTTTAAATATACTAGAAACGTCACTCACTACCAAACAAACATCCTTATACTCTAATATCACGTACTACATTTTACATGTTGTTGAATGAGTTTGATGAGTTATTCTTTATCATTTGGTATTGTGATATCTATGATGGCTGATGATGGAGCACGCGGGCTGCGATGTTCACTTCAATATTGTGTTTGAGCGTGTTGCGAGGCAATACATCGTTTTTAGATTTTAGACATGATTATACGCGTATCGACACCGTTTCCTTCAATTCTGAGGTTGTATTGTTGGTTGACTCACTTGCTACCAACCATTATTTAGCAACAACACACGCTTAGAAGGTCGCGGAAGGATCACAGCGACAGAACACTCTCACACGACGAGACCATGAAAACAATATGATATCTGTATTGAAATTTCTTGTATACATTGGAGGGGCGTTGGGATTTTGCTTCCTCATTCTCAGTCTGGGTAAGCATGTGTTCAATGAGACAGACAACATACAGCTGATGGATAGTCAATCATTTTGATTTATTTGCAAGCACGTTGGAAGTGTGATTCGTGCAAGTGGAGCTCAGCTGCACCTCGTGAAACGAATCTCGTAGCTTGAAATCCAAACATTTGCTTTGAACGTGTGTACTGACTCGACCTGTGTTTTACATAGCGAGTGGACTATATCTACTAGCTGAATGGGTCGAGGAGTATACTGTTCAAGCCAAAAAAGTTATTCGATGGACTTCTTATGTAAATACGTGATCAGCTCTATCTGCTACTTTGGCGTTTTGGATTCCTTTTAGCTACTATCTGCCATGTTTCGTAATATTCTCTGAGGCTATCTATCCTAACACTGTCTGAGCTCGGTTTTAGATCGTCATAGCCACACATCTCTTGCTGTTTCTCGATAACTTGCCATGGTGGCGTCTCATATACTCCTTTGGTTGTCAGCTGTGGTATTTGCAGCTGTTGCCGAGCTTCCCAATCATTGAATTAACAAATCCAGTCTTCCTGGGCGTTTGTGGTATGTCGATGAAGTTGTGCTGCCGCTGTTGCTGGTTGCTGCAAATACGTCTGACGTCCACCGACAAAATAACCCGTTCTTTTTCGCCCTTGTTAGGAATGGTCGTCATCAACCATTTCATATGGTTTTGGTACTTTACACAAAAGTATCATCCATTTTCACAGATTGCTACCTTTTTCGGATTATGTGTGTGGTTGGTGCCGTTCCTCTACTTCATATCTCTAAGTGCCAATGATTACACGTTACCAGCATTCGGTAAGTTATTTGCGTCCAAATCTACGATATTTTTGAATTTCTGGCAGACTCGCTGGCAGACGCTTCCATTTCGTAATACAGTCTGCCGCCAATTTTTTATCCTGCTTCCATTTTTCTCACCACAACTCCATTTACAAAACAGATCAATCGTCTGCAAGTCGGTATGGAGAGAATGGATCTCAAACCTCGCGGAAACGCAGTCTGGTCAAAACCATTGTTAATTTCTTCCTTCGCCGTGATGATTCTGGAGGACTACCTCCGACCAGTGGCCACCAGTCGTTACGTGACAGCAAGGCACTGTAAAATCATAGTATATTAAAAATCATTGCATAATTTTTTTACTTTTACATAAACACACACATACTCTGTACAAAACATCAAAGCATCGCAAACAATCGAGTTTCGTGCTTGATTTTTGTATGGTTTGTATTCACAGTCTCAGCAAAAAATTTACACACTACACTAGTTTAAACACTCTCTATCTACTTCAACTCTATAATAATTCAAGCTCCCTTTTTACTTGTGACACGTGCTTCCCTTAAAACATATTGACAAAGAAGTGGCGATGTTGTGGCAAGGCCTGGCCATACTGACAGTCCTGCCTCCAGAAGACAACATATCCAAATAGATAAATATACGGTTCCAGCCAAACTTGGATGGGTATCTCTATATTATTCGACCTTCAGGGAAGCAGCGTCGAGCCATGACATCCACTTCATATTCTACGATTTGGTTTTCCATTCCTATTTCAATTGAGTAAGGAGGGTGTTAGTATTAGTTATCATCAAGGAATTTTGCGCAGCCGATAGAGACCATTGGATTCCGTCACATACCAACAAAGATAGACTTCGCGTCTGGTGAGAACGAGACACCAGATATATGCTGGTCACTGCCAGGTGGAGCAACACGTATACTCTGACGATGTTCAAAAGTCCTGGTGTCTACTAGATTAAAGTACGACACATGCTGATGTTTTCAATGAGAGGGAAGACAAGAGTAAGTAATAACGTAATGTGGCGAATGAATCCGTTTGTTCCTTTTTGTTTACCTCACTAAACATCAGCAAATCCACTGATCCAGCTTGAGCAAACTTGATGCCTCTACAAGCACCTTTAACTTGAGGACTCTATAGTGTGGAATATAACAGAGAATGTTAGTTTCAAGACACGATGCCACTAGGGTATATGCAGCACCTTACCTGTTTTGATTCTATTTTAGCCAATTTTTCGGGACTTCGTATATCCCACACACTGACTACACCATCTTGAGACGCGACTGCGAACTTTTCAGACCCTTCATTCCATGCACATGAGAATCCGGCATCGTTTGATCCTATATGGAATAACATGCACAAAAATCGTGAATAACACTATGTTAATCGTATAGACACACAACAAGGAGACACAAAACATACTGCACTACATACCAGTGAGAGCAGCGACTTTATGATACCCGCCAGCAGAAATATCATACAAAAAGACTTGATTTGAATCACCAACAGCGACCAATTTACGACCATCAGGAGACACCGAAGCATAATTCACAGCAGTTGGGAGAGTCAATGACGCCATGCGTTGTAGTCCAGGCAACGAATAGATTTTGATGGTCTCGTCATTGTTGCAAATCAATAGCCTAGTCCCGTCTAGATGATTTGATATCGACAAAGCATTATTTATACTGCCTCCTACGGTAGTTTGTTGAGCCCAGTCGCTTCCTAGTTTCTTGACCATGAGTTGACTGCGTTGACCTCCTACTGCTAGGTATCCACAGCTGATGGATTGAAAATGAAGAGAGGTTGGGTGATGAGTGGTTGGAGTTTCGAGCAAAAAGAGGGTAATACAGAGACCAATACTGCCACATGCTTACCCAGTAGTCATAGAAGTCGGCGGGAAGGTCAAATCTTTAAACAGGTAATTGGCCTAATCGTGAAGTGACGTGTCAGTCAGTCTTCTGCATTGTTTCGCTTTGCAAAATCACACACACCTTTCCATTCTCAGTGTCATAAGATACTACATTCGTTTGGTTGACGCATATGACTTCCTTTCGTGACGTTGGGCAAGCGATTAGATCACGGAGTTGCCTGAGTGACAATGTGGGAGATAGTTAAGTCTTGTCACATGTCTGTGTACGTAATCGACAATCGACATACCAATGCTGAATTGTCGTCCTTTGTGGATGTCTTTTGGGATTGGGTCGCGTGAATTCAGAGTCGTCTCTATGGGTTGAGTGTAAAGTTTGTTAGCTTCTGGTGCAAACTGTTGCTTTAAACCGAGACAATCTCAATCATCCAGTTAAGAGGCAAAAGAGCTGCAATATTCAATCAATAGATCCAAACAAATCAATTTTACTAGCGGGCAGATCGAAATGCTTGACAAAGATCAACAAAAGATCGTTGGCACACCCCAAAATGAATAATTTTTGCCCCAATGCGATTGCAAAACAACCCGTCCAGATCTGATCACGTTTGAGGCACTGATAAGACACTGACAATAAACTTGAATTATGCCCGACAATTACATAATGCCGTCTGGTCTTTTCCTCAAAGATTGCAAACCATCCAACAACACACTTTTAATCAATTTGATCTAGGCGATAACTTTACCTCGAATTTATTGCAAATTTAGCATACGGCAGTTCCCTGAGAGCAACTGGTAGCGCGGTTTGACTTCCTGGGGTTCTCATAGTGGGCATATACTGATCTTGAAGAGCTGTTGTGTAGTGTGTTTGGTTTTTGGAGCGAAGAAGTACCAAAAAAGCTACAACGCGCACGTTTGCCGCTACACAGTTCATAAACATGGTATGCAATTATTTTAATAATACTTATATGCAATTGGCATTAATACGCTTAAATACAATTAGCTTATCACCACTCGAGTTCGTCTGGTGTTATCGGAGCTTTGAGAGGTATGATGCTCTCCTTGTTGACATCCCGAGGAAGTGCTTTTCTCATATCTAGTAGATGGTCGACGAATATGAGCAAAGATTTCGATAGAGTATGCTTTCGTCAGATTTAGCTTCCAAATCAAGACTCTGCACCAGACTCACCTAGAGCATCTTCCCCATCTGCGCCAGAATAGTATCCTAAGACGCGCCGATACACAGTATATCCAAATTTCTCATACATTCCAATAGCAACTGTGTTGGAAGCACGCACAAACAAGTCGACAAAGTATGCGTTCTTGCTTTAGGATAGTAACGAATTGTGAATGTGAGTGCCAACGTTGGCGAATATTAATTTGAGTATGAAAACGAAGCCTCGAGACAATCACGAGTCATTCAACGTCAACCTACATTTTCTCGGATACTTGTTCTAGGATGAGCATCAGCCTATCAGCTAGATGAAGACGTCTGTATTCCGGGGCGACGGTGAGAGCAGTAACATGACCATGCCACAGTTTCCCTTCGCCCTCAGACTTTCCCATTACTATTGTCAATGTGTGTTTGAATGTGATGCCGAGTGACCAGAGGACCAATCCAGTGTAAACGATGTTCATGCTTACTGTAGCCCATAAGTTCGCCTGAAGGAGATTGAGCAGCGACGAAATAGTCTGGCCATTCGGCAAGGTACTGCAAATAGAATGACAGATTATACTAACAGAGAACGAGTGATTAGTAGAGATAACAAAATGATACTGCGGTTTACTTTTAAAAGCTTACAGTCTCTGTCAAGGGGTCGAGATTGCTATAGAATATGAATGTGAGAAATCCAAGCACCAAAACAGTTAGTAGCGATTAGACGTACATGTTGTTGAACTTGAACAAGTCATCGGCGACGAATCGTCTCAATGTAGTCATATTCAATGTATTTCCTTGTTTATTTGTGAGCATACGGTCCCGCGTTGGCCTCTACAAGTTGGATTTTGTTTCAAGATGACGAAGAGCACTTCTTTAGCATGTCAAACTGCAAACCAGAGCTAACTTTAACGCGATTCTAACGACATAAACCTAGTAGAACACGTCCATGAGTCTTTCGCTGCGATCAGCTCGGTGTCTGTCAAGATGATTCGTGGCAACACTGAAAGATTTTCGAGTTTTTTTTTGCTCGAACATTCATCGGCACAGGCTGTTATATTGTATAAAGGGAAGTGAGAGGAACAAGCACAACCATGTATACTATCGCAAGGTCATCGCTGAGCTCAGCGGGAAGGCTGACTCCTACTCTACAAGTACGCTCTTTGCTGAGTGCTAGCTTTTCAGTTTGAAAGTTTTTCGCATTCATAGAAGAGTGCAACAAGCACTCTTATGATCGTCACAACAGTGTTCTCCATGTCCAAATGGCCTTGTAGGCTTTCTTAAGCTCTATTTCTTGCTTCAATCTAAACGCATCAAAACGCAAACCTCCCACACTCTACATGCAAACTTACTTTCCACTTATCATATAGACATTCAGACCATCTTGCGGCATACTAGTCAGATATGCTAGGTAATCATAGAATCCAAAACGCTTGTCTTGTGTACTGTCTGTTTGAAGGCCTTGGGACGCTCAAACACAACAGACGCACATCTTCTTGTTGTTTCTTCCTGCTCTGACATTGTATCGGCTGACACCCATCAATTCTCCCCTGCTCTACCTCATTCCTTACCCTTGTCTCTCTCCATTAGTGACAAGGTCCAGGGTCAAGTCATTGGTATTGACTTGGGAACTACAAACTCTTGTGTCGCAGGTAAATTATTTAGACTCTGCATTTATCTCTATTGCACATCGAAACTGAGCTGTCATCTTTTCATTCATATGCTTCATGCGTCCCTGCATGCGTCATGCTTGATCGATCAAAACCATCAACTTGTTTCGTGGCAACTTACTCACTCTCCCCCATCCTTAGTCATGGACGGAAAGACGCCAAGAGTCATTGAAAACTCGGAAGGAGGTCGTACTACTCCATCCGTAGTCGCCTTCTCAAAAGACAATGAACTCATCGTTGGAACTCCTGCTAAACGACAAGCTGTAGTCAACCCCGAAAACACCCTATTCGCCACCAAACGTCTCATTGGTCGTAAATTCGATGATCCAACCGTACAACGAGACATGAAGACCGTCTCCTACAAGATTGTAAAGCACTCGAACGGTGACGCTTGGGTGGAAGCTAGCGGCAAAAAATACTCGCCTGCTCAAGTAGGAGGCTTTGTATTGATGAAGATGAAGGAAACCGCTGAAGGCTTCTTGGGAAAGAGTGTTAAAAACGCAGTAGTCACCGTCCCTGCTTACTTTAACGATGCTCAACGACAAGCTACCAAAGATGCTGGTCAAATCGCCGGTTTAAATGTATTACGTGTCATCAACGAACCTACGGCTGCTGCATTGGCTTATGGTCTTGACAAAGTTGGCGACAAAGTTGTTGCTGTATACGATTTGGGTGGTGGTACCTTTGATATCTCCATCTTGGAAATCCAAAAGGGTGTCTTTGAAGTCAAGTCTACCAACGGTGATACTGTAAGTTCTTGTTGCGTTTGATGTTGTTCTCAACGGCGTTATCTGTATTCAACGAGGTAGCAAGAAGAGCACAGCAGAGAACGTCGTCATTTTTCATTGGGATACCCTTCTTTTGCTATGACCCCATTTTTGATTAGTTTACAGCTGCCAACTCACCACAATCCTCACATATATATAGCACCTTGGTGGTGAGGACTTTGATAACTACTTGGTGTCTCACATTGTAAAAGACTTCCAAAAAGAATCAGGTCTCGATCTAGGCAAAGACCGTATGGCTCTCCAACGAATCCGTGAAGCTGCAGAAAAGGCTAAAATCGAACTATCATCCACTCTCCAAACCGAAATAAACTTGCCATACATCACTGCCGACGCATCAGGTCCCAAACACATCAACATGAAACTCACCCGTACCCAATTCGAAAACCTCACCAAGGATCTCATTGACAGAACTGTAGAACCATGTAAAAAAGCCATCAAGGATGCCGGTGTATCTACCAACGAGATTAACGAAATTATTCTCGTCGGTGGTATGAGTCGTGTCCCCAAAGTCCAAGAGACTGTTAAAGGTCTCTTTGGCCGTGAACCAACTAAATCCGTAAACCCAGATGAAGCCGTCGCTATTGGTGCTGCTATACAGGGTGGTGTCTTGTCTGGTGAAGTCACTTCCATCTTGCTACTGGATGTCACTCCTCTATCATTGGGTATCGAAACTCTGGGCGGTGTATTCACTAGATTGATTACCCGAAACACTACAATCCCAACCAAAAAATCTCAAGTATTCTCAACTGCTGCTGATGGTCAAATGAAGGTCGAAATAAAAGTATACCAAGGAGAACGTGAATTATGTAGAGACAATAAATTACTAGGTCAATTCGACTTGATTGGTATCCCACCGGCTCCTCGTGGTGTACCTCAGATCGAAGTCACCTTTGATATCGATGCTGATGGTATCGTCAACGTATCTGCAAAGGACAAGGCCACAAACAAGGATCAATCTAGTAAGTGTCTGTTCCGCTGCACGACTCAACTTTTTGAACTGTCTCATTGCAACAAAAACCGATTACCGTGTCACTCCACATAATGGGATAACTAAAACTCACACCTCTTCTTAAATCCAACAGTAACTATTGCTGCATCATCAGGCCTATCGGACAATGAAATCGAAAACATGATCCGACAAGCCGAAAAGCATGCCGAAAGTGACAAGAAACGTAAAGATGTCATTGAAGCCTCAAACCACGCTGAACAAATCATCCACGACACTGAAAAGGCCATGGGTGACTTTAAAGATCAGCTAGATAAAGAAGAAGAATCAAAGATCCGTGAAAAGATTAAAGAGCTACGAGAATTATTGGCTCAAGGTCCTGAAAACTTGGATGCTGATGGTATCAAGACCAAATACGGAGAACTTCAACAAGGAAGTTTGAAATTGTTTGAAATGGTTTATAAAAAGAAGAGTGCAGAGTCTTCATCGTCGGGTGGATCTGAGGGAAAGACTGTTGATGCAGATGAGGATGCCGACAAGAAGAAGTCGTCCTAAAAAAGCCATATCATAACATAGTTTTGTAATCCAAGTCCCTCCCCCCACTCAGTCTGACAAGTTATTTTTTTCTTGCATCAAAAATATAGATCACGTTTCTTGAAAAAGACTGTCATTCTTTCTGGAAAATGAAGCGATCTGGTGGGGAAATGCGTGGTGTTTGATGTAAAATGTTTCCAGTTTCTCTACGAGTCGCTCTGCGATTCTTGCCTAGTACAGATATGACATCTTTTATATCATCTACAGGTATATGTACAAGTCGCATCTTGGCCGACCATACTACTAAATACAGGTTCTTTTGCGCAGAATTTCTGCAATTGCTGTTTTGTTAAAATCCATTGACTCGACGTTGATCTTCCCATCGAATAGTGGCATCAAAGCCCGGGTTCAAACCACCGCCCATATCCGCGTAATGATTGAATCTTCCAGCGGGTGCTCCTCCACCTTGTGGTTGATGTTGACCAATGGCTCTATTTTGAACCGGAGAGAAAGGTTGGTAGGGCAAACAATTGTCAAATGGTCCAAGATTTAACAAAATTAAATAAATCAAAGTGGAAGCAAGATGTAACAACTGTAATCTTGGAGTGGAACAAAACAATGTCAGAAATGCAAAAGTCATTTGTGCTTGAACTTACGGCATCATAGGCATTCTCCGACCACGATATACACCACGATTGCCTCCACGACTTCGAGCACGATAGGCGCGAGCGTCGGCATCATCACCAGTTCTGGCAGGACGAGCTGCAGCGCCTCTACCTCTACCTCTATATTGAAAGCGACCACGACCTCGACCTTGGTACTGTCGGCCTCCTCCTGCTCTACGACTTTTGGTAGTACCACCTCGACCTCGAGCATCTGATCTGGCACCTGGAGTAAATAAGCTATGGTATCGTTGTGCGATGTCTGCTGGTGCGTCTTTCAAGCCGGTAAACCCTTCGAGTGGTGACGAAGACCTTCCATTTTCATCTTCTTCACCTTCTTCACCGTCTTCTAATTCCTCTTCGTCTTCCTCAATATAGAATCGATCCATGGCAGATGACGGTTCTATGTTATGTGGGTTGTTCGTATTACTATTATATTGGAAATCGTCGTCATCGGGTCCGCAAAAGACACCATTGCCGTCATAATATTCATCATCGTAGGCACCACTACCATCATAGTAGGCACCACCACCATCATCTTGATCTGAGTTTGTAGTTTGATCGAGATTCATAACAGTGTCATTAGTTTTATTGTCTCCCATTTGATCATATTGATTTGCAAAGTCTTCATCAATATGAATATCCATCTGATCAACTGAGATCATCTTATTACATATAGGACATGGCGCTTTATCACTGGTTTCATCAGCCCTATTGAAATGATCTTCTGAATCCACTAGCATCGCAGCAGACCCGATATTTGATTGGTTGTATTGGTGGCTACTATCGTATTGGTCATCTTCCTTCTCAGAGCCTATTATTGGTTCATCTACAGCTGATTGATGGGATAACGATACTCTGGGTGATTTGCGGCGCCGTTCGCGAATGGCAGCAACTGGAGCTTCACGTTTTGATTTTCCTTTATCCTTTCGTGAACGTGAGCTTGCTTTTGGCTGCCAATCGCCTTCATCGGAATCTTCAATGTCATCTGGTATCTCAAACGAGGCGGCCCCAAACTTGGCTGGATTTATGGCTGCACTTGGGCGAGACAGAGTTCTTCTCGTTGGAACGGACGTGGCTGGTGATGTTGCTTCCATATCAATGACAAGATCTGTACTTTTCGACCCGGTACAACTAGCGGCATGCGTTTCTATGATATCTGCAGCAAAGGCCTCAGAGCAAATTGGACACGAGGGCTAACAATACAAAAGGGCTTTGCTCAGAAATACTAGCAACGAGCAATTCAAATTCAAAATTTCTCCTTTCCTACCTTGGCAGCAGTTGTACGCATGTTGCCATCATCCAACTCTGGATCAGCAAGTATTTTTCGTCTCTTCTTAGTCTGACCTACATTGCTATTGCTCGCATCTGCCAATGGCATATCAGAAGACGTGGATCGCTTCTCAATTGATACGAGGCCTCCTGTCGACCAGCTGTCAGTATACTCGACATCCAGCACGTTGCTGGGTGGTAAAGACATAGATATTGTAGCCTGTCCCGTACAACGGTAATCTACATTCTTTGATTGACCAGATAGAGCTGCGATTTTACTTTGATCAGAGCTAGTCGACGCAATAACCATACTCGGCGGCACGGCCTGTTTTCGTGTTGGTGATGCTTGCGGATTCTCACCTTGCATGCCATTATTATTTATGTTTTCACTCACGATTGGTTCTGGCGAGGAAGCGAGGGCACTGTCACTAGCCACTTCTAGTTGATGTTTCTTCTTACGTCGTTTTATTAGAGGCGGTTCAGCTTCTGCGAGGTCGATAAAGGCAGAGCTGGTCGACTTCAAGTCGTGAGCTGTAACCGTAATAAAGGCTGGCCTCCGTTTCAACCCATAGCGTTTATACAGCTCATCAACAAATTCGTTTTGTATGCGTCGCCATGCAGCCGACTCTTCATTGGCACTATCGTCGACACTGCATCTTTGTAGCGATGAGGTCGGCCGTTGTTGCTGCTGCTGTTTCTGATTGTCGTCAGCATCATTATCTTGTTCATCTAGTATGCGTTTCTTTGACCTAATTTCGAGTGCAGTGTCATCTGTTACATCAGAATCAAAGTCCCATATATCACTATTGACTGTGCTTGAGGAGGTTTGCACTGGTTTTGGTATTGGTCGACTCCTGGCATGGTTTATAATACTAGAGCGTGCCTGAAGAAGGGAGGACGGTGTAGTTGGCACAAAGTCATCTTCGTGATCATCGTGTATTGGTTTCGAAGCTGCTGCTGGTGTTTTAGCAGTTCGTTCTGAGAAGTTTTTTTGTGAGGAGGATGGTGCAGGACAAGCTTCACTATTACTGCTTCCTGATGCTGATGGATTCGTTTTGCCAAACTTGAGACCTAGCGACCTTTTTCTCGGTACCTCAACAGCAGCTCGAAGGATTGTTCCAATTGCTAGATGTTTTGATTCGGATTCAGGTGGGATTGAATATGCTGATCCAGGCAGTGGCTCGTTCATGGCGTCGTGCACTACAAGTTCTGATGCTGGCATACTAGCTTCCCTACAAAGTTTGTATGGTGGTAAGCATCAATTAACATTCATGTCAAAAAGGCTTTTGAAGGAACCAACAACATAGATTTACATAGGAATGAGAACTTTGTATGCAAACGATCATGTGCCTTGCAATGAATATGCCTAGCTCTGGCGGCTCAAGCCCTAGTTACATGTCCTTGACGTTCAGTTGCTGAAGGTGACATTTTTCGACGCCCGTGATTTTGAGCAGAGCGAGAATAACGGACAAACCCAACGAAATACACACTCTGTAGTTCCCTGGTGTAGTTCTATTTGAGGACGTCAACAAAATAAAAATATAAATAGACGCGATTCCAACTCCAATATGTACAATTCACTCAATTCACACACTCAAATAAATAAACAACTTGTGAGGAGGCTACGCTTGGTCTTCCATTTCACCAATGTGTCTAGCAAGCCATCCAAGAGTTATTTCTACGCCTAAAGAGTCATGACCTGTTAATATGGCTCAAATGAGAGAAAGCCATGCTTCCAGTTCAAAATTTTACCATCAATCACAAGTTGCCTAGCTCCAACCTTGCCATCATCTCTGGGCTGAGGTTCAAAATCATCATGTTCAGGAGTTAGTCTGCGTCCAGGAGCATCTGCGAGATATGTAAATCGTATTCCTTCTTCAATGTCTGATATTTCACCGCGGCCATCTTGCTTCCAAATAGCCTTTTCCAAATCAATAGTATAATTCTTGGTCTGGAAGAGATAACCAGCGGAAAATCCGATCTAAATAGACAAGTTTGATTTTAAACACGTGTTGAAACCCTATTTCACCGTTTGTGCAGATATACGTACAGAAACAGATTGAGAATCCCATTGATCTAAACAGCCCTCCAACCAAAATGCCTTCTCTCCCTTCCACCATTTGAAGTTGAGTCTCATATCCGATACACGTTCTGACGGGAGTCTAGATCCTTGATCAACTCCCACACACTCAAATACCATTTCTAAGAGTCTAGTACTGGTGGATTTTTGCCTGTTTACCATCGCTCGAGTGTGACCTCCAAGTAGGTGAAGCCCAACACGCTTCAAGGCACATAATGAGTAACGATCTGTGCGATCTCCAGTAGTATTTTTGGTTATTTTAGGCCTTGGATTCTTTAATCGATCGGCTAGCGAGTGTGCAATCAAGATATGGAAGCCAACGGACAGTCTCCTCAACTTTAGCAAGTCTTTCACAATGAAGAAGCGGGTGAGGTATAGAAGAAGTTCTAAGGGTAGATCCGGGATTTCCACAGCATTTGGCGTGCTAGAATGTAGTAAAATTTCGGTTATTGGTCTTTGATCGTTGGATCTGCTGATGAAATCAAGAAAACAGAATAAACACTGTACCTTGGAACAAGATAAGAAGACATGACCTTGGAGAGAGGATCTACTGCAGGAGCAGTAACACGGGCTGACATTATAGCCATTTGATAAGATGCTTTACTTGTCTCGTCGAGATCTGGCCTTCCGTCCAGAGAACTGTCGAATTGTTTTGCTTGAAAGATAACAAAATTATACCGCCCACTTTCTTGGAAGTCACTTGAATCCAAGCTTGAAATAACGTGAGAGTAGATATGGTCGATTTCCACGAATTATTGGTTGTGAGATCTGTTGAGACTGTGCGGCATATATGTCTCTCAACCGAAAACCCAAAATCAAAAACCGGCAACCATATGCAATAATCACGTGAAGTTTGGTATGTATGAGGATGAAGGCCAATCTTTCTCATTGCCAAGTGTCTCGTAACCATTCTAAATCATCATTTCAATACGAGCGATCAACATCGCATCGTGGCAGCCAATTGTCAAAACAAAAAATGGAGATGTTACATTTGGTGTGCTATCTGCCATTGTGAATCCTTTAAACGACAACGGGGAGGCGTAAAACTACATCTATACCTAATTGATTCATTCAGACCGTCGTCCTTATCCGCTTACCGCAGCTGGTCGGAAGAGTGTCTTCGTTCAAAGTTTACTTACGCCTTCAATCACTGAGTTGCATGTACCAAAGGATCGTTGCCTCATCACATGCATTGCACTGAAGATTGTAGTGGCCTCTCTCGAATCTCACTATTTCACGAGCAAGTTGCGAGTTGGGACTAAAATCCAAACATCCTCCCGCCGCGCGACAGAGCGAGGAGTAATGGCAAGACTGGAGATCCCACGCGTCAATCGCGAAAAATGAAAAATATCAAATATCACTTGAAAGTCTTGAAAGTGTTTTACCTTCGCGATAAAACGTGTTGGAGCATTGTTCGCCTCTTCCCTAATTCTCGTTTTCTTAAAACAATAACAGACCTCAGTTTGACTTTTACATTTTCGGAATCAGTTGCTGGTAGCAGGCCGTGGTCAGAAGGACACAATGCTGCGGAGTCGCGACACGGGCTCCTCGACGGAAACAATTACGCGAAGAGGTCGACAAACTGCACGAAAACAAAAATCGGCATGTTGCGATTTCCTGACTTTTCCACTATTTTGCTTCAAAAGGACGGGCCCCGACGACACTACCACCTCAGGCTGTGGCCATTAATCAGTCTGGTAATCTATGGTCTCGACTGAATCCCGAGTAAGACTGTCATAATCTGTCGCTGCATGTGCAGTGCTTTTGTTTTCTTCATCGCGAAACAAGAGATTCTAGCATGAAATACTGCGGAATTTGGTGCATTTCATCGCTATTTGGACACGATGGCGTGTTTTACAATTTTGAATTCGCCTCTGATTGTACCATGTTTTTTTGACACTAGGACAGCAACAGCCGCTCGAGATCGAGGCTCTACTCGAGGCAGAGGTAGCTCGAGTCGTGGAACGAGCACTGCAAGAGGAAAGTCAGTAACAAGAGCTCGTGGAAAGGGTCGGTGTGTATCTTTGTGTGTTTCTCAATGTCCGAATCTTGAAAGTTGTGCATCGTTTTGACAGAAGTCTCATTTTGAATGTCAATATAGTGGACGTGGTGGTTCATCATCTGGAGGCCATTTTCTAGGAGGAGAAGAGCTGTTTATAGATGCAACTGGTGATGGTAAGGGACGAGAGTTAAACCCTGTGTTTTCCGACTTGTTACGCATTGATTCGGGCATTTACGCATCACTTTCACTACCTGAAAACTGTTTAAACCCGTCGTATTCTTCACTGATCAGTCCTAACAAAATTTTATAGGCGATCAACGATCTGTCATTGCTGAAGCTCGACTTTCCAGATTTCAACAAGACCAACCAGAAGAGTGTTCATCTGGAGAATCTTTGTCACAACAAAGTGGAGCATCAAACTCTGCAAGAACTCAACAAACTACTTCATCTCAGGAGGAACCCAACAAACAAAAAAGCAAACAACAAACCAATGAAAAGCAAAGTCCATCAAAACCGTTATCGTCACCACCGAAAGAAGCATCTACTCTAAAATATCAGGATTTTATTGTTATTGAGGATGATTGAGCTGGTCAAAATCGCTGCTGTAATGTAAACAAAGTAACCCTGTACAAATGTAAAGTTCTGCTATGTAATAATTGCACGAGCGTTGTCAAGATCGCAATATCGAAACAATTCACAAGCGAACGTGTTTTTTGGGGTTTAGGCTCTGTATGTGTTAAATGTGGAAACTATCTGTCTCAGCGACTGCCAGCTAGGATCCTGCTGCCTTCATGACATGGCCGCGTGGCAAGTAGGAATCTGCTATGTGATTGCGTGGTCGCTTCTACATATACTGATCCGTCATATCGAGCTCAATCATCCCGTAAAACACAGTTGATCAAATAGCTTTATTTCTCAATTGACGCTAACTCTTCTAATGGACTTGTAGGCCATTCAAACCATCCAATTGCCAATACAACAAGCTATAATTAGTTATATCACTGGCAAGAACTCCCCTAGTGTCATCTTGCCCATCGCCCACATCAACACAAAGACAGTTCCGGAGCACGTTGTGACTTATACAACGCCATTTTGTTGGGTTAGATACTCGACTCGTGGCTGGAATAAGACATTTGTTTCCTATGGAACGCTATTTAGATCCTTCTGGCAGGCCTGGTTTTCTATAGGAGTGTCGACTGCCCTGGTTGGATTCGTGGCATTCTATGCAACTGCCATGCATTCCTTGTGGGCCACTGCAGATGTCGTCAATTCTATAAAGACTACTTGGACTCTGGGTGTTTACTCTGTAGGAGCTCCTCTGGCTGAAGGAAGCTCGACTAGTTTAATGTCGATAATTATTCCGGGCGTCAACGCTCCATTATGGAATGTATGCTATTTGATCCCGTCACTACTACTCGCCATGCTAATCCATGAACTGGGCCACGCATTGGCTGCTGTATCAGAGAACGTCCCAGTCAATGCTTCAGGAATTGCAATGTTCCTGACTTGGCCTTCAGCATTCGTAGACTTGTCACAGGATGAGCTGGACGGTAAAAGCGCTCTATCACGGCTACGAGTCGTTTGTGCTGGTGTATGGCATAATCTAGTCACAGCCGTACTAGCATCTGTCTTGTTGTGTAGTCTAGGTCTTATATTTACTAGACTTGAAGAGGGTGTCGTAGTGCTCGATATATGGGATCAATCATCTTTAAATGGGTACTTGTGGCCAGGAAATATTATTCAAAGTGTCGATGGAGAACTACTCTCGCCTGGGTTTCGGCATTGGGAGGAAGCTTTGGCTAGAAAGTTCAAGCCGAGCTCATATTGCATTAATCTTTCGGAAAGAGGTATGAAGTCATTCTGAACTTTATGAAGGAACAAAGTTCACACAAATCGCACTGATCAATGTGTGTTTTAATTTGTGCATTTTTTTTTAAGAGAATATCAACAAAACGGATTGCTGTACAAGCGTAACCACTCAACATCCACTGGGAACATCAGAATATACATGTTTTGTCGATGCAGAGGATGAAGATAAAAAAGCTTGTCTCATGTTACAAGACATAGTTAAAACTGCTGCACCGTGTACTAGTGCATGCGATGTTTGCATGATGCCTCATATTCCACATCCTCGGATTCGTGTTGTTCGGCTTGGTATAGTCACGGCTCTACCGAGTCTGCTGGAACCAGAACAATCTCTGTATCTTTTGATGGATCCAGTGGAGATATGGGAATCCAGTAAGGAAATCTTGTTCAAGTGAAGAAGGCATTTTCTTGTTGCTGAACACACGAATCGTTTCCCTAGTTCGTGTAGGCACCTTGTACACAAAATATGTACCATTACATTTTCCGTATATACTAGAACGATTTCTAAGGTATGAAAAAGTGGAAACTGAACCCCTTTGAATTTACCACATACTTACAAACAACACCTTATAGATATTTTATAACGACCTCATTGTCACTGTTTGTAATTAATATGGCTCCAGTGCCATTCCTGCACCTCGATGGTGCCACGGCCATCATATATGCCAAAGACTGGTTGATTGAGCATGATCCCTCATGGTTGGCTGTTGCAACACTTGCTACAAAGCTGTTGGTGTGGCTTGCAAATTTGCTAGGCATCACTTTAATGGCTTTAAGTGCATATCAAAGCTTAACAAGTCATGCTTTTGAGCTATAAATTTGCAAGTCACAGTAAATTTAACTGGCATCATTGCATACCGTAAATAATAGTAAATGATATACATAAATCACATGTGACATAATAGCATCATGTTAGAATAGAATGTAGTCTGCAGTATTTTTGTTGGTAAAATCTACATATTCATATCATCGCAACAGAATTACAACTACCTACTGAAGCTCTACGTAATTGGCAGGGAACAGCCCTGTTGTTCCGTTAACCCTTCCCTTCCACCACATCTCATCAACTTCAGTATCAACGTCTTCAATGACATCTCCCGTAGAGAAGGAAATCTCGTTATCTTCTGATGCTTCGTAGTCATACTGTGGAAAACAAGAGGGAAGAATTCAGCATGTTTGAGAAGCACACGAGTGCAACAGTACAACAAAGGCAACTAACCTGAGCAATAGCAGTCTTGGTTTGAGGTCGTGGTGGAGCAGCTGGAGGAGCTACCACTGGCCTTGGAGCTGGCGGAGGAGCTACCACTTCGGCTACTTTTGGTATTGCTGCAGTTGGGCGACTAGCGATCTCTGGTGGTGTAGATGGCCTTGATGGATCATTTATTGTCACATACGAACTGGGGAAAAGGCCTGTATTCCCATTGACTGTCCCTCGCCACCATTGTTCGTCAACCTGTTCAATATTTGTAATGAGGTCACCTTCCACTAATTCTATTTCATTCGATTCTTCAGGCGTATAGTTGTATTGGGCAGTAGCAGTCTTGGCAGGCGGTGACGCTACAGCTGGTCGTGCCTATATGAGAAATGCATAGGTTACAACCAAATTGAAAACCCAACATGACCGTCACGTATTTTCGCCTTACAGGTCTAGCAGGCAATGCTTGAGCGGGTGGAGCAACAGAAATCTTTGAATCTGTTTCTCGTTGACGTGCCGCCGCCGAAGCAGCACTGGTGGATTGAGCAGCTTCACGAGCATCTCGGTCTCGTTGCTCCTGCTCTGCTCGTTCCCGCTGCTCAGCATCATCACGCATACGGCGTTCACGTTCAGCTATACGTTTTCTATCACCATCCAGCAAATCATCTATAAAATTGCAAAACTGGTGAAAATTCGATTTAGCGCGAATCTGTCGTTCTAGATCCTCACCAACTGGGGCATCATTCCTTCTGTTTGGTGGGGGCGGTGCTACTGTTGAGGATGAATTTACTGCAGGAGGTGGTGGTGCTTGGGAAGCTGCAGGAGCCTAGTTTTGGAAGTCAGATAAGTTATGGGCTTGTTCGCAAAGATTTGACAAATTCTCATCGGTACAGTTATTGACAGGTCGTTGAGAGAATCTTACTGGAGTGGGCCTTGATGGTATGCTGGGCGCTGCTGGTGCTGCTGGTACAGACGCCGTGGTTCCTTTGCTCAAGTAGGCTCCAGAATAAGGCGTCTACAAGGTTGATGAAGAAGTGGCACGTGTGAGATCCATATAGTCAAAACGCCAATCCAGAGAAGTTAAACTTACAGGCTTTGGAGGAGGAGCTGTTGCAACAGGTTTCGGGGCTGGTTGAAGATTTTCTGCTCCTCCTTTCTGATGGATGCTGTACTTGGCACCACTCGAGTCTTGTACTTTCTTCATTATTGATTTGGCGGTCACGTCTTCTTCGTATCTCGCGTTGATTGCCACATGTACACCCGTAAAGAATCTCTGGATGTCATTTACATGCGAGTTGAATAGCCCTTTCCTACTAACCGGTACACCTTCACCGCACCAGTTTATCATGACGATTTTCGGAAGACCAGAGATGGGTTCTACTACTCTTGTAAATGCATATTGTATTTTTGACGAGTTGAATTCGTCAGTCAGTTCTTCAAGGCCGCCATCACCAGAACCGAATGGCTTGAGCTGGTTATCCTTGTCGTAACTATAGTCAAATGGCGATTAATTCATGTCAGCAAATGTACCATAATGGAATGGGCGACAATTCTTGACTTGTGGGCTCATCAAAACTTGATGCAGACGAGTTCCGCGACACGACCAGGCCACAAGGGCCAAATTCGATCAAAAGTATTGCTTGAAAAATGCAAAATTACCTATATAGAACCCAATTTGTATCCGTGTTGGGATCTTTTACAGCGTTGAATGATTCGAGAATTTCCTTTGAATATGTTGAAAGGCCTACTTGTGCCATGTCTATGGTACAAGTAATTGCAACTGTTAGCTTCATATACACGTGAGTTTGAATGTAGTCCAGAACAATTCCTTACTGTTTTTCTGGCAAGATGCGGTTCTTGGCTGGTCAATAATTTCGAGTTTGAAGTACGAACGCCGACGACCGTTGAAAGAGCTCACAAAACCAGCGAGCAGGACAGGGTATGTAAAAATTTCGTACTTATAGTAAAGGCACGTCGGACATTCGGACGCGTTGTATTCTTAGTTGTCACGAAATGTTTGCGTAGGCAGATCTCATCAATTGCTTGCTTCCTCGATATTTAAATTTTTATAGCCAACTTCGTTTGGCAGTTGGCGAGCTTATAAATTACTAAATTTCATTTGATATTTCCTTTTATGATGACGTGGAGATTGGACATTGCAAGCTTACAACTTAGAGCTTTGTGAAGCTCACCACGTCAGTTGTATAAGGGAAGCTAACTACGCCGTCCTTCCATTCGACATCCGGCTGCTCTATAATACCTTCTACAGTAGCTTTCAGCTTGGCCTGCTCGTTCTCAGGCAAAACAGATATATACGACTTTGACAACACTCGATTCCAGACAATGTCCCGAGAGCACAGAACCTCGTGCGTGAATTGCACCTCCTTCTTTTGAGTGAATAAAGCTTTGAATTCGGTACTTTCCAGCACAGGACGCCATAAGTTCATTCTGTATTGTGGTGTTGCGCCATCATAGGGTTCGTATGCTTTTCTCAGTCTCCTCACCCAAGGCGTCCGTTGATCTTCCATATTCCATATCAGAGCGACACTCCCGGCAGGCTTGAGTACACGGTGCATCTCCCTTAGTGATTCTATGTTGCTAAACCAGTGGAAGGCCTATTACCTCAAAGAATTAGTCTCGAAGATTTTATTAGTAATAACGCACCATCGATGCAAAACTGACCTGAGCTACTGTGATGAGGTCGAATGAGTTGTCTGCAAATGGTATCGACGTAGCTGTTCCGTCCAATATATCGACGTCGTTTAGGATGATTTTGAATTGGGCTCTCATCTCGGCCGACGGCTCCAACGCGACAACTCGTTTGAGATCCTTGGGTAGCAGCCTTGTCCATTTACCGGTTCCGGCAGCTATTTCAGAAACAATACGATGACTGTTAGCTGAGTGTCCCAAATTCTGAAATGTTGATATTTTTGATGAAATGTCTACGAGCAAAACTTGGACAGCGAGTGTCAACCATACAAGGTATCGATGAAATAGCAAACTCATTCTTCACTCAGGTCCAAACTTGCCTAGGTCTAAAACTTCCTTGGTAGTGCCATTCTTTAGAAAGTTTTCTGTCACGTAATTCACAACTGCAGGAGGATATGATGGCCTTGCTAGCTCATAAGCACGGGCTTGCAGTCCAAAGCCTATCTGTGCTACTTTGTGAACGTTCATTCTTGTCGTTTTCCTCTCGTCTTTAACTGTGTGAAGAGTTTTGTTCAAATAAATTTTGGACGCGGATGGGAGCCCTGCCACTCCACAACCACCAAACTTCAATAACGAGGAGAATATTAAATCCAAATTATTTTAATTAGTAATAAAGGTATTAGTGTATACATAGTTACATATCACGTCAGGTACTAACTGCCACAGGTAATGCACATCGAGCTGCATGGGATTCAGGTTTCAATTCTCGGACTCGTTGACTCCAAAGAGCTGGAAGACCTTCTTTATTTTGGATACAGTAATTGGCTTGGTCAAGTGGCAGTCGAGTCCAAATTGAAAAGTGGCTTCAATGTCCCCAGATAGGGCGTTAGCTGTAAGTGCAACCAGTACAGCTCTGGGCCCCTCCGTATGTTGGTCAATGTACGTTTTACCAGCTGTGAGGCCGTCCATCACTGGCATGAGAACATCTAAAGGGAGATGACGTTAGAAGTTGCCAGCTCGAGACAAGATCAGTATGAGGTCGACGAACGCTTCTCAGCTTATAGGCGCTATACAATGCACGCTTCTCAGCTTAGAAGGACCTACCCATGAATACCAGATCAAATTCGGACTTTTGCATTTTTTGCAGGGCCTCCAAACCGTTCTCAGCGGTCTCGACTACCACAGTGGAGTCTTTGCTAATTATTCCTTGAATTATTCGACAAAGTACTTTTCGATTTACACTAAAGTAAAAGAAAAGATTGGAAACCGCTCTAGTTGATGTCAGTGCAATATAAAATCACTTACACATCGTCATCAACTACCAGTATTTTCGAAAGCCGGCCCAGTTTACGTATTCTAGCTTCGTGGACATACATTCCGTCGACGACAGTAGCAGTTGGCACTCGAAACACCGTTTTGGATGCTGTACGTTCCCGAGTCACTCTTTCTTCCCCGTACGGTATCATAAAGGAGAAGTGGGCTCCAGGGAATCCACGCTGCTTCTGCTTAAGACCAGCTTTTTCAAGCAATTCGACGTCACAGCACTCACAACCTCCAACGGGCTTTCCTCCCAGCAGTTTTTTCACACGTTCAGTCTCGGCTCCGTGAATCCAAACGTCACCATGCATCATGCCAGAAAGACTCTTGCATATGGAGAGCCCCAGACCCGAGCTAACACAAAGTTGAGGTAAGTATTGCTTATCGAATTAATTCGAAGACAGGCTGTAAGCAAATTAAAAATTACCCGCTCGGCCGAGATTCCGATCCAGATCCCGACGACGTCACTTGAACAAATCGTTGGAAGAGGCGCCGCCGTTTGCTAACCTCAATGCCTTTGCCTTGATCTGAAATCGTTATAACCAAATAAGGTTTCTCACCAACCATAACAGTTTCCACAGTCAATCGCACGACTGTATTGTCAGGGGAAAACTAGAAAAGAATATGTTGCGAGAAAGAATCATTTTGAAAAGTTTTGGACTCACACACTAACCTTGATGGCATTTGCAAGCAAGTTTATGCAAATTTGGACGACTTTGGGGCCATCAACAACAATGGTCTCAGGCACTTTTAGGGCATTCGCGCCATGCTGACATTGGGACTGCATTGGCTCGAGATAGACCGACATATCTCCTGAATCGTCCTTGAGATGGACAACACGGCCATTCCCACCTGTTACTGCTCTACTGCTATTGCTACTACTGAGATGCAGGAGTTCATTACCAATAGTGACTAAATAATTTTAAATGATATGGATGAATAAATATTGAAAATGGTAAAATCGTTTGAATAGAAAGACATGTTACTTCACCTGCTAGCTGAATACCACGTATGTTTGCAATAGGCTGAACAATCCTCAAAGAGCTGGAGAGCTTTGCCAGTATGGACATCTTGGATAAGGAAACTTCCATTCTTTTTGCTTCAATCTACCAAAATACTTGTTAGGATGCTGCAATTTATTGAAATGACATGCAACTCCTGAATGACCTTCTGCACATCCAACACGTTGTTGATCAGACTAAGCAGCAATTGCGACGAGCTCATAATCTAATTCATACGAATATTAGAACTTTGAGCCCAGTCGTTCCGATTTCAAATAACACATACTATGGACATTGATTCACGAATTTCTGATAAATTCAAAGTTGCGGGATCCTCTGTGCGTTCAACATTTGACTGTACTGTAGACGTCGCTCCCAGAATTCCATTAAGTGGCGTCCTAAGTTCGTGTGACATCTAGAGAAGGTGATATGAGCAAGGGAAGGAAGAGCGTTCAAAAGGCGAGTTTTACACAATTGCTTACTGTGGTAATGAATTCAGTCTTGAGACGACTTGCTTCAATCGTTGCGTGCTCAATCAGCTTCAAACGTCCGATATCTTGAAGCACAACCTTTGTAACAGGAATGTGTTCAAACCCCATACACTCAATTTCGAAACAAACTCAAGAAGCCTTACAACTGCGGTGGGTGAATCAGTGCTACTGTCTATCATTGTAGCATCCAACACGTGCCAAGACCAAGGACTGTTTGGATCCCCAGACTAGAAATATTTGAGTGAGACTTTGATGTGCAGCTTTTGGACGCCATCAAAGTATTACTGACCTTGAGCAACACTTCGGCTTCGATAGGTCGATTGTTTGTGATTGCGTTTCGTAATATGCTGATGACGGAGCCGACGTCGGACGTCTGTGATCGGGGAGGAAACTGACCAAATAAGGGAGAATATTCAGGATTCGACGGGTTGGAGTCCGAGTCAGAACACTTGTCGTCTTGTTGAGACAAGACGATTCTACTGCAGTTGTCTCCAGAGCGTTCTATTATGAAATCGAGAAGACTGGTGCCCACAGCGCTCTCTTCAGAGACTCCCGTTGCTCTAGATAATGAATCGTTCATCCATTGTATTGTCCAATCTGTGATGAAGGCGAAAGTGTCAGAAAGGAGTTTTTCGACAATTCTCGAGTGGACTTCACATACTGCTGTCTACAATGGCTGCACTTGTTCCGGTTTTGCGTAAAGCCAACGAAACTTTTTGCATGTGGAATAGTGTAATCGTCAGTCAAGATCCTGAAAACAATTCGAAAACGCACTTTATACCTAGTTCGAGGCCTGCTTGAGCTTTGACTCTCTCAACAATCTCATTTCTCAAATGCTCGTTAGCTCGTTCCAATTCTGCTGTTCGTTGCGATACCAAAAGCTCAAGATTGTCTCTCATGAATGTGAGCCTTTGCATGGCTTTCTCAAAATCAGAGTTATCATAGGACGTCTGCGATTGCATAGTCAGCGAAATGTTGAAAATGGCCTAATTAACGATGCACAACTGCTCACCCCAAGAATGCCTATGAGTTGTCCATATTGATCCGTGATCGGAACATCCGTCACACGGACCGAAGAAATAAACCCATCTTTACGATGGCAGAGAAAGGAACCACTCCACGATTTCCCTGTAAAGTTCACGAAACGGTCTAGAACAATCCTTGGGTCTCAATTTGCGGTTGGCATTACCTTGGTTGAGGTTTGTCATAATATCCAGAGATAAATTCTCAATCCCATCGTTAGGTCTAAGTGATGAAGCAAGATTTCAATTGGTTTGTTTTCGTCCTCAGATTTTTATTATCAACACCATTATACTTACGGGACCAATACGTCTGTCACTGTTTTTCCAAGCATTTCGGACCTGCTGTACCCATATAAAGCTTCAGCTGAGGAGTTCCACTCAATAATTGTGCCTTCCATATTAGTAACAATAATTGCGCTCTCCACTGCGTCCATCGTGTATCTACGAAACGCAGAGGACACACTATCCGTTTCGTCAGTGCTGTCCGACAGCACGCCATTCAGCTCATATCGTACGGGCCCTTCATCCTCCCATAAACGAGTGAGTCGGGCAGTATACATGAGGTCAGAACCCAGGTCTTGAACAAAATCGACATGTTTTCCTGTCAATGAATCCTTCCAACTCACGACATCTGCAGTAGCAAACTTGTGTGTAGGGGAGCAGATTGACAACTGTAGGTCGATTGATATTCCCTGTGAGTTTGTACGGATCTTTGCTGGCCCATTACAGAATTTCCGACTGGATCCGTCACGATATATAGACTGATTTGAGGATGAGGCTGAATAAAATGCATCTATGGTGCCGACAGATTCGTGGATCTGGGATTTGTGTCTTTTCTGCAACAGCAATTCGTCGATTAGCAGCCCTTGTGGAGGAAGCACATTATCGACTTCTGGATTTTCGAGTGGTAGCAGCATGTACAGCGAAGTCAGCCGGAGTTTGATTGTCTGTGCCGTGATCGGGATGGGACAATTAGTCCAAATCGCCAACTCTAGTAACTAGACAACGACAACTTACAGAGTGCGAGTGAGGCAATGGAATGCTTTGCCTAGTATCCTGTGACGTTGCAGCATGATCAGTAGCTCTTGCAACCAGTTCGTCAAACAATCTCGTGTTAAATTCCCTATTATTTTTATGGAGTGGGGCTCCGAACCAGCCTGATGATAATAAGCAATTAGACTTGTGACGTAGTAATATAATATTAAGATTCGGCTGAGGTGAAATATTGCGCACCTTTGATATCTTCTCTGGTGATCACCTTCTTAATCTCTTCCTGCATGGTTTGGTTTCTGCCGCAAACGTAGCAGATGTTGGAGTAGCTGAGTTCCTATACCTCTAGCATAAATTCCAGAATGCAAAAATAGCAGGGGCTCCACCTTATGCCGTCCTTTTGGCCATGTCTACTTGGTCGAATTCGTCCAAAATGCAAAAAAGAACGCGAACGACAAAGCCACCATTGTTCCAGGTACCGAGGTCCAACCGCTGGGAAAGACCAACTCTGATTGACAACTTAATTATTGCAAAATGAGAAATCCAGAACCGCGTTATGAGAAAATCTTGAACTGTTGCAAACTGTGCTGCTGATGTCCTTGTCCTTGTCGCTGGTCTTCTGCTGTGGTGATGTTCTGCCAATAGTCTAGTCCATCCCTTCGCCGACAACTCGTTCACTACCGTACCGATCTGTGCATGTTAATGTTTTTACAAGGTATTGGACGAATGAAGCAGTTGCGATGATTACGAATTTTTTGCATCAAATTCGTAGCTTGTTGTGATATTGCAAATCCAATTCATCAGCATCGTCCAGCCCTTCGTCATTTGTTTCCGCATTCTCTGCACCCTCTTTTCTCCTGGCAACAAATCGATTTTGCCCATTCTGGCCCTTCGGAAATAGTTTGATTAGTGCCACACATTGACCATGATCTATTAAATCAGGGTGTGGATACTGAGATTACTACTTCTTGTGGTCTTTTCAAATCGAGTAATTTTACTGGAATACGCACCACTGGTATATTTCGACTTGTTCCAATGGGAATCACCGTCGGCCCGCAACACACCCTCTCCCCAATCATCTCTCTCGCTAATCCAAAATGAGGCATTCAGCATTCTTCGTCACGTGCAATTCTCGCAAGAAATTACGTACAGAATTCATTTACCTTAACGTAGCGTCAATCAAATGATCATTTAAATGGTGAAGCAACTGAACATAACCAATGTGTAGGGGATTGCTTCGTATCAAATCGTTCGACACTAGGATGTGATCCAGCACATCGTACCTTCCGTTGAAAATATGGGAATATGTGACGTCTCTGTCCGAAGACCTCACCTGGACGTCATTCGTGCTAGAGAGCATGTTTCTATACACATTCTGGGGTGCGGACGTTTTAATTTATAATGCGAAACAAACGAGTGACACCGCTGTCATCAATGTACCTGCTTCACCCAGAATCTAAACAGATGATACATAGAATATTAAACCTTCAACGTAATAAGAGGTACAGGGTAATCGCATATGTAACTTACGGCAGTTTCTTGAAAGGTTTAGTGCCGGTAACAATCTCTGTGCTAGTCGAGTGCACCGTTTCATTCAGGTCTCCCAATACTATTGTCGTAGCCTTGACTCCGGCAGCACTAGTTGACTGTTCCTCTTCCTGTTCGTCACCACTTTTGCCTGGAGAAGAAGCACCCTTCCTTTTCGAATGTTGAGGTCTACCGTCAGTTTCATCAATGACCAAACACCGTAAAGCGGCAGATTCTCTATAAAAGTAAGGAAGAGAATTTAGAAATACATCCATTTGTTGGTAACTTCAGTTTGGGTTTTAAAGCTCTTACGCAGATCGGACGATTAAGGAAAGAGCGGATCCGATAGCAGATGCTTTTGCATCGTCTCGTTCTTGAATAGTGACTATCGGTCTTTTGCTTTTCAAATGGGCAACAAAGAACGTTACGAGACGATCGTTTGGCATTTTCACGACACAGCGTAGTACACCACGTTGGAACTTTTTAATGGGGAGATCGATTCCATTCTCTCCGAAAATCAAGATAACTTCAGGGGGAAAGTCATCGAAATAGTCAGTCTCGACGATTGGGAAGACGCTGAGTAGCGCAACTAGAACGGTTGGTAGAAGAGTTGACAATAGAAACGTCACAAATTGCGAATCCTCCAAAATCACGCACCAGCAGGCCTGCTTCCATCAACACCAGGACCAACAAGGGAGTAGCTGTCTGGATAGATGCCTGATTTTGCTATTGCAGCTTTTAGAGGAGCAAGAGACCAGACCTCCTCAAAACCTACAACATGGCATCTCATAGCTCGTAGTTGCTGGCTTGTCCACTCGACTTTGCCATCAACTTCGTCTTGGGTGTAAGAACGACCATAACAAGGCTTTCCAGGGTCATGAAAGTTGAGCAAGTTGAATTGTCCGACTAGAAGTAAGTGTAGCGATTAGCAAGTAATTGCCACGAGACGAGCGAATTTTGGGGTCTGTTGTGGGTAACATTCACACGGCGGGGTAACAGATGAGCGTGTTGTCAGTTACATCAGCATAATTGTAACGTGTAATCAGTTTGAATAAAATTCAAGTAAAGATAATTCAAATGCAAAGTGGGCAGTGAAGCGCAAGTTCATGTCGGCTTGGATAACAAATTCATACCTCGTAATTTGAGAGATTTCAAGAGTGGATCGGCGGTTTTTGAGGCAGCAGCAGGAGAATCATTGGTAGGCTTCTTATGAGTGGCCATACGTGACTAAAAGGAAGCCTTCATTAACCACAGTTCCCTGGTTGTCGCGCTTCCAATAGGAACCGCAAATCCAAATTGCAGCGAGACGGTAAACGACATTTCCTATAGGAACATACCATCTGCAGCTTTAGTATCGTGCAATATCTTTAGTGCCTTCTCTCCAGATTATGGACGATCTGCCAGGTTCAGGCCGCCAAGACACATTTGTTGACCATTCAAAGTGTGCTCACCGCCCCCTTCTACATTAGAGACTGTTCTTGCCGAGGTTATCGAGTACCTTCCTTTCGTCGAAATCTATTACCTCCGTCGCCTTTCCAAGAAATTCTTGGACGTGGCACCTCATGCCTTTTTCGCAAAGGTATTCACACCATATACTTCTCGGTATGCTCCTTTCGCATATTAATCCTTCTCGTTTAGATCAAGGCAAACTCGTCCTCAAAATCAAAACTGGTCATAAAACCGATACTGGACGAACAAACCGTAGGACGGCCATTGTCCTTGTTCGTGTCTTCCTTGGAACTCAGACATGACCCGTCAAGCCTCTCCCCTCAAGTCATCTTCGATTTCCAGTCGGTCAAATCGACTGAGTCCACCATGTAAGCATGCAGCAACAAACCCCCCATTACATCTTGTCTCAATCGCCAAAACCGTCCATTACAACAAACCCATTCATTTAACTTGTCATTATTAATAATTATAAACAATTAACCATTATAGAGACAAGTCATATATGGCAACTTATGAAACTGGATCAAGTATCGCAGTCCGAATTCACTTCATGGAATGGCTTGATCAATTACGATTTGGATTGCCAATCGCCAATAATATCTTGAATAGGCAGCCACCATCCGTAGCGACTGAAATATACTTCCATCCGGGCCATAGACCAGAATGTGAACGCCTATACTTTATGGATAACAAAGTAGGAACTCACTATACTGGAGACATTGACTTGATTGTCAAGTATAAGGTGATGCAAGTAGAACAAGGATTTAATAGTCTACACATCCTAAATGTCAAAACCAACATTGAATTCCTCGCCAGCTGCTTGGCAATCAAACGATGTCCACCACGACAGTTATATCCAGACAAGCTCGCCACACTCGACAATCTTGTCAGGAGCAAACACGAAAATGTAGAATCCATACGAGTTTGTCCTATAGATCCATATATCATCCAATATTTGTCAGAGGAAACGCTATCGGAAGAGGCACTTGATAACCTAATAACTGCAGCTGCCCCAACTGATTCATACTCTTATGATTGCTTTGTTCGAAGGAGGCTATTGGAAGAAGCATTAGTTAGACGATCTATCGATATAACTTGTATCTACAAGTACGGGTTTTCTAGGAGGTGGATTGCAGGAAGTACCGAACAGGTTGTAACAAAGGTCGAGGCCGCAGAACGTATGGCTCATCGTCTCGCCTTGTCTGAAAATTTCATTTTTGGGTGAGTTTGACGAAGTTGTATTAAATATATCATTGAGTCAAACGATAAGAATATATTGTATTCAAAAGTATCGAATGGTCCAACAGCCCAAAATACAAGCATTATCCATCATTTGTGAATATGGTGTAAATATTCTGATAGGACGCGTTCGCTTTCAGCGGCCGCTTTATTGTCAATTCTTTTGGGAGAGCAAAGACCTCAATTAGCAAATGCCGGTGTATATCCTTTACAGCATGCCAGTGCTAATTTGGCCATTGACCTTTTATGTAGGCGGCTATAAGGCTGGCATGGCTTAACGGTTGTGTTACGTCGTCTACGTCAGAGTTCGTCGTGTAGTCCTTTAGACAGAGAGTGGTGTCCAGTTCTCGCACCATATTGGCAAGTAAGGCCACTTCCTTCTGCAGATAGTTGTCTAATTGAAACAGAATTTATAAAAAAGAATTGCACATAAGCTAACGGTTCAAGTTAAAGACGCCGTACCTAAGACATACTTGTACGCTGGCAGATAGATTTGTTTCCGTGCATCGATATACTCCAGTAGAGTAATCTCATCCGTGACAGTTGCTGAGTGTCCCAATACTTTACCACGTAATCTTGTAGCAGATCGTTTCACGTTCTGCATTGTGTCGTTCTGCAGGTGCTTTGTAGAGATTCCTTCGTTCTCAAAGACCTTCAATCCCTGCCATATACCTTCTACCGACACGGCTGTCTTTGATGAATCTGTAGCTATTGGTATCCCATCCTTCCATGGGTAGAATGGGGAGAACTTGACGTATGGCAGTGAGCTCTTGCTCGTGACATCCACCACAGAGACGGTATCTCCATATATTTGCTTGAGGGTGTCGATCTTTGTCATTTTATGTACTATTACGACTTTGGCATTCGGCACAGGTGTGAATAATGTCAGAGGTTTCCCATTCGATTGATCAGATTGTTCTTCCTCCGAGACAGCTGGTCTTTTGCGGCGAGAAGAGCTCATTTTTCTTTAAAGAGAGTAGTAAGACAAATATTCGGGTTTTCTCCTGTACGTCAGTTAAACAATTGTCATTTCAGCACTTCACCAAATCTCAAAAATCTTCAAAACAAGAATTGCAGAGAGATTTGCCAAGCGGTCGCTCAAAGCTAGGAGAGGTACGCACCTTCAACGCCCCAGTCTACAGAGAGGGGCTGTCACCGTGACTGGATGGTGGCTCTTCTTGCACAATTGTGGTTTTCAAAAGTTTTGGGAAATCCAGAAACTTGACAATACTAACATACGTGACTAAAGTTCTTTTCAATAACACAGATCATCAGAAATCCAATGTCTGTAGTAGCTACGTATCGACCTGGACTACCAATATCGGTAGTGGAAAATGCTGAAACATCGCTGTCACCTGCATCGTTTCTAAAATCCTTCCCAAATGGAGTCTACACGGCCCTTCGAACCGTATCAAAGACTAGAGCCCTGACTCTGGATGTACATATCAGGAGGCTTATATCCTCCTCGCAGAAATTCTCGTTTCCGATCGATCTGGCATCATTCAAGTCTCCCCAATATTTGGAAAAGGCTATACGTGATATACTTGCAGCTGTCATCCCAAGAGCATGCTCTAGATGGCCTCAACCAAATGTTGAACTACGTGTCGTTCTGTTACTATCGCATCAGGTTAGTTGTACTAGAGTCCTTTTCAAGACCAAGAAGGTAGCTGATTACACAAACATAGAACAATCTACCGATACTAGTTGCTTTCGTGCAGCCATTTACTCCAGTAGCAGAGAGTGACTGTGAGGTTATCATCTCTGGTTGGCCGCGATCGAATCCAACCGTGAAGGGTACTCAATGGGTCAAGGTCAGAGAAACACTTTAATGTGCTTTGTGGATTTCTTTTTCCTCAAGGTTATCAACATATTACTAGGACCGAGCTGTACAGGAAGCATTGCTCAAACCTCCAATAACGGAAGTGATTCTACGCGACGAAGACATGCAACTTTTTGAAGGACTCAGCTCCAATTTCTATGTCCTTTGCAAAAGGAATGGGAGGCCCGCCGTCATGACTGCTCCTGTCGGTACTGTACTGGAAGGAACTACATTCTGGATGATTGAGCAAGCATGTAGAAACTTGGACATCGCCATTCTGAGAGAGCACCCCAAGCTTAAAGACATCGGAAGCTGGGATGGAGCGTTCATTTCGAGTAAGCTCTTTACGGCATTTTGCATTTTCCAAAACCAGCTTCAATTCTACTACTTCATGTAGGTATTGGCAGGATATGTTACAATGTTACGAAAATTCATTTTGTAGATCGCCAGCCGCATGTATTTACCGAAGTGTCTCACACCTTGCAACGAATAAGAGCTGAAATCAACGGATCTTTGCAAAAATGGTCCAACCCCATCTAATACTGTAACAAATAAAAATAAATGCAAATCAGTGCGTATGCACAAAGTAAAATTGTTATTTGGCGAAGAGTGTTTGGTTATTTGCTACATTTTTTGACTATTCCTCCTCTTCTTCCGTGCCCGTGGTGGTCTTCTACAATCGCAAGAACATGGAGTCAGATACTGAAGAGGAAAAAACCGAACGAGCGACGTCAACAAATTTCTCGAGAGTGAATTCTGGCATTTACCTTCTTCTTCTTGTTTGACTTTTTGGTCGGTCGTACTGAAGTCTTCAATAATTCCTTGAGCTCTTCATTCTTAATCTCCTTGTCACACTTCACTAGTGAAGCGTCCCAAGGGAAATGTGTAATTCGAAGAGGACCAGTGGGCAACAACAAGACTGTGAATTGTAAGTGGGCCACAAATTCACCTTCCTTTTCGCACAAGACGGGATACGGAGCTACGACCCCTACCCTAGCGCATTCCAAAATACCCATACGTGCCTTTTTTTCATCTTCCATATGACGGAGGTTGAATGCGAATGAGCCAAATCGAGATTTGACCTGTAAAATGGAAGTGGTGGGATATTCAATGAAATATCGTTGGAAATATTGAGTAGGTAAATCATTATCGACATAAATGCTGAAGATACAAGGAGAACAACAGTTGTAGGAAAATGAGCAAGCAGTAATTATACATACCTCACTCAACACTTTTCGCGACGTTTGCATCTTCAACTGATATGTTTGATCAGGGTTGCGGCGATATATAGTCGTTCTTGAGTCGGCAGCCTTGGGCTTGCCTTCTCCAGTAGAAACCAAGATGTCAATCGAGTATCTATCGAGAAACCAAAATATCAGAAGTCGATTATGGTTGATGAAGCTGAGTAGGCAACATACACTTCACCCTCTGCAAAAGTCTGCTTCTCACTATCCTTCTTCTGTTGATCTGTTGGATTTAGGATGATTTGCTTTTCTCCCTCCATGTTATTCCTCAAAATTTGATGTGAGAGCATTCCTAGAATTGTAATGTTTCAGCATCGAATGTCCATTCAGAACAAAATCCAAGAAGCAAAGATATAAAGAGGAGCGAACAAACCTTCAATAGGCTTGCATTCAAACTCTTCTACAGCCTTTTGAATGATTTCCGTGACTTCAACATTGGTGCGTCCTGGTTTGAGTGTTCGAATAGCTGCTTCTGAAGCTACATAAGCAGCCTGCAAAGCATCAGCCTGTCTTCCAGTAATGAGCTTGTCCTGTTACATGACTGTGTGTGAGCCTCTTGAATACTTGTAGTATCACCCTTAATTGTGTTCTCACCTTGCTTGCACCAACAACTAGAGTAGTAGCTACTTGGGCCAAGAAACCGTCTACATGTACACCCAATTCGATTCGAACCATCTCGCCATTGACCAGAGCTAGCGATGCTTCAGGGTCACTGGGAAGGGGTGAAAAATGGCAGATTTGTTGATTCTTTGAAACCGAGGTGGGAAATCCAATGCCTAGAGCGTGATTTCGAATATAAATATAGACGAAAAATGGATTCATATGTGTATCTCAAAGTGGGGTATTACCTTTTGGAATTTTGCCCTTGTTATAAACCGTCTTTACACCATCTTCTATCAGCTTGTCACCCAGCGTACACAAATCCAAGATTTTGGCTCCTTCTACAGCAGCTTCGACTATCTTCTTTAATGTTTCTAGAGGGAAGTGATGGATAAGGGTGCGTGTGTCGAGTCGAGTTTTTTTGTCAAGTAACCAAGCGTGACTATGTACACATCGAAGTACATCCATCCATAACTAGCTGGATGATTTCTCAACGTTGTATACATTAAATCAGATCTATCCCAACACACTGAGCTCGATTTGAGCGTTGATGCACGTAAAGAGCTTCCAACAAGGTGCGTGGAAAAAAAACCACAAATGTTTACAGTTCAAGGCGAATGTAACAAAACAGCAGATAGTAGAAATGAAATATAATATGACTTACCGTTAGCCACTCTGGCGCTAGTTTGATATTTTGTTACTACTTCGGCATTGTCAAGTCCCTCACTAGGTTTGTCACTCTCGTCAGCTCCAGTGATCTCAACGTCCTCAACTTCTTCATCAGACTCTTCTGCATCGGGAACTACAACTGCTGCTTCCTTCTTTGTTTTAGGTGCCATCGCCTAGCTGTGATATGTGAATATGTTTGGTCAAAAATGTTGTTGTGAGTGCGTGGATCTGCGCTATCACACGCAGTAGATATAATACCCCGTAGTTATATATATTCCTCACACGCTAGACACAAAAGATTAGTATTGGTGAAGATTGGCCGTTTTATTGCTGTTTTACACAACAAGCATCGTATGTGTTCAGTTGACTAGCAGTAAGCACGATCAAACCCAGTTGAAAACAGTTTACGACGCGTAATAGTGTCGTCAGCTGGGATTTCTAGGCAGCTTCCAGTGTAAGATACCTCCCGTCAACTTCTTGCAGAAACAACCCAATAAGAAGAATCACAGTTTGTTGACCTCTCAAGGTCTCATCTCTTTCACCAGCATGCCATTAGGCAAGAAACTATTTGATGATCTAGTAGCTTGTCTGACTGCTTCTGATTGTGTGTTTGTAGAAAAGAATAGAGTGAAGGAGTGTCTGGACGGATAAAAAACACGATGAAAGTGTTCCCAATCAATATTACAGGAATCTTAACCCGCTCGTAAACGGAGTGGGTTCTGTCACTTAAACTGTTGGTATTGGTTTTGTTGTTTGAGTCTGTAAGAGCTCAATATTAAAACACATTTTTTAGCGATCTTAGGTTGATCCTTGAAGAAGGTTTCGAGGACCATTAGGTGAAAGACCTTAAGATTCGAATTCAAATGATGAGAATCAGCAATTGGCTATTCTCTCAACTCTGTCTCTCGGAACTCAAAGCCAACAACATGTATTGACGCAAAGCATTCCTGACATCTGCTACAAAACGTGGATGTAAATTTAATTGCCTCTATACATCACATTCCCTCATTCGATTCGACGTGTCCTACTTCAATAGCCCCCCTAGTCAAATGGTACATTCCTTCCCTGCAATTTATACCATTCAAGTTATTATAGTCATCCAAAGGCCGGATAAACTAGTTTATCCGGCCCTGCTGTTCATCCCCAGAGAGAGGAATATCACGGCCTTCCCACGATACTTGGATAACTGAGCCCATCAAACGCAGACTCTCTTAATCCAATTACCTCTGAGAATAGCTTGGTTTCTCCTGATGAACCTACAAGCAAACATTGTGAACTTGAGGTTATTGCATACGATATAACATCAACACCTGAAATGTACCAACCAAGGCGACTTTTGGTGTTCAATTAATTTGGAGACAAAGATGCAAGTAGCCAAAAAAAAAACCCAGGACAAGGCGGTTTGATTCAAACCAGTTAGTGAGGCTTGATATCCCATTGAAGGAAAGCATTGAAGGGCTCCACTTCCGAAGATACCTGAACGTGCTTGTTCCCCAAAAATGTCAACCAGTAATTAATGCCGAAAGCCAAAACAAAGAAAGCAGAATACAATCCAAATGTCACAGAAACGTAATGTATGCTTATGTAGAGATACGCCCTTGCCAAAAAAATATATACACTCTTAACCCCCTTCTACCTCGACAAATCAAGCTGCGATATATCAACATTGATCAACATCCTTCTTCTTGGTCCTCAAACTGTACATACACTCTGCAATGCACATCAAATTTGAATGTGGTTTCGCATGAGCGGCATTAACGGTCATGCAGATTGTTCTCCTGATATGAGGTATCGATTGAAGAGCTCGGCTGTGTGGTTGGTCATAATCATGCAAAATTGAAGAAGAAAATAGACGCGAATGTGACAAGCAAGAGATACCACGAACACGAAGACGCGAATTTGAAAGATCCAAGAATACAACAGCAATAAGAATGTAATAAATGACGCGTCTGTCGTGAGCTTGTGTGGGTGTTGTGAGTTGCTGCCTTTTCTGAAATCGTAAAAACGTACAAAACTTAAAACTTTTCATATATATTCACCCATCATCATGGCCACCCAGGAGCTAGTAATGATTTGGGTCCGTCTGTATGAGCCGGATGGCAATAATGATTTTCGACACGTCGAGGGCACGAGAGCAGATCGCATCTTTCTTCCCAAAACTAATATAGTCGAAGATTTATTGGATTATGTGATTGAACGGACATTCAAAGAGGACTTGACGGGCATACCAAATTATCGCGTGAATGCATACCTATACGATCAAGAGACGCCACTGGATCCTGCTACTCTTGTAACGGCATTTGACACAACATCGCTACAACCCATCAAAGTAGTCGGACGGCCAAAGGTATCGCGAGGTATGTTGAACTTCTGTCTTGTCCTTTTATTCATCATACGTGTATAATTTATTTAGTATAAACGTGTGGCAGTAGCTTTACCAAGCTCGTCAAGAGCAACAGATATCCGCACATCACGCGAAGACGCAAATCTTGAAACGCCCATTGGTCAAAGTGCTTCTGGAGGTCGGGTTGTTGTGGCAGCTGGTGGTCGTAGCATGTTGTCACTCTTTGGTCTGAATTCCTTTTACTCTTCAGAATTTCCGACTTATAACGGTCCAGTTTTTGCAGAGGCCTCATCAAATGACCTTGTCGGAATGGGCGGAATTCAGCACCATCGTCGATTCTCTGTCTGCGGCAGTAGCAGCTATTTTCAACACAATCCTTCCAGCACTGCCAGTAGTCTCATTGTCGGTAGCAACAACTACAGCAGTCTTCGCAGACGTGGTTATGTGCGTATTGGGAACAAGGACCACTCCGGGAGCCTTCTTCTCGAGAGCTTGGACATAAATAACGGCACGACCACCAACACCACAACACCAACCACCGCAACCAACTACAGAATAATCGCAAAGGCAAATATAGACCATAAAAAGAATTTGTAGTCTAGTGATATCTTACCTTCATAAATCTGATTGTATATTCTTTCAATATGCCTTCTCTCATCCACTGAAGCATTTTGATTCTAGCTTCTTTGTATTGTGTAATATTGTCAAACACGATGCAGCCAGTCATGGAACCTAGTCAATCGTATACAAGTTAACAACCTATATGCTCGAAATATGCCGAAACTGCTGGCCGTTTAAGTTCATTATGGTGTACAGCACATACCTCTTTGCCTCTTCCAAAAGCACTATATACACTCTAAAACCCCCTCTACCTCGACAAATGAGGCTGCGATATAATAACATCCTTCTCAACCCTATTACCTCTGTCCAATCTTCTTCCACCCTTCCCTCTCATCCTGTTTCATACCAGCCCGTTTCTTGGTCCTCAAACTATACAGGCACTTTGCAAGACACATTTCAATTGGAAGTGATTTCGCATGAGTGGCATTAACGGCCATGCAGATTGTTTCCCTTACATGAGCTATTGGTTGAAGAGGTCGGTTGTGGGGTTGGTGACTATGCGGGCATAGTCGGATATTGTCACGGTTGGGACGATGGTTACGTCGCCATAGTATTTTTGAACGAGGATTGCTTGGGCTCGGAATGTGAGACAGGATGATAGGCCTACGTCTGATAGCTATATTGTGGATGTTTGATGGTTGTGAGATTCTGGAATGCATGCGAAAAACGAACTTTTCATGCATACCACGTCAACAATACCTTGTAGTTTTCACAATCACCCAAGTTTCTCGTTATAGAAGTCCGTAAGTAGTAGATCATGAGAATGAGATCACCAGCTTCGCGAATCATTTTCAGTTGTGCGAGTCGATCTTGTACGAGTCTGTAATCGTACTCTGACGAGACTGGATTTGCCTTCCACCTGTCATGTCCTAAGTACAACCACATCAGCATCTGATGATCACGAATCTAATGTACTCGGCTGGTACCTTCAATCTTATCCAGCATTTCAGCAGCAGCAGTACATTGATCAAACGTAGTCGCCTTATCCATCAGCGTTTGAGGTTAACTTGGCATCCTTTGATGAAGCTACGAGACAATGTTGTCAACTTGACACAGTAATGGCGTAATGGCGATCAGATACAATTCAATGTGAGATTTCATACCAGTTAGGCGACCAGTTCATTCTTCCAGTAGTCAGCAACGTCCGCCAATGGTTGCTTTTTGATGTTGGTGAATTTCGTGTCAGATACAGAGTAGTAGACATTAAGAACGTGTAGATCACGTACAAACCAACCAGAAGATTTGATATCTTCGTCAATTGGCGTCTTTGGCTCTACTTCCACATTCTTGACTGCCATATCTTTCTAGTTCAAACTAGCTAGCAAAGAGGAGAGACAAGGCTGCCTGATATGTAATAGGCGATGCGGATAGCAGTGGAAGGAAGCCTCCACGGCGAGCTGGACACTGTCTATCAAACTCTGCGTAGAACTGAAAAACAATATGGAATCACTATCGACCTGCTCATCTGTGGTGACTTTCACGTATGTCCATTAGTGAGATGGTATGCATTTATGCGTTATTTTATTCTTACATCATATCCTAACACTCTTACCCAGTCGGTCCGAAATGAACTGCATATGGCTGCAATGAACATCAATGTTGATCAGAATCGCCAACCCGTCGCAAACGAAAACGGGCGTTGAGCACTATGGAAACATTTGTTTTTCTATGAGTTTCAAGCTTTACACTTATTAACAATGTTTAGCGATACTATACACGGGCTCAAATCAATTTTACATTCATCCAACATACGTTTCCCTCCTTGACCCGTTTACTGAATCCATTTTCTTCAAGACTAGCTTCAAACTCAGTAATTGATGGCACTCCTGTTGAATTTGCATCTGCCTCACAAACGTGCTTGATGAAGCAGGCATACATTTCAACACGTGGAACAGTTTGATGTGCAAGCAAATAAAGCTTTTTCGAGATAAACCCATCCATCAAATCATCCATTACAGCACCAGAAGGTTGAGTAGTTGAAGATTTTGAAGATACAAGCACTGCTGATGACGAAGCTCCGGAAGAGTTTTGTTGGGATAGCTCTGGTGATGATCTATTATAGAGGCTCTGTTTATTCCCAGCAGATGGAGATGATGATGCGACAACCGATGCAGTCTTGCTGTCATTTCCTACGAAACGGAGAGATGTATATCAGTGTCGGTTTTTGATGGTTAGGAAACTCGCCGTCGACTTACTGCTAGCCGAGACAATTGCCAAGGGAATGTCTTCTTCATCGTCTTCTGAATCTGAATCTTCAGTAGTGCTGGATTCAGTGGTGCCTGACTCATCACTTGGAATCCTGGGATGAGTTAGCATGATGGCCGACTTGCGACTAGGTAGAGTTGTTGGCTGTTGTGATAAGCGAGATGGTATTCCTTGAGATGGTATTCCTTTACTACTGCCAACAGAGATTCTGGCCATGTTTGCTATTACAACTAGAAATATTGAGCAATTTCTTAGTTCCACTCATTCTGATTCTTTCAAAGTGTGAAATATTCAAAGACACTTACCTGGTGACTGGTCTGCATTCTTGGCTCGTTCGCGTTGCAACCATTCATTTTTCAATTCTTGGCGTCCGATTGCTGAAGCTGTTTCTGACATATCATTGGCGGCATCGTCAGCGTATGGGACATAAGACATTGCATAAGCAGGTTGCGGGACAGGAAGAACGTTGGGATTGCCATAATAAGATCCTTGAAGACCTGGAGCATGATTATAAGGAAATTGAGGCGATGGACCATGAGTATAAGGAAATTGAGGCGGTGGAGCAGTCATAGATTGTGGACGAGCTGACATGCGATTTACCTAGTATAGTTTTGCAAATTAAAACTTGAGTCAAGCACTATGTCTTGAAGATGACATCTTTGCGACAAGAGAAAATCCAACCACAAACATGATAGAAGCAAAGACACCTTAATCACGTTGCTTACCATTGCACTCTTGCGGTTTTCGCGATCAATTTCTTGTTGACTGATTTGACCCATTAGACCAGTTTCAAATGTAGGTTTTCCAACATTGGGATCGACGTGTCCCAGCAAAGGACCACCACTGTTTCGATTCATTATTCGATTCATATCTCGTCGTTGTTCAGCCAAATCGATTAGAGAGTTTCGATTAACCAATGGTTGAGACTTTCGATGCGATGCGTAACTGGCTCGAGGAAGGGCTGGAGAAGGAGTTGGGGGTGCTTTCGATCCTCGTGAAACTAACTGGTCTGGTTTCAACAAGGATATACGAGATGCTGACGGTAGCGATATTGGTCGAGCAACAGCCTTAGCTTGAGGTTCGACAGCTGAGACAATCGAAGTAGGTCGACTATGTCCAGGACCGCGTTTCTAATCAAGTCGAAATAAAAGGGTGAGTTTGACATGGCAGCTTTTTCGCATGACGTTTTGACAACAGCACTACGTACCACGGGAAGCTCAGTTTCTGATTCTGAAGCATCTGAGGGTATCAAAGAGGAACCACAAGATACAATAGACTTGGAATCATCATTATCGTTTTCACCATCCTTGTTATCTTCTTCGTTGATTGTGGGAGTTGCTGTTTGGTTGGGTGATACAGGTATATCTTTCGTCTGTGCACTATGAGCTGGTGATGACACTTGCATAGGGCACGAAATATCAATCACATTCATCAAGTTTCCAGTCGTCCCGTCTTCCTCGACTGCAAACTTTTTGGATAACTTCCATTTTTCATCCACCAAGAATTTGAAGAATATCTTGTTGGCTCCATTAACTTGGATCTGGCATGATTTAAATGATGATTAGCTGGGTTGCTTTATCTTCCGACTGAGCACAAATCGTCAACTCACGGTAAGATGATGTTTTCCAGCTTCATTTCGTTCCATAACCAAAGTCTTTGAGAAATTATCAAATGGGCCTGTTACAATGACATTGGCTGTTGGCGAACATTTTTCAGTGTAGACAATATCGACAAGAAACGTTGTTGTGATTGATAGAATTTGTTTCGCCACGTCATCCACCAAAGTCGAAGAATCAGAAGATTCCAGAGTAGTGTCACTGAGTATGGTATTTCCTCCACTGATGGGAATCCTTGCGAACATGTTGCTTTCCACAACGAAGGGAGTCTTTGCAATACTACTAACAGGAGAACGAGCTTGTTGCGGAAGTTGGTCGTCGACCAGCTTTGGCGAGCCGACGATGGATGATGATACCGAGTTCGTTCCCATGAGAATCAGTTCATCAATATCATCATCAGACTTGACGTTCTCCTTGCTAGTCTCATCTGTTATTGCCAAACTTCGAACCCAAAAGGGTGTTGATGTCTGGGGCTTGCTATGATGAGCCTTGTTATGAGACGATGCCTTCTTGCATCCAAACAGCTTCATTTTCAAGTATAAAAAGGCTGCTGGCTCGACAAATGATGCGATGAAATGTGTGCCCCTGCTGAACTTCCTTCGGTGAATGAGCTTCCTGTCGACAGATGGTGGGCGAATGTTAGACTGACTTCTGAGAGAGCAAAGCTTGCTGTAGCTGTTTGCCTGCCGAGGATTGTACCTTCGAACTGGTCGCCTCCTCGCAGGAACTACTTTTACGAATGAGAGAAACAATGTGATTGCAAAAGGGTCAAAACTCCCAATCACCAATACGAGTGCTGCTGGAAATATTTGCCGCAAGATAATCACAATATTTTAAGGAATTTTATATGTAATTTACGCATTGAAATATATGATGGAATGCTTTCTATACACGTATTAACTTAATGTATCCCGAAAACGGGTCGACTCTTTCGATTCTTACCAAAATTGTTGTATCTATCGGCAATATCGGGTTCAAAACAACAATCCCTACTATGCCTCCTACATCCAGTAGACGTACACGTACAACCCCATACTCAAGGTGGCCGATGATCATGGCACGATACGGCCTTCCGGCTAGCTTGGGAGATAGTGCGTGATATGGAGAGTATTCTACCGGATCTTGCATCTGCATGGTCTCATCGTCATCATCACCCTCTATGACTCCAACACCACTTCCATCGACATTCGCACCCTGATCAATATTGCGACACTCACGGCGTCTAACCCATTCCAGACCCCAACATCGTTGAGAACGAGTTGACAGTTGTCTAGCTGCCCTCTCAATACCACGAGCTCGTTCCATTATAATCATTACGTCTTGAGGTGACATCATTGGATAGGCGTCCGATTTGCACAATACGGATTTGATTTGATAGTGTACGAGTAAATCCATATAGCGGCGTAGCGGAGACGTTACTTTCAGATAACCACCCGATGGACTGTCTTGTCCCCTCAGACCCATGGCAAAGTGTGACTGCGGCTGTAGTGAAGTTTCGGCTGGTGGTAGATGATGTGCCAAGGCATCGTATGAAGCCCTTGTGACAAGACCAGACACAGGATCTCTATTGTTAAGGGCAGAGTCGATAATCTGAGATTTAAATTCGGGTGTGGTACCTATAGAAGATTCTACATTCAAGGGATTTTGCTGTCCTCTATACGGGATTGCAAGGTTGGCTTGTGTACAAAATATCGCAGCAATTCGGCCGGCCAACACCATGCTTTCTGATACAAGACTATGAGATGGTGATAGACCCAGTACGTTGGTCTTCAAACGGATTGTTGGAAATATAGTGGGGTATATCGGTCTATCCGGGCGACCAGACTGACTAGATGGTAGATTTAGATCTGAAGGAAGAAGTCTTATATCTAAATCTAGTTGAGTTCCTTGCAGGGAGCCTTGTCGCACCCTCTCAGAATGATGCGATAAGACCGCCCTTTGTATTTCCAACAAGTTTTCTCTTTCAACTTGATCCAGTTGACCATCAAATGGTTTTGAAGCACGTGTCAGGTTCTTTTGGAGGTAGAAATCAACAAGAGGATCTCGCTCTCGTGATTTAAATTGATGAACCTCTTCCCAGCTCAGTATCTTGTCTGCGTCATCATAACTTATTACCTTGATGTTTCTCAGCAAGGATGCTCGGACCTGTATGTCTAAAATATCTCCATAGCTGTCCAACTTTGCTGAGAAGGTAAGCGCCGGACACACTTTGCCACTTCGCAAGTCCCAGCGTTCCGTTGACAGGGATTGAGGAAACATGGTGTAGGCTTTTTCTGGTATATATACAGATGTTGATCGTGCTTGGGCAATCATTGCAACTAGAGAGTTGGGCGGTACATAAGCAGACGGATCGGCAATATGGATGTGAATCCAACGTTCTTTATTTATAGTGGTTTCGATAGATATACCTACGGGAAAACATAAAAGTCAGCTTTCATCCTCAACTACACAGAAAGAAAAAGGTACTCCATACCATCATCTAACTCGTGAGCTAACGGATCATCAATCACAAAAACGGGCATATCACCGAAGTCGTGGCGGATTGAGAGAGCCGGATCGGTTTCGAAAAATGTTAAGTCTGTTGGTTCCTTACTGGTAACTACGATATTCCGTAGCATTTCTGCAACATCTTTTAAGTTCGAAGAATCCGTGGGACGGCTGGCTTTAAAATTATCTGTGATGCTATCTGGTATACTGGCTACGCGATCATCTGATTTACGAATTTCGTTGGGAGATACCAATTCTTTGCCATACTGTTGCATAATATCCCAGCATGGGTCAGCCCAAGATGAATTTCCTGTTCCTTCAAGACCTTCCAAAGGCGAAAGGCCATTCCATCCTCTAAACACATGTCCTGACTCCCATGGCATCCATACACCAATTTCTTTTAGCAAGAGAGCAGCCAAAGTATGGTCTCGTCTCATTCTAGGATAAAATTCTGGCTCTAGCGGCTGAAATACACCTCTATCTAAAGCTCTTCCATATATGGCACGATCATTTTCGACCGTCGATGTAGCGTAAGTGACAAGGGCTGATATTAATGGATGATCTTCCATGGTAAAAGTGATGGCTGGAGGTGGTTCTGACAGGTTGGCCTGATTACGACTTCTTGACCACTTTATCAATATTTTCGCCTTGTCCAAAAATGCCTTTAGGTCTGGATGTTGATTTCGAGACATGGGAAGCTGATGTGGTGTCAGTGGGGTGGATGTTATGTTACCAAGATGTGTCAAGATCCCCTGTTCAGACGTGTTTAGGATGCTAAAGTTTGAGGTATTGGGTATGGGAGCAAATGTACCAAAGGATCGTGAGAGATACACATGTGATGCGTAGTGTTTGACTAGATTTGTCGGTCCATTTTCACCAAAGACGAATTCAGCGACCTCGTCCACAGATACAATGTCCTCTTTCAAATTACGAAAATGGGCATAAACCTGCTTAAATCTGACACTGTGGTTGACTGTGGTTTGATCAACAGCTTTTCTGAATGCAGCCATGCTGCCTGGAAGCCATATCGGGAGACTATTCTGATCCACTAGTACCTTAGCATCCAAAGAAGGAGGAGGACTTACTATACGATTCTTCTGCACAGAGCTACTAAACACCCATTTTTCAGAGCGATATGAGATCTCTTTTTTTGAATGACTTAGCAGCTGCCCATTGATCAAGATCGATTTATAGCCATGCGAATCTACGCCGGCGATTACACCTTGATACGTTCTGCCCCTCCTACATGACTCAGGTAAGTATCAGACAGGCGCTTGGAAGCTTGCAAAAAAAAAAGTTGCAACCGTCGAATCTCGACCAGATCTCCAATGAAAGGATGGCTAGCTACCGATTCTTTGGCTGCACTAACGGCAGAGACGGTCGAAAAGGCTCTCTTTCCCAACTTGAAGGCTCTCAACATGTCCCAAACCCAGAAAGCGTCTCGGCAGGAAACTGAAGACATTGACGGCACAACTTTTGAACAAAGAACTCGGACAATTCAAGGGACTAATTTGCAATGTCATTACCAAAATTGAAAAATATTATACAAAAAATTATTAAAAGAAAAGTTCGAACTAACTGCTGCTACTACTACTGAGAGGGCCAGTAGACTCAACAACAGACAACGGCACTGTCACTTCTTCAGTAATCACGTCCAATAATGGAGTAGTCTCCGTTGGTTCGGGGGCAATCTCAGCCTTGCAGGAAGGACAGGTGCTTGATCGTGTCAGCAACCAAGGATCAATACACTTGACGTGAAACTCATGGAAGCAAGGAAGTATTCTCAGCTCCTCGTCATCTATTGGTGAAGTCCGTATCAGTTAAATGAAGCACAGCGCGCTTCAGCTTGTGTTTACCTTCATAGTCGTCCAGACATATGGCGCAGACATCTTCATCGTCACTATCTCCATCATCCGCCACCTTCTTATTGTACTTGCGTATAGGCAGGTTTGTGATGAATTCCTCATTACCCACGGTCTGTCTAGTGGATTGAGGTGCTACAGCAGCCTGCTGCCGTCTTCTTCTATGTACTATTATCTGCCAGAGTCCACACAAACAGAACACGATGGAGAGCGGGCTCAATACGGCAATGAGTATTAAATCTACTAAAGGTATGTCGTTTTCATTCTTTTCCAATTCGACCAACAAGTGTGGAATTCTTCCATGCTTTTGTAATTGAAGGCCAGAGTTCTTTTCTGTGAATTGTGATAGGAATCTGAGGTCTCGATAGGAAGACATTGATATAAATACAGATGGAATGATAACATCCGATGTATCCTCCTAAAGAATCATCGTATTGGTTTGTGTTTCCTTGGATTAAACCTGAATGACTGGCAATCGTGGTACTCACTTGAGAGTACATGGTTATTAGATCTCCAGGTTGGTTGTCGCCGACAATCACAGCTTTTGCACCCGAGCGCATCATGCTTCTAACCTTTATAATAAAAAGGAAGCGGGGTCAGAGATGAGATTGCAAGTAACAAGAGTGTTGTTTGTATTACTTTTTCGACAAAGCTACATTCTCCTCGTTGGACCAGAGCGACCCAACCAAATTCCGGGACGTCCAGAATTGGAGATTCGACAGGCATACACCCCCCTTCATTCCTATCACTGGACAAACTGCTAGCGGCACTGTAAGACGGGGAAGCAAGGTGAGTTCCCATTGTTGCAAGCATCCGAAGCAAGACGAAGGATGGGAATAGCAGCGATAAGGTTTGAATTCCAAATCATTCAAATCTGGCATTGGTTGGTTGAGTCGGTCAAGGCCTCCAAGACAAAGAAAAAACACAAGCACGACACATGTTCAAACGATTGCATGTCACCACCCAGTTCAAGGCATGTTTGGCGGTAGTATGGGACGTACATGAGGTAGCCTATGACATTACCAGTATTCTTTACTCCAAAAGCTCCGTTGCGGTCTGTGAAGGTCTCGTTTGCAACGGATGATAAAACTCGAACTGTGGCACTACATTGCTGAGCTGCCAGCAGAACAAGAGCAAGAATCCAGTGCCGCATTGGTAGGAGAGTCGCGGCTCACTCACGGTGCCCTTCTATCGTGGGGGTGTGTGTGTTGTTGTAGGAACAAGACAAGTTGAAACACACTACTCATTTTGCAGGCTGCTGTACACTTGACTGTGCACCCACAATCTACATTTCTCGCATGCAAGCCTTTATTTACTATTATTTATTCAATAGCCTGCTGATCCTCCACTTGCCGTGACCTGATTTGAACTATAATCAAGTGATCAACAAGAACCAATCCTGCTTTGCACATGTAGCTTATACCAAAATGGTCAAAATGATCGCTTTGGGTGGCAGGAGGTGGAATGTCGCTTCTGACGACCTCTTTGTGCCTGCTACCCTTCAAACCATCATCCAACTCGGCAGGTAGCCCTTCAACCTTTATTCCAAACTCAGTCTTCCGACCTGCCATCAAATCTCGTGGTTAATCCTCTGATCTTATTCTCTACAGGATTGTACTCATCATCTCGTTCGTTTGCGCTACCCGGAACTGTCTGGAACTGGACGTCTTTTATGCTCTAAACATAATCATTCTCACAGCTGTCGTGGCTGTAAACCTCACTACCTCAATCTTTTCATTACGAGGCACTGTATCTGACGATCGGCCTCGTCGCATCATCCCAAAGTTAGCTCCCTTTTACGTGGGTTTGACCACTGCCGATATTCTTCTACAGCTCGCCGGTGGTTTTATGATCAAAGAGCAACGAGGGTGTGAATTCTCCTTGCTCCTCATATACGTATATGCTTCGCTCATAATCACTGTCGTATTCCATGTCGTGCTACTTACGCTGATTTACGACAACAAGTCAAACGATACAGCTCAGGACATAGACTCTGCCCACCTTTGGACAAGGAGGCTCAAATGGATCTTTTATGGACGTAATATTAGAGACAATCATGACGTTTCAGGAGCCCTAAAGACAGTGTCCCGAGTGTTGGCGGACTTTTTTGATCACGACTCCAATCTTACAGCGAGTGATGTTGCTGCAGGTCTAGTGCTGCTAAGAAGACAGCAAATGGCCAGAGACTCTCCAGATACAATCACCTTCAGGGGCTTGCCAACAGATAGTTTTGACCACGGAGTACACACTAGTCGTAATCTCGTGAGTCTTGCTGATATTGAGCCAATAAGTTATTTTTATCAGTATGCAGGCAAGTCCACCAAATATGAAGTTTCAGAATTCCATGTTTGATTGCTATCTGGATTGACTAACTCGTGTTTTTGTTTCCATCTTTCGCCTTACGCAGAGGCAATTTATGGACTTCCACTGTACTTGTTCAGTCGACCTCTGATTCATGGATGCAGACACTTGTGTTGTCCGTGCGGAGTCCCAGCTCCGAAAACAGTCGCAGAGCATGTGTCGTTACAATTTGGGACATCTGGATATTGTTGCTGCGGCATTCTTGAATGTTTGCCAAAAACAGACAAGTCTCATCCTGATTTGCTGTACATCAGTTATCACAATGATATATTCTTGTCGCCCTTTTTGGTTGCAGTCGATCGGTGAGCGTTTTTGGGTTGTGTGTATTGTTGTGATTCAGAAACCAACATTCAATCTACCACACTTTTTGTAGCGAACGCCGTACTCTAGTGATTGCTATTAGAGGTGAATGAGCATTGCTATTCAACACCATTCGAGTTAATCCGTATCATAAACTGTTATAAATTTTAGGCTCAATGTCGATTTCAGATATCATAACCGATCTTGTAGTGGAATCCGTACCTCTACCTGGCATGGAAGACAATACCTTTACGCATGGTGGTATGCTCAGCTCCGCCAAGCGAATCTTGAACGAACTTCAGGAGCAGGGAGTCTTAGGCACCATGAAACGAGATTATGGAGATTATGACCTTGTAGTGGTTGGCCATTCGCTCGGTGGAGGAACTGCTTCCGTCTTGACTCATCTACTCAGAAGCACTACCGAGTTTACGGAGGCAAAGTGTTTTGTATATAGTCCACCTGCAGTGATTGCCAGTGCAACAACCGCTGCTCACTTTGAGGGATTCTGTACTACGGTTGTGTTGGGTGCAGATGTTGGTAAGTCACAGTTTTTTTGGACGAGGTCTCTCTATTTCTTCCAACAAGCCTTTACTTGTCTACCGCTTAGTATCCCGTTTGAACCGAAAGTCAATCCATTCTCTTCAGCAAAACCTGACTCGACTAGTATCAACTTGTCGTGAAAGGAAAGTAGATGTATTGGGTCGTGCATTCATAGATTGGTTATGGAAGGGAATGGGTGTTTCTCGACGTCGCGCCATAAACTCGTACCCAGCTGAAAACACACCTATGATAAGCCCAGCAGTCAGCAACGACGATTTGGAGCATAACACGACAACTATAAGTCCTTCTCGATGGCGAGGATTTGATGATGAAGAGGAACTGTACTTGCCAGGAAAAATTGTATACTTTGAAAGGGTCGATGAAAGTCGTGCTCCTTCAGGAGGCAAAAAGGTGTATCGAGCAGTTTGGGCTGAAAAGGAAGAATTCTTGCATATTGTGATCTCATCAACAATGCTGTCAGATCACCTGCCCAATGTGCTTGGTGAGGTGCTTCGGAATGCAGTACATAACATTGCCGAGTGATATGAATGATATAAATAACACACACAACTGCTGTGAATAAAGATGCTGTCCCTCATACTCTCTGTCTCGCCTGAACATTTTGAATTCCAAAAAGAACACATTGTCATATATATTCAGGTGTTTGTGAGGCATCTTTTACAAATTTACAAGGGTCGTTCAGGACCTTTTAGTTTTTCTTTCTATAAATAGTAAATCATTTAACATACGCACACGCCCACAAAACTCTCCAAAAACATCCTCCTAGCCACCCACTTCGATATCAGCGTCCTGGATATAGCGGCTCAGACTACCTTCGCTACTGTTACTCCAGACAGTCCAAGCATCGGGTTCGTCAGTAGCACTATTCTGTCGATTACTGTTATTATTGGTATTGGTATTATTACTATTGCTGTCGCGTTCGTGCAACCAGGCTGTATTAGATACAGGAGCCTTGACTACTGGAGACATTCCAAGAGGAGTCAAATTTGCAGTAGCCTTCGGTACATACTTCCCTTGAGCTCCACCGCTTGCTGTTCTTTCTACATTGACGTCTACTCTCTTGGCCTGCATGTCTTTCAGAGTTCTACTCAATGATTCTGTTATACCAGCAAAAGCGGAATTTGTCATCCAAGGTGCTGGTCTCTGTTGTGAGGACGAGGTTGGATTACCGAATGATACTCGACCACCTTTTGAGTCTGTTGATGAGCGTAAAACATCCCGTGCCGAGTCATGTGACGATCTAAATATAGAGGAAAGCCTAGATTCTGTAGAGGTTCTTATGGTATTTGGGCTTTGATGGGTATAGCGAGATTCTGTAGAATGACGTGCTGGATAAAATTGGTCTGGATCGGGGAAGTATGATGTGGGTGATTCCTGGTACGTGGAATCAAATGATGGTCTTATAGTATTGAGGGGAGGTAGAATGGGCCGCGATAATGTCGATGGTCTACTATTATATTCATCGGCACTTATGGCATCATTACTACGTTGTTGTTGACTATTGTTGACCGTACTGCTATGGAAGACCGTGTCTGTACTTGCTTGGCGTGTCGGATATATTGAATTCGAATCTGCAAACGGCCCTTGGGTATTTGACCATTCAGCAGCAGGGCTGACACCTTCAGCATTCAAATCTACTGTTGACAGCTGTTCCCGTCCAGCAGGAGAAGCTACATTATCGTTTGAAGTGGATTTGCGAGAGTATGTACGAGATGTACGTATACCAAATGATTTTGGCATCGTAGCAGACCGTATAGAATCTTCGGAAGGACGTTGTGTCTCTCTAGAATTTCGTGCAGACTGTGAGCGATGTAATATATGATTTGGTAGTATATATTCGTCCATTGGCAAATCGTCGTCTACTGATGATTGATTCAGTCGCATATCTGAGATGGTCCTTCGAGGCGAGCGGTCCCATGTGGTATATGGAGCAAACATGGCATATGGCTTATCCAAGATTTCTGGTAAATCCGATGCCTGTAAGTTAAACAAGATGTGAGGAACATTATGCTGATTGGTATTTTCAATCAATCCATGGTCTCAAGAGCAACACATATGTGAGAACACATATGTTTGGTTATAACAAACTTACCTTGGAGAGGTCTGACTTTGATTTGGGATTAAGCATATGGGTAAAGTTAGTGACTACCGACCAAGTGCTTCCGTTATGAGAAGGGGGAGAGTTCATGGATTGTTGTATTTCGGAATTATCAGAGTTGACAGTCCTCCAACCTGTCCTCGAGGTGCCAGTGATTGATTCGAATTTCGAGTCACTCAAATCAGGGGGAGACGTGGGCGATAGAATGGCAGTGAAGGATGTGATGGATCCATTGTTATTCCAGTATCCAGAGGGGCTGTTGCCGTATCTCCGTACAAACCCATAGCGAGACTAGGACAAAGTAGAGACAAGATGATGAGTTTTTTGACACAGCGTCAACTAATCAAGTAGTGGATTTACCTCCTTCCTTCTACTTCTGCACCATATGTAGGTGACGCCCGCCACTATCGCCAGTACCCCCATACAAACCACTACAATAACGGCGATGATGATTGCACTGGGACCACTTGACAAGATGGTTGGCTCAGGAGCATTGGAAACCTGGAGTATCGATGATGAAGATGGGGATGGTTGTATTTGATCCGTGTCCTAGTAGAAGAAACAGGGTAAATGGGCAATGTAGAATTTGTACGCACAATTCAGGCTTTTAATTGCAGCCACAAATGTAGATGTTTCAGAATGTGGGGCCAATAGGAGGCAAGAGAGAGTAGTTGCAGCCTGATGGTGAGTATAAAGTACCTGTCTAGGGCGGAGAGTACGTATTCGACCTTGGGGAGGCCGATTGATACCAGCGGCGCTTGTCATAGGGAGAAGAAGCAAAAGTACCAGACTCCTAGCAGTCCAAGTAGATCGTTTACTTGTAGCGGTGGATGTGGGGTCGATTAGGCAGCATGTAAGCTTGCGATGCGATGTGGTCTTATGTCGATGATGTTGAATAGCGATACTGAATGAATCTCGTAGCAAAGCGTGCCAGCACTGTCTGTTCCAGTAGGTCAGTATGGGGTCAAAGGACATGATAGTGGCATGTACATGCGAGTCGTGGTCAGCCTATTGCCTGTTTGCTAGCTTAGGTTGTTGCGGTCGCTGACAATGAGGCTGTTGCAAGATACTGGCTGTCACGCCTGTGTGGAGCAAGTCAAGGTATCAACTGTTTTGCACAGCCAAGGAGGTACGTCGACGATGGGGAGGATGCGCTTCTTATTTCGAGCACGTTGACGGTTTGTTCTTGTTCCTTCCCCCTGCTCGTCTGTCTTTTTGCTCTGTTCTGTGAATCGGATTCGCTGACTCGGGAACTTGCCAACTTTGGACTTTTTTTATTCCACTAACTCGCATTCATTTACTAATAGTACTCTACTCGATGCATACAATCTCGCTCTGCCTCCTCCTTCCATGGGCGACATGTTTAGTACAGATGTCTCTTTCCTTGCTGAGTTCCGGAATGTTGACGCTGACATCCTGGAGAGCGGCTCAAAAATCACGTTGAAATCACCTACAAACGCGTGCAAGTCGTTTGGATTCTCTGCATCTTCAAGATCTGAGAACTTGGAGAATTTTCCTCTCAACATTTCGAGATTTACACACCTGCCTAGAAACCTTTGTGAATTCAATAACGATCACCGATAAAAGACATATACGATCGATACTCAGCGCTAAATCAATGGCTCTCAGTGTAGAACAAGCTGTCTCCCCCTCTGTAAATTCTGCTTTTGCTTCTCAAAATATTGAGATCCCAATCACTGCTGAGCGACGAGGAAGTGTTACCCTGCAAAATGGACTATCCAGCTTTGCAATCCCTCTCATTGGATCACAATCTAATGTCCCTGTAATGTCTCCTACTTATGGTCATGTTGAAAGAATCAACAATCGTATAAACCATCTCAATCTCGAAGCGAATGGCTTCTTCAATCCTCAAATGATGTATAATACCAATGATTATAGTATCGATATAAACCACTTGCAACAACAACAATACTATCAACAACTCCAACAACATCAACAACTTCCTTGGATGTTGCTAAACAATGAAGCTCTACATCACCAACAACAACAAGAAGAGGGCGATGGATATGTACAATGGATGAGCATGGACATGCCGAATAGTGCTAATCTCGATAACAATCTCTGGCTTGCCAATAATGGTGAAACTCATCAAGCTCAACAGCCTAACTTGGACTATTATGGCTCGCAGCTACTACTAGATCTCAGCAATATAAAGGCAGAACAACATGGAATGCATACGTTTGATACCATGCAGATGCATGTACATCATCAAATGCAGGACTACTCTTCTCCAACAGACACTTCTGAAGGAGGTCTGTTGGACGGAACTGCTGGTGGAGTCATGCAATCCAACAATATGTCTGGTCGTCGTCGTGCTTCTACGGGATCTCGTAATTTAAAGTCTACCTCTAAAAAGCAAGTACAATCTCGTCGTGTAGCTAGTGAAAGTAACGTCAACTTTAAGCATCCATACGATGACGACAATGCTGAATTCTCTCCTCGTGATGACGAGGAGGCTTACGGTGACGATGAATTTAGTGATGAATATGACGAGTATCATCCGGGTGGATCTAGTAGCTCTCGTCGACAGTCTGTCGCTAGGACTACTGCTCGTCGATCATCCAATGGAGATGGTGGAAATAAGACCTTGATTGCTTATGAAGATCATATCGATGGCCAGATTGATGCTGAGCCATTCACTACTCGTGTGTTGGATCCTACGTTTAATGACAAGGAAAAGGCCATTGATTTCTTGAAAAAGGAAGCAAGGACTGCTGGATTCAGTGTTTTGGTTCGAGTAAGTCTAGTTCAGTTTGATTGCATTGTGAAGCAACTTTGTTTAATCAAGTCGTTTCGATGATATTCGGCTTTTTTGAAATGTCTCTCCTGTGTTTTGTAGACTTCCAAGAAGGACTATGTTGTGCAAGTGTATTGAATTGATTCTGTCAACTGAATTCGTCAACCCATTACGTATTACTCACTTTCGCTCATTTTTACATATAGACTCATATGCAATTGTGGGAGACGTCTCAAGGAACTCAAGAATGCTCGAGTTCGGTGAGTGACTATCGAATCGTTTCATTTTCCTGTACATTGTTTCTCAAACATCTCCTTTCATAGCAATCGCAAGCAAAAGACTCCTCAGACTGGGTGTTTATGGCGTATCATCTTGGTGAGGCTCTTTTGCTTGTTTTGGCGAGAGTGAGGATGGAACAGACACGAACTCTGACTCAAACCTCGTTGTTTTGTCTAGGTCAAGTCTGATGAAAGTGGTGCATGGTCGTACCGCACCTCTAATGCCATGAATCACAACCATGGCGTCATTCCTATGTGAGCTGCTCCTGTGTGCTCCTCCTGTGCTCCGCGATGTGAACTGTGTGATTTCTTTAGCTTTTTATAAACAAATAAATCAATAGTATAGCATCGAATTGGTTTGAGAACGGCTCTTTCTTTCGCGGCATTCGCGTGATGGTGTCCAAATTCACTGGAACTAATCAACAAAAGTTCAAAAGTTCGCAAAAAAATAAAACCCCCCACGAGCTTCAGGAGCATACAGCAATCATGCCTCCTAAAGCTTCAGGGTCAAAGGACAAGACCAAAGCAAAGATGGTAGAAGACAAGACATTTGGTCTCAAAGTAAGCTTGCTGCGACCTTTTTTGTCGATTAAAAAATCGTGACTTTTTCTGACATCCTTCTCTATTAGAACAAGGTGCGATGCTGTTTGCTTTCAAGCTTCTGCAGATTACGATATTAATTCCTCTTCTTCTTTTGTCCTTGCCATCCTCCAGAACAAGAGTGCCAAAATGGGTATTTAACAACATCAAACTAGTCTAGATTTGAGCACAACACATCAGACCTACTTAGCTAACATTACATCAAATCATAGCCAAATATGTCGCCCAAGTCGAAACAGCAGTCATGGCAGCCGGAAATCGAAAGGCAGTAGATGCACAAGCTGCTGAAAAGGCTGCTCGTGCTGCTAAAAAGGCTGACGAAGAGAAACGCAAAGCTGAACTCGCTGAACTCTTCAAGCCTGTACAAACTCAACAAAAAGTCCCATTCGGCGTTGATCCAAAGACTATATTATGTGCCTTCTTCAAGGCGAGCCAGTGTCAGAAAGGCGACAAGTGTAAATTCTCCCATGATCCAAACATTGACAGAAAGGAAGCCAAGATTGATGTCTATACTGACAAGAGGAAGGATGAAAAGGACGAAGGTATGCTCGCTGTTGTCGCGGCTTTATTCAAAGAACAGTGGAAAACGGGGACGCACTTCGATCGACCAGGCCATCTGGACGGGGCACGTACCCCGAATGCTTTGGTTTTTAATAGATTCTCTGCATTCATAGTCAAAAAGTCGCACCTAAAATTTTTATTGTGTAGATACTATGGACAAATGGGATCAGGAGAAACTGAATGCTGTTGTAAACCAGAAGCATTCATCGGGCAATGTCAATAAACCAACAGAAATCGTATGCAAATTCTTTGTCGACGCTATCGAAGCTGGAAAATATGGCTGGTTTTGGGAGTGTCCGAATGGAGGCGACAAGTGTAAATATCGCCATGCTCTGCCTATGGGTTACATTCTCAAGAAGAAGGAAACAGAAGAGGAGAGGAGAGAACGCGAGGAAATGGAAAAAGAGAATGAGATATCCATCGAAGAATTCCTCGACACCGAGGTAACCATCTAGTTTAAACGTGAAGGATTGTTGAAAACATTCAGTCACACACGTCGAAAACGCAACATTCTCCTGATAAATTTTTTCGCTTTCGTGATTCCCGAACCACCATCACTCAATTTTATTTTGTCAACACTAGCGACATCAACTAGGCCAAAATCTGACACCGATAAATGAAGTCTCGTTTGCAAAATGGAAGGCCGACAAGAAAACGAGAGAAGCTACTGACGCCGCCGCTCTCTCGAAAAAGAAGGAGGAAGCATATAAACAACACAAAGCCGGAATGAAGTCAGGAATTCTGTTTTCAGGAAAGGAACTCTTCGACTTCAATCCGGATTGGAAGGACGCGGATGATGATGAGGCGGTTGCATTGGATATGAGGGAGGAAAGTGATGGAGAACGACCAGCTGATGAAGAAGGTAGAGCAGGGAATGGTTACTTGGGCGAGGATAATGGTGTGGAAAGTGATGAACATGATGATGAAGACGATGATACCGCCACAAGCAGTAAACATAAGGGTAAACAAAAAGCATCAGACGATACTGAAGCTGCTATCGATGTATCAATGTTTGAGGCTGAAGATCTTGCCGGAATTGATGACGATGACGACGAGGAAGAAGAAGAGGCTGATGAAGAGTAAATTTACGCATAACTTTGTAAAGATACCAAGCAAATGCACTATATATAAAGCTAAAACTATTCAGCAGGAGTGGAAGGGTGTTTCGTTGTTCCGTCTTCTTGTATTACCGTCTTGTTTTCAATTTCAGACGCAAGCTCAACTTGGAAGACAAGACAAACCGGAAACGCAACAAGACATACCAGACGGCACTACGTAACATGTCTGTTACCCTCTACCACGCTCCCACGAGTCCCTTCGGGAACAAGCGTACGTAGAGCACTTGACCATCTTCAATTGTCCTATCACGATGCTTACCCATTTTTCCACTAGTCAAGATCATCATGTACGAAAAAGGCATCGACTTTGCTTTACCACCACTATCAGAGACTCCAGCAAACATTTTCTTGGCGAATCCAAGATCTGAAGTGGTATGGCAGAGAATCGCTATGGTTTTGCCAGTTGCACTGCTTTGCAGAGGATGAACTAGCGCCTCTGAATTCCTTTTTAATGGTCCGTCTCTCGTTGTAGCCCCTGCTCAAGCATGGAGATGTGGTTTTGTTCGATAGTCGGGTGATTGCCGAATACTTGGAAGAAGTCTTGTAAGTTTGCGAGCCCAACGATTGGAGTGCTGATTCGGAATAGAGGCATTGATGACAGCAAGTGCTTAAAGTGCGGCGTCTGCACGACTTTGCCGTTTTTCGATACGGAAACTGAATTTGCGTAGTCTGGCTGAATTATTTAGTTTCAACACTTTGAGAGCTATGAAGACGCTTCCTTTAACGTTTCTGAATATTTTTGCTTTGAAAAGCATCTCAAATTTACATGTTATTAACTTCAAATTCTCTTCTAGTCCAGATAAACCAATGTGGCCAAAGAATCCTGCCTTGAAAGCAAAGGGACGAGTCATTGCTGACGTGGTAGACACTCATCTTGAAGGAATCACTGTGAGCAGATTGTCAGCAATTATCGCAAAAAAACTTCAACGTGCTGACATGTCCGTTGTAGTGGGGAATCGGAGAAATCACCTTCTTCAACAGAACACCACCGGGATCTAAACTTCGAGAAGAAATGCTCGAAAAGGCTACATCTCAAATTCAAGACTACTTCACCTTCTTGTCCACGCAGTTAACCGGAATGGATTACTTTGGTGGCGATGTGTTCGTGAGTAATCCAATTTTCACTCTTCAGCTGCATGGATCAAACTCACCTTCGGAACGCCACTAGTCCATCTCTGACGCCGCCGTCGCTAGCCACGTAATGGGGTGTGTCGCTCGAGGAATCTTGCCACCTGCTGGAAGCAATCTAGCACGGTGGTGGGCTGTAGTGGAGCAAAGGCCTTCAGTAGCTAAAGTGATTGAAGGAGGAGTCGCCGACCGTTCGGGACCCACAATTACTGATGCTGCTACCCGTATCGAGCAAGGTACAAATCGGCTTGGAGACGGTTCACAGCCAAAATCAAACAAGCTAACCATTTATTCAATAGGTCTATTCAAGCGAGAATGTGAGTTAAGGGTATAATATCTTTGTGAGAGTCAAGACTTACCTTTTGTCGAAATTAGACCGTGATCATAGACTAGAGTGGATGATAAAATCGAATCCTGCCGGAATCGATATCGTTAAAGCCGGCATCGGAAAGAACATTCGATTTATTGACGAGAAGAACTTTGCCCGTTGTGGAAAGATGTGAAACATAGAAAGCATTTGCCGTACGCAATGATCCAATATACAACCTTTTATTGGATGTTTTACACCATGTGATTATATTCAGACTTTGACAATCGATACGCCAATTAACGAATCGCGACCGATAAGTGCCGCCAATTCTTCTTCGGTATATCCTTCTGTACCCACAGGCCTGCGGGGAAGCACCAAATACCTACAGTCGGCGGTCGAGTCGTGGACAGCCAGCTCCACAGATTCTGGTAGGAGCAGGCCGAAGGAGTCCTTGAGCATTTCGCGAGGATCTCTAACAGCTCTGGCTCGATACGACCGGGTCTTGTACCAATCTGGAGGTAATCCGAGAAGGACTCGTGGATAACACTACAAAGACGCATTTCGGTCAGTTGCGTTCTCACATTGTGAACCCAGTAGACTCACAGAGCACAAGGTACAAACAATCAAATTGTGACGAGTCTCAGTATTTTCAACGACGATGAGACGTATTTCGACCCATGAGCTCAAATTGATACCCAAAAACTCTTTGACGGCAGCATTTCCATCTGCGAGAAGTCGCGCTTTAAAAACTGGGTCTGTCCAAGCCCTACAATTGGAAACGGTTGAGACTTATATATTTGACAATTCCAATTTTCGAGCGCTTACTTGGCAACAAGCTTGGGGCCAAGACCAGAACTCTGAGCTTCATCTGTTCTTTCAACCCTTAACCTCAACTCATCAGCACTGACAATTTCCTTTGCAATTATAGCTCGAATGAGCGCTTCTGCGAATTGTTGAGATGGCGTAATCGGTCCCTCGGCCTCCGTCGCGTTCTAGAAGATAAACATTGAGTTTAGCTTGAACTACACAGCATTCAAGAGTGACTGATACTTACGTGTTCTATCTCACTTCTTGTCAAATGATCGTGGTCGTGCTCTTCCTCCTCCTCTTCTTCCTCCTCGCTGTAAGTCAATACGGTTGTTGCCTCGGCGCTGGTTCCTTCAGCTTGTTCTAGCCAGTGCTGATAAATCTCCACATCTACTGTGTCGATTTTCTGACCTAAAAGTAATGTTTAAGGCTACAATGGCAATTGATTATTATCTGCCATACCAAGGTATTCAGGCCACACGTTACTCATTTTGAACCGGACTCTAAACAATGGCATTACACTTTCACTCGAAAGATTGAAGGCTCTTGCTTCAGGATTGGGGAAGACTCCAACCACGCGCTCAACAACACCAGTACAGCCATCTATTACCACAGCTTGATGGTTAAAGATGATGTGGGTTTGTTGAAGACATATATTTGTTCTTACAGATATAACCCGGAACCCTCAAATGTGGTTTTCGCCATCGCGATGAATGGTTTTCAGGTTTGACCTTGACTAGATCACCAACCGTAAAGCGAGGAGTGGAATCTGATGCCGTCGATCCAAGCTGAGAGTCCAGGTCGTCTTGAGTCAGAATTTGCTTCTCCAACAGGGCAATACCAAGAGAAGCAGCCCTGAACGCATCATCGTTTAGTAGACGGCGACCGAGTCTGATCGTTGAAACAAACACACCATTTCCCGTAGTAAGACCAGTTCTCGTAAGTTGAAGGAGGTAGCCCCTCGATGCCTCTACGTAGCTGGCTATTAATTTGTAATAAAAATTAGAAGGGGACACTGACCCCAGCAACGCTTGAGGAAACCACCAACAAAACAGGCGATACAAGCACTCACTCCACGTTCATAAACCCTTTTGCAGAGCAGTTTTGAACCAGATCGTCTATCTGCTTTTCCCATAAGGCCTTTGGGTGATCAGGTTTGAAGTTTACAACGAGATCGTCTTTGTTGATGTCCAGACCACCGTAATCGTGCACTCCGTTGGATCCAGCTGTGGTTGCTGCTACCATCTTTTCCATGGGAATTTAAAGCACGGTGAGCATTTGATCTGTGCAAGCTTCTTATGATCAAAAACTCCAAACACTCAATTGTTTCGTCCTTGGAGCTTCAAGCTCGCAGTAACGTTTACCTGATTCTTGATACTGAGTAATGGTTGATTTCGGTAGATCAGGCCGGTGGATGATTGTCTTCTTGTAACTCTCGGTGTACTTCTGCATCAAACATCAACGGTTGCTGGTCATGGTCGTGTCTCCGCCCAAATTTATGAGACGAATAGTCATAACTGCCACCACTCTGACACTCGCCATCGTTGCGCTACTGTTCCTGTCTCGGAGCCTTGGAAGAATCACGTCAGATCCGCCCCCACCAGAGACTGCTTCGAAACCACAGACAGCTTTTGTAGGAATATTCTCTACGGCAGAAAGATACGAAAGACGATCTCTGATACGATCAACATATCTCACTCTCAAGCCTCCCTCTCTTGACGTGAAATTCGTAGTGGGCCAGACTAGTGACAAGGAATGGTCCACGTTATTAGCCTTGGAAGACCTAAAACATAACGATATATTGGTGCTTGACACACCAGAGAACATGAACGAAGGCAAAACATACATATATTTTGCGAGCCTTGGCAAACGCTACCAGCCCCACCAATACATGTACGCAGCTAAAATGGATGATGACATATGGATACATCTTCCAAACCTTGAAAGACTCCTACGTATAGAAGGAGCAAACAAAAGGAATGGAACTTACATGGGACGTCATGTAACCGGAACTGGATTTATGGCAGTACGTAGCATGCGACTGGATTTTAACAACCAGCAATCTAATGCTGCTCTTCTTCTAGGGAATGGGATATGTGCTGTCTTGGTAGACAATGTTTTTTTATATGATATGCAAACCATCATCATCTCAACGACGCCTCTTCATTTCTAGGGACCTGGTAGATTGGATTTCGCAGGATTCATATCCCAAGGAGCATATGAGCGGACAGGTAATGCTTAATGCTGTCCTGCTACTTGAAGTCTTCTGAGGATTGTCATATATAGGATATTAACGGGTCAGTATATATTTAGGAAGACGCCAACTTGTCAGGCTGGCTCAGAGACAAGGATAAAGTTCAGAATTTTTGGTCAATTGAAGAACCTGATAGATTCTATGATGAACCTGATTCAAAGGAAGGATGGGCCATACATAACTACTCAAACAACACCATAATCATACACCGTCTGAAAAGAACTGACTGGTTTTTGAAGGCATCAAGGCATTTTTTGAGCCATCTGCTCCCGCCTCATCTTCAGGATCACCATGATGCAACATAGAACGCATTAAATAACTGTAAATCGTGTAAATATATATTCTGCGAATCAAATTTATCTACATAACGAAGCTACGTTTTCTGTTTTTTTAGAAAGGTGAATACCTTTTTGACCATGCTACTTGGAGGCTTTGAAACTATGTCTTGCTTTGACCCTGCCCACTCTTGAATCGGATTGTGAGAAAGTGTGTTTCTGTTTGCGGTCGAAGATTGGCGTTGCGAGCCGTCAACATTAGTTTGCAAGGACTCCACTGAAGCAATGACTGGTTGAAGTTGAGGTTTGGCGAGAGTCATTGGCCGTTTTGTTGGGAATACTACAATTGCTGGCGTTTCACAAGACTGTGGTTTATCGGCATCTGTTGAAAGAAAAACAAGTGTGAGAGTAGCAAGAATTTAGAGCTCTTCCAACATTCATGTTGCATCATTTTCATCGCAGTTTGGGTGACAAACGTCTGTTTGGATCGTGATAACGAAATTCTTCGCATGAAACAACATACCAATTTGTAACGGAAGGAGACCAACTGAGGCCGGTGGACTTCTTGAATTCGTTGGAGTATTTCTTGAAAGAGACTTTGAGCCTGACTTGCGACCTTGCAACAAAAACCAAGTTAGAAAATGTAGGGTTTTTTTGAAATGGACGCAATGAGTATTGTTGCGAGATTGAGCCGACAGCGTCGACTGAAACGCTATAGATCCATTGAGTATTTGATTTGAAACTTACTCAAAGTCTCTCGACCTAAACTGACATACTGGTCGGCTGCAGACTCTTGAAAGTGTTCAGAAGGTGGTATGTTCTCGTATGGGCGGTCTTCAACACCTTGGCCATCAAAGTCCATTATTCTAGTGAAGATTTGAGTTGAATCATTCTCGTCAGCAAGTCTGAGGTCGGGTTGGGATGGTTGATCCTAACGTTCTCGTTGGTGCCCTTGGATCAAGCGAACATATCCTGAAAAAATTAATCGCATTTAAGCGCGCAGTGTTCCGTGGCTAAAATACGGCCCTACGCCATCTGATGAGGTTTTGCATAGTTTTATTTATTGGGACAGAATGACTGGGTCTATAATTCATACTGTTCGCTTCAAAACCAACCAACACCGTGGCGAGTACTACCGACGTCTTGTGATAATGAGCGAAATTCATTTACCAGGTCCTCCCACTAGCCTGGTAATGTATTCTGGCGCGCTGGGTGCAGTGTTATACTCGGATGGTATTGGTTCTCCCACTACCGATGCTATTGGAACCACTCCAGTCCAAACGTGTTTGTTTTCTGGATCTTCAATGTCCTGTAAGATTTGAGGGGAGTTTAGAACCAGGTAGCGAAAGACTTGTACTATTGACTTGCCTTTTGCTCATCTTTTGGAGGACCTGTTAAAAACGAACCTCAGAGTGTCATTCTACACAGTCCAAGAGTTCGGCACGCTTCAACAGCAAGAAACTTACCGGTTCTGACTTTGGTTGACGCTGACTCTATATCAACCCGAATAACTGATGTCGACTTTATTTCAGTTTTCGATGGTAGTCTACCATCACCCCAATTATCCTTCAACAAGCCCTCAGTGATAATTCGGAGTGCTTCCAACTTCTCATCTTCATCGTCAACTAGTTTTCCTGTACCGAAAACGACAACTGACCTAAGAATCGTTTAATTGAATTTGCAACGAAGCAGTCTCGATTATATTGCGTATTAAGCACAAGCTGATACTTGCCGATAATTCACACTGTTGTGAAATGGCGACTTTGATACAACTAGTCCATCTACGTGAGCTACAGACATTGTCACTGGGCAACCGGTAGCTAGGACTTTTGCAATACGGGCAGAGACATATCCATGAAGATAGATAGATTCTTCCTGATAAAAGAAACATGGCGTCTGAGCTCGAGATACTACAGGAATGCAAATGTGATGACACTGTCAAAAAGAAATGGTACATGTCTAGCGTAGAGCATGGGGATGACAAAGGGTTGACCATCAACAGCAAATCCGACCTGTCCGAAATAATAGAGCAAGTTAGACAGAATCCTTCTCAATCAATCGATCAGTTACTTGACAGAATGCCTACATGGCCAAGAATTGCGGAGTCCAACAGCTGGTTGACAGTCTCGTAATCGTACGCGGCGCGGTTGACGAGCCGCCTGACTTGATTCAAATTCTTATTCTTCTCGAACTCCATGATGTTTCTGTGATTTGTAGCTGAGTTCGAAGTTGGAGTGAAGCTTGATGGTGAGACAGTTGCACTAACAATCAAACAGTCATTCAAGATCCATCACCGATAATACATGCATTTCGAACAATTAAAGCTCCATGTTTGCAATTCAATATTATAAAATATACATGCAATTCTTACATTATACTCTAACTCAGTCCTGCCTTCGCCTACCGGTATCTCGTTTCTCACATTTACTATATATAGCATTCACGATGCCGACAAGATTCATGCTGGTCATCTGTGAGATCTACTACAAATTCCTGTTTTATTATTGGTTTTGGATTTGGTGGTTGGGATGTCTGAGAGTTCCAAACCGATCAAATCGTCATCATCGAGACTGAGCACTGGTAATATACGTGCTATTATAGGTACACCTTGTGGTGGCACTCGTGGAATCGGTGCATGCATTGACGATGCGAATGAATGCTCTGCAGCGGTTGTGCTAAAATTGCTCTACATATTGTTGCTTGGTATATTTCCCCCCAGTTTAGAAATGGGCTGATATTTCCGCTCTGTTGCAGAGAGAGGTCGCGACTGGTTTGATGATACTGTGCTCGTTGGTTTAGCAGCAGCAACCGATTCATCATTGAATATGGTTGACGGCGTGACGATATTTACTGCGGCCTTCGTTTTTCTTGCTTTGGGTTGTGGGTGTTTTTAGGGGCTGTTGACTTTTACAGACGACGGCTATTGCGTTCCTATTTGACTACCACTGGGAGAGGATATATGCTGGCTTGCCTTCTTTTTAGGGCTGGTGTGAGCTTCAACTGTTTTATCCAGGCCTTGCTCGTCTTCTATCCTGGACCTACTGGCCTGTCGAGCTAATGATCGAGCTTACTTGGCCTCTTTGGTAGCTCTCTTCAGTTGCTGCTTATTTTCGTATTCTTTGGCGATACCTAGTGCACATGCTGTTACTGGATTACTTTCTATCCAGCTGAGCTTCATCAATCTATCACCGTCATTATCGGAAGCTTGACTCATTGGTTGGGATTGGGTCTGAGAAGGCGGAATACCATCATCCTTTGGAGGTACGATCATAAACGGGTATGATAAAATGGCGGGTGGGATCTCTACAACCATAGAGTCGTGCCACTTCACACGATATTGTCGTACATTATCTACCATTCTGGTTCGCTATTTAGCCTCAATCATTACACTTGTATGTAGGGTTGGTTGATTTAGCATTGAAGCGTATTTTCTGAACAGCCGCAGCGATGAGTACAACGTGTTCCGGAACTTTGTATGGCAGATTTTAGCATCCCTTTCAATGTATTTGCGGGACCACTTATGCAAATGAGAGAATTAAGCCTCAGCTAAATCCCTTGAAAGTCATACCGAAATATTCCGTCCAGATTTGGCGTCATTCTCTCAAAAGAATTTGCGAGTAATTGCTGAAGCTCTTTGCCTCGTTTGGCTGACGATGTTTCATTGGTTCGAGGGTGAGCGAATGCCAAAATGACTTCAATATTGGGCCAATCCGGACTAACGACGAGCCTTGGGTTGAGTAGATTAATCTGGGCAAGATATTTGGCCTTCCAAACTTCTATGGCGTGCCCGTCATTGTCATTGGAAGCCTGAGCAGCTGCTGTTATACCACTTCCCACGCCCATATTTACAAGCTGTTTAGCAATCCCCGATTCCTTGTAATCCTGTACTACCATAATCAGAGCCTGTCAGAAGAGCAAAAAGAATCAAGCCTGAAGATTAAATTAAAAATTTAAATTGGGTGTTAGTTCATCAATAACATATCCGAGGAATTTATTTGCCGACTTGTTGATGTCGAATTTTAGTTACCTTCGCGATCCCATCCTACCTTTTGCCCGATGTCCTTGATAACATAAATATCAACGGCGTCGTTCTCTGAGGTAGACTTTGTCCAGTTACGAATAATGCCAGGAGCACCCATCAAGAGGGCATCTCCATCGTCTGTGAGGACAGCATCAACTATGCCAGTATAACACAGTCGTGCACATTCAGCTTCAGCTTCACTAGGAGCCTAATAAAGAAATTGTTAAATATGTATCCATGGGCTGACTGTTTCAACTTGCCACTCTTGTCAGGAGCCCGAGGGCTACACGTAATATTTTGAAATCCTAGATTCGCAAATATTGTTTGATGGTGTGGGGGTATAAACATGCTGATATCTTACGTCTGCTTCCTTCCCAGCGCTTGCCCAATGTCCTCGCTTCTTTACGGTTGGATCGAATACGATGACAGGTAGTATGCCCAGTTTGAGGAGGTTGTTGGCTTCAAAGAAGAGGGTACGATGTATAGGGTGATCATTATCCGTCAATAGAAAATGAGAATGTTTGTTTAGGTGGGTGAACGAATAGGCGAGTGTGGAGTGAGTGACCGAGTAATACCAACTAGACAACAAATAGATAACAAAAAGACAAGAAATCAATGTTTATTACCTGGAACTATTTCAGCCTTTCTAATTCAAATTGAAATATTCACAGCGATACAAATTGGATGCCATCCAATGGGTTTGTGGATTAATGGAAACAGAGATGAGTATTGACAATGAGCGTCATGATTACCACGTACTAGTCGCTGAGAACAGAGCGTTGATATATTGACATTCCAGCTGTTCCCATAATGACTGCACCACCTTCAGACCAAGTCGACAGATTCCACCAGCTAAAACACTATCAAAGCACAGGAGATGCACGTGATGATCCAGGGTGATGATGGTGGAGTCCTTGTTGGTTGAACCTCCCTTTCTTGCCGTTCTCGTGAATGTAACGTGACTTTGCTACAAAGCGTACATTTCTGTGTCGGGATCAGTCTGGATCTGGTGTGCATCACATAGCTGGATGTCGCAATGTATATTTTAAGCCATGTCCTTGTTTGCATCTATCCCCATCTGTTGGAGATCAATTCTGTATCTTTGCTCTCCCTCCCCCTTAGGATCCTAGATGATCTGCTGCTCTTTCCTGTATAATTATTTTGATTGTCTACGTGATACGCTGCAACGACAAGGCTGCCTCCCGCTCGTCCCCCTCGTGGCTGACACATCAACCTCAACCCACACCACCAAATCGTTAACCTTCAACCTTTTTCCTCTTTCCCTTCTGCCACAACTGTCAACGCCTTCCGTACAAATGCCCCATCCTTCTTATGAACTATTATCGCTGAGCGAATTAAACTCGCCGCGCTCCTCTATTTACAACAATCACGAAACCCCAAGTGCTACTCAAGTCCCCACGCAATCGCAATTCCAACAAAACCAGATCATAGCTGCTTCATCCAAGAACGGAAATTCTCGCTATGCTCCACTGTGTGCTGACGAGATTGACGATATCATCCACAGCATCCAAACAGATATAGATGACGATGCCGCTGACACCACGGGTGACAACGATTCTCTCTACGGAGACCTTTCTGATCTAAAAAAAAGTCTTGTCAGACCCATGACAAGATCCTCCACTCTAGACCATGTAAAATTTAGCGTACAGAATAGTGTCGTATCAATGAAGGACGAATCCAGACCTCCACCATCTAATCAATCAAGAAATTGCTTATCTACAAATCTCGGCCTTATTTACATGTTGGGAGCCGCTCTAATGTTTTCGCTATTGAACTTTGCGGTAAAGAGTCTCAGCTCCAGCAACACTGAGCAAAAGATTCCGCTTTTCGAAATGGTATGAAACGATCATTTGCTTTATGAAATGACGATTCGATGCCAAAAAATTCTTACTTGAAGCGTCTCTGCTAGGTCTTTATTCGCTCATTTTCAATCTTGATCTTTTCCGTGTTGCTCATGCTTTGCCAAGGAATGAACAAGATTCACGACTTTCTGGGCCCACAAGGTGTTAGAAGACTACTAGTCCTCCGGGGGCTGACTGGATTTCTTGGCATAACTGTAGCTTGGCTAGCAGTGCAGAAACTCAGTTTGTCTGACTCAACTGTATGTTTCCCGATGTTTTGATTGAAATCGGCGCAACTACTCGTTTCGGAATCAATTTTCGTGTATGGCTCACTTGAAAACTTACAAATTCAGGTACTAGGATTCTTGGCACCAATGTTTACTGCCATAGCAGCATCGCTCATCTTGAAAGAGCCGTTTGAAATCCCAGATGCAATTGCTGGTGTTGTGTCCCTAATCGGTGTTGTATTCGTCGCCAGACCTACCTTCATATTTGGTTCCTTGGCTTCCGTCACTATAACCACGGACCCGTATTATAACTTGACCGAAATCCTCAATCTTTCTACGCCAACGAGAATGCTACTCGCCATCAGCACTCTTAATGACTCTTTGCCAACAAACATGGCAACAATCACTACCCCAAATGAAGAAGATCGTATAATCGGTGTGATACTATCGCTCATCGGCTGCCTGTTCGCCACTTCAGCATACATCAGCATCAGATTCATGACTACGAAAGCCAAAGTGCATCCTTTAAACATACTGAATTATTTCTCCTTTGTGTCTGGGACTCTGAGCCTCTTCACAATTCCTTTTATGCCAGAGACCTGGGTTCTACCTACAAGCGCCTCGACTTTTGGATTCCTCTCGCTCATTGCCATCTCAGGATTTGCCGGTCAGCTGTTAATGACTGAGAGTCTGAAGCGAGAGACTGCGGGGCGCGCATCTGCTATGAATTATATAGGAGTCGTCTTTGCTTTCGTCTTTGATTGGATTGCTTTTAACACACCGCCCAATGTTTGGAGTATCGTTGGATCATGCATTATTGGAAGCTCTGTCATTGGTATTGCCATCACAAAGTCGATTAAATCTAAACGTGCCGCAGCCAAAGTTGCCAAGGAGACAATATAAAACCCCGAAGAAACCAAAATATAATGTAGGTATGCAAATAGAACATGAACATCTTTTAATTAAATGGTTTCAAACCACATCCTCGTTTCGCCAGATGCGATCTACGAGTCATCAATGTTTTACTAAGTTTTATTGTAAATACCTAAACAATTCATATTGCTACTCATGCATTTGTTTCAAAGCGTAAGGGTTTAAGCTTTTGGTTGAATTTTCAGAGAGAAATCAATGAAAGGGGCTCCTTGAGTTAGAGAACCAAATGATAGGATGTCAACATCTGTATAGAAAACCCGATGAGAACTCATTTCCCATTCTACAATATTGTTGTGTGCGAGCATGGAGAAATGTAAACGAACCTGGAGAAAAGTAATCCAGGACGGTTTCTTCAGTTATCCCGCCGCTTCCCTCAATGTAAAATTTGGCCTTTCCAGCCCATCGTTTCTTGAGTGATGCGGCACTTTCAAACAACTTGACACCTTTGAAATTATCCAACATGACAATATCGGCACCAGCAGCGATGGCTTCATCGGCTTCCTCTTCAGATCGGCATTCTACTTCAATCTTCATGGCAAATCCGCCAACCATTCTTGCTGCTTCAACTGCTTTCGTTATAGAGCCTGGAAAGTATGAGATTGAGGTGGGATTTTCTGTCGAGTTCTGGTCTATCATTAGCGCTGTGAAGATAAACAATACTGACCAGTTGCCCACACATGATTGTCTTTCAACATAATCATTGAAGACAGGTCTATCCGGTGAGTGTCTGCTCCACCAACCAGCATGGCGTACTTTTCCACCAGACGAAAGCCTGGATAGTCAGGAAAGAATACAAGTTGTGAGATGGGTTGCAAGCGAGAGACTTAATTGTATTATAGGCCGCAGATACTCAAGATCTGTGAAATGGAGATTTCCATGCTGACCTGGAGTTGTTTTTCTAGTTCCAGCAATAATACCAGACCATCCTTTCTGGGTTTTTAAATCCACTAGTCTCTTCGACCTTTGCGCCAAGGAGTAATCGTCAGCCTCATCGATGCTTTCCAACTGTAATACAAGACATAATGATTCGAAAGCGTAGCTCTGCGAGTCTCATACCTGGTAGCAATACCACTAGCTCTTGCCAACATATTTAAAGCAGGGCGTTCACCCAGCAGCACATTACGAGCTTTTCCATGTACACGAGCGACTTCTATGCGTCCATTTGGACCAGGATTGACCAAGTCTCCTTCATGAAGTGACCATTCCACTCTGTAAGCAATACGTGTGAGTCAACATTAGATTCTTGACTTTAGGCAAGAAACGAATGATGGCGCTAAAGCGCCAGTAATGCAACGAGTGGATACTTTACTTGCAATCAACCTGCTTGAAGATCTCGTCAAAAAAGGGGACGCCTGCCAACATTCCCTGCAGTGACAAAAACAAAAACATGTTGTCAGATGTCTGCAAATAAAAGTACTTTCAAGAGAATCCAGACTCGGAGCGCACGAAATGATCAATTTACTTGAGCTTTCCCATAGAGAATGGCGACTTGCTCTGATTCTCCGACGACGTAGCCGCCAAAGTCGAACGAAGGTGTGTCTTCGGCGATCCAGCTTGTTACTGCTGTCTTCCAACTCGGAGGAAGTAGGTGCTCATAATGGAATCTGCTGCTACCTTCCATTATTGCTAGACCGGTCAGCTAAATGTTCTTGAGCTGGTTGAACGAATTGTAAAATTGGACGTTTGAAGAGAAGTCTTCTCCACAACAAGAAAGAAATGTACAGAGATAGACATATTTTATTCTACAAACAAATATTATGCTTATGAGATTTTTGTCATCAGTAATGAGACGATGACTATTGTGGATTCATTATTTTTACAGGGTTTGTTGCATACGTCGGAGCCGAGGGTGATGCACTTTGGCAGGATCCAACGACATTCTGGGAGTATACGGTAACCTGCTATTCCTATTTTTATGGGAATTGTGGCCTGCAGATGACATTGAGAGACACGGTGACTTTTTACAGCCTTGCGATGGGTTCAAGATGCTACAGCCTTCTGATACGGATCCGACTTGCCGAGCTTTCAGTGTTTCCTTGTCCATATGATGATCAGCTTCTGTCTTATTCTTATAGTAGTCGTGTGAGCTTTGATCGTTCGTCGTATAGTTCTGTCTCTTTTGCAAATCTAGCCATCTTGTTGTACGTGTTCTATTCATTGATTTCTGTAGTGTGTCGGATGAGGATGTATCTGAGGACTGAAGTGACGGTGTGCTGCTGTGGTTTTTTAATATGGATTTCGGTCTTTGGCTTGGAGATTCGATTTCTGTCGACGAGGAAGTTGAAGAGGAGGTTATAGATAGTGGCAAGCTAAGTGACGACAATCCATCGGCAGTGGTGTCGGCAGTCTCGGTAGCAGATGAGACAAACAGCCCAAAGAGAGGCTTTCGTTTTGAGATTGTTGATGTGTCCAAAGTGCCATCCTGAGCCTGACTTGGAGATGATGATGATTTATAATTGTCGGTCTGGTCATTTCTCCTTCTTGTTGTGTTGAGGAAGTCTCTCAAAAGCGAGAAGGCACTCTTTGAGGTCATTTACCAGACCCACTCGTGAGAAGCCACCTAGTAAACTATGAATATATAGGCTCCTGGATACCGGAGAGTGCTCAACTAAGGCATTGTGCTATTTGAGCTACTCCTCAACCTGGTTGTATTTATCAATTTTATTTTAGAGTTTTGGCACGGTTTTGTTGAAGTTTCGGCACGGTTTTGTTGAAATTTATATCTAGAAGTCAAATTGTGCAGCATTTCGCGGTACAAAATTGAGAGAAGCGTGATTTTTGTTTAAGACTACAGCTTGCTTGATACCCCCACCCCAGCTCCAAAAGCCTCGTCTGATGTAAATCGAACGTTGCCCTTCTTCAACCCTTCCATCAAAATACTCGCTCCTCCCGATCGAACCATCCATTCCAACCTGTGGTCACGATCTGGTCCAAAGAATTGGTCTTAGAACGTAGTTGTTGTAAATGGACCAGTAAATCTAGGAAAACTCACATTGGCGTTTAAAGGACGTGTTTGTAGCGGCACTGGCTGCAGCTCTCTTCATCGTGTCACGCTCCCCGATTGTTTCAGCGAGAACTCTAGCAACACTTGTTCGCTTTTGAGCACGCACCCACCACTTTGCAAGATTTGAGCCTGGCTTTGGTGTTATGCGGAAAGCACTAGCCGTAATTACTAGGTGGGATATGTTAAGAAACCTGGAAAACTTTGAAAAATGAGGCTGGCACGTTCTTACCTTGCGGAACCACTGATATATCAGCGTAACCAAAGTCTTCACCTCCAAACCACTCGTCATTCCCAAGCTGTGCAGACAGCCAGTCAAAGTACTGATCTGCTTGCTGGCGAGCCGTTGCTAGCATCTTGTCTCTTTGCTCTCCACTAGCACGCTTGAAGGCCAGGATTTCATTCATGCCTTGTTAGACCGGGACGTTTAGCAAAGGGACTTGAGACAGGGTAACGTGAAGATGGGAGCCTTACCCCAAAATATAGCTTCAATGGTCGTATCGCAAACATCGGCGACGATGCGACACTTGGCCCTCTGTGCGGCAGATTTAGGAAACAGGCTAGGAGAAGGATATTTATCCTCGAGGTAGTTCACAATGACACCAGAGTCATAAATCACAAGTTCTCCATCCAACAAGATGGGAACCTACAAAAAGAAGTTGAATGTTGAAAGGATTGTTATCTTGAAGAATGTTGGCAGTGTTGTTCGTTGATGAACACATGGACCTTGCCCACCACATTTGTAAATCGAAAGGTCAATACCTCAGCTCTGGGATTTGACTTTGCCAGAGAAGTTGGCATCGTATTTTCGATTGTGAATGGCACATCCTTCAGATAAAGGGCCAGTTTCACTTTCTATTTAATGTATCAGCGAAAGTCAGCGATCAACCGCAAAGTGAAGGAGGAGAGTACACAGACTGGAAACGTTTCGGTACGGGCGTACCACTCCATACGGAGAAAGAGGCGCATGCAGCAAGCGAACGCCCATTTCTGCAGGTATTTTTGTCTGGTTACACAATACTCGTTGGGCAAAACCACACACCGACGAGTGAGCTAACTTGTTCCAATGAAGACATTTATTTCTATGTTTTCAAAGAGTGCTTATTCAGGTAAGAATCCGTTGTCTTGTGTTATTTTTACAACAATTCGGCCAATATATCCGTTTCATTCGGAATCACCGGTTTTGAACACCGTTTGGTACCAATGCAACTCCTCATTTACAGATTTTACAATATTTTCGCTTTTTCGGAAGCCGTGACCTTCTCCTTCCATCAAAACATACTTGACAAGGCCACCATTGTGGGTAATTGAATCAACAATGGCTTGTGACTGCGATGGAGGCACCACGCGATCTTCTGTGCCTTGCAATACAAGCAATGGAGCCTTGATCTTGTCGCTGACAAAGAACACAGTGATTAATAGACAGCAAAGACAACCTACGAAACCCCTCATCGTAGACTTACGCAAAATGAATGGGCGACCTATCATGGTACAATTCTGCGGCTGTTGTTGGCGTTCCTCCAATCAGCATTTCAAGATAGTGTGATTCGAACTGCAAGTGGTGAGCGAGTGAGTTACTTCTTGTCATGATATACTTAAGTTCTCTGTGGCCAGCGATTGATCCTTACCTTATGCGTGAATTGGAAGAGAGATACCAAATCTGAAACGCCTACAGTGGAGCGAACACGGTGAACATTGCATTCTTCAAAATAGCCCACACAAAAACTAACCATATGATGAGGCTCCAGCAGTAAAGACATCCGGTCTGAAACATAAGCAACAAAGCACCGTGTATCCACCTGGGAAAGAAGCGAGTTAAGGCCTTGTTTCTAAACGTATTCTTTTAAGATCTCAGAAGCTTTGACAGCACATCAAAAGCCAGCTTGACAGATGTTTGCTCAAACGTCCCCAGCATACGGGCAGCGTGCTTCAGGGCAATCGAAGTTTCCATGTTTAAGCAGCTCTTTAGCTGATCACTTGCCTGCAGAACCTCCTGTTATGGCGAGTCTGTATATAAAATATTGGCAACCCGTGTTAGCAATAAATTCGAGGTAACGTGGTAATTGGTTTGCCCACCTTTTCCTATCAACAAGATTCTTTTCGGCCAAATATAAAGCCACCGCACAAGAGTCCTCTAGGTCCACGACGCCCCACTTGTTGTTCAACCTCTCTCGATATTCTGTGCCATAGTTGCTGCTACCCCCTACCCACATGAATGAAGTGATTTGATGAACATGTCATGATTATATATGTATCAGAAAGCTTTTATCGCTACCATAATTGACGTCGACAAAGGCGAAACCTCTCGAAGTGTAGAATTGAATCCTTGAACTGAGTGAATCAACACAATGAGACGTTGGGCCACCGTGACAGCGTAGTATCAATGGCGGTAACTCGCCGTCTGGTGCCTTGTAATCATCATTTTTAGGCTATCAGGAAATGACGATGGTGATCAGAAAACCAGGCCTCCCCACTTAAAACAATATGAATTCCGAACAAACTTTACGGCCCGCCGACCTACCAAATAGAGATAGGCATAGGCCGTTTTGCCATTGGCTGTCGGAAACTCGATAGACTGTGCGGCTGATATATATCGGTCTGAAATGTCAACATCAGACGTTTTCTTTACGACTATCGCAGTTTCAGTAGCAATGTCAAACTTGTAAAGAGATTTGCCCTCGGTCTTCGTTCCAGCTGTGAAATACACGACAGGCTTCTCACCACTGTTCACAACAGTCAACCCACTCACATCTATAAATGTGGTGGACAATATTCGGAGGCCACCGTTGGCATCGATGAGTGATAATTTTGAAACACCAGATTCCACGAAGTATGCCATTATGGAATCATTTGGAAGTGGAACATAGGTGGAGTTTCCAAACGTCCAGTCAGGCGAGCCAAATTCAGCCTTGAGGGGTTGTTTCAGGACAGCTGAAGACGTCTTTGAGTTTATATGATGTCTGTAAATATTATAGAATCCAGATTCATCAGACAGGTAGAGCAAACTTTGGCCATTCCTTGACCATCGAGGTTGACTTATGGAAGATTGGCCATCAGAAACTTTGCGTATGTTTTGGACTTTAGATCCATCCCATTCTGCCACCACGAGGTTGGTTCGTGTCCATGGCATATTAGGCTACAAGGACAATTTAGCGTTATGGCTGGCCAGTCATAACAGATTGTTAGCACTTACATGATCCCACTCAACCCAACAAAGATGCTTCCCATCAGGAGAGAAGCGCGGCGCAGAGTAAAAGTCACGGTGAGGTTGTCCATGTGAAGGAGCAACAACAACCGGTTTGTTCACTGACGATGAGTCCAACGAGACCACAGAGAGCTGGTTTGTAACATCATGTTCGTCTTGTCCATGAACTTCATGAACGCATACCAAGTACTTGAGGGAAGGATGAATGGATATGTCGGCGAAACGTTCCGACAACGTCTCTATCAATCGAGGGTTGAGTTTGCGAAACCTCGACGACAAACCAACGACTTTGAAAAATGACACATACCCGGAGTGATTGCCTTTATCTCAGAGTCCTTATCAATACGAAACAATTGACGAAGCTTGAAGTCTGAAAACACAACAACATCACCAGCTGTCATAGAATACGTTTTGGTGAATCAAGAAAGCTCACACACGGGGTTACAAGGTACCAAGAAAAATCCACATACCAGCGACTGCAGGATTGCCTCCGTATTCATGAACTCCCGTCCGTACATTCCATGGCTGTGGTGTCAGATCTAACAAACTTTTACAACACCTGAGATGTCACGAAATTTCACTTCCAACGTTCAACGATTGCGAAACGTACAAAGAATCAGTGTTGTGGCGAACTAGCACACCACGTCCACCCTCCGATGGCCTGTTCTCGACGTGATAAAACGTGGAAGCTCCATTTGAAAACACCTCAGGGATTGTTATCGTGGAAGCAGCGAGAATTTCTGCAGTTATCGGACTTTTCCAGCCACCAAATTTCGCAGTTGGTGGCATACTTGACATTTGGCGTTGGAGAATGTTCAGAGCTCCTTTCAGCAAATGCATAAGTTTATCGCGGTACGGAAACGGACAGAGATCAAACACTCGATGATCAGTAGTTTGGTGTTATAATTTACAAGTTTAGCATATTACACATGAGCAACAATTAGCGGCTGTTCCATCTTCTTCACCGATTTCTTGCACAGATTGAGGTTGAGGAATGTACGGGCCAGCAGATCTTCGTTGCTGGGAGCTAATTAGCGGCTCTGACTCTGATAGATTGGTATCGTCTGTACTATCTATCGGCGGAATGTTGTTGTGCCCCGATAAAGACGAAGCTTTAACACCTTGTGGGCCTTTCCGACCTAGTATTATTGATGTTGATGATAACAGCGTCGGCGAAGTAGGATATCCGACGAAAAAGAAACCAGACTCGAGACATACCATCAACACGTCCAGAGGCCAAGACGCTGGCTCGAGTCCAAGAGGAACCAGATAACGACTGTTGTTGCTGCTGAGGTCTGGGTTGAGCAACAGCAATCCTATTGGGGCTGGCAGTAGCACTACTAGTACCACTCTGTTGTCCACCAGGTACGGCACCAAGGTTTGGCGCTAAGCTTCCAACTGCGAAGGTCATGTTAGTGTTTGCGATTGAGGAGCTGAGTTGCGAAAAAGTGACAGTGTAGTACATCGGACACTGCGACTCGTATTTGATTCTCAGCGCAGACTACAGCAACACCCCTTTAGAGCTATGATTTTGAATTTCATTCCGAATGATCTATCTGCACGCAGAGGGAGGGCACAATCGAGCCACAAGCAAGTGAGAACTTTTGAAGTTTTGACCAAGACAGTTCCGCGCACCTTCATTGTCAGGTAAAATCCAGTGTGAAAAGTTGATTTTTATAAGGGAGAGATACAAATAGCGTTTTACTCTAGTTCGATTGTGCTTCCTCGTTTAATCTTGCCTCGTCCAATCAACCTAAACAACCGTGATGGGTCAGCACAAGCAAGCAGCCCTGGTAGAAACTCAAACCTGACCATAAGCCAGTGCCTCAAAAACATAACCAAACCCTCAAACAATTCCAAAACTACATTTTTTAAAACAACTTACCTCCAGTGCTTGTCAATACGACGACTGAGAGCAATGTTTTCACCAATTTCGGTACAGGTTGGAGTATTCAGTAATATTTTGGCCACTCGTTCTTCCTTGGCTGATTCCTTGACTGATACGACCCGTCCTCCTGTAGATGTACTTCCGACATTGACCATCAATACTTCATTTTTGGCGAGTTTTTGTACCTTGGTTTCCTTTTTGTCATCCGTCTTGACACCTAATAATCTTCGAAGAAGCGTATATGATATTTCCAACTCTGTAAATATAGCTGGTAGAGCACTGGCGGAGCCGAGTACTTGGCCGACTAAACGATCTGCTCGACAAAGAGTTGGATCTACTCGAGTTCCAACACCAATAAGCCCACCAGGTACAGCAAACTTCAAGTCGTTGCTTTCGGCGAATAATGATACGATACGAGAGAAGAGCGGTCTACATTTGATTCTCCCCTCCGAGTCCTTGCTAACAATACCGGGTCGTACCTCTATTTCGTCACCCAATCTCAATACACCTCTTAATATAGATCCACCTGCTACCCCACCTTTTAGGTCGTTGACTTCGGCACCAGGTTTGTTGACATCGAATGATCGAATGACAATCAACCGTGGTGGGGATGTAAAGTCTCTTGGGGGAATCGGAATCTTTTTTACAATATATTCGTTGACTGCATCTATATTATACTTTAGTTGAGCAGAAATGGGGATGATGGGAGCATTGTTTGCAGGGGTTCCAGCGACAAACTTTCGAATGCTTTCATAGTGTTCTAGAGCAGCGTCTTCCTTGATCAGATCGATCTTGTTTTGAATGATGATGATGTGTTCCAGCTTCATCATTTCGATAGCTGCCAGGTGCTCTTTTGTTTGAGGTTGAGGACAAGTTTCGTTTGCAGCAATCAATAGTAGAGCAGCGTCCATGACAGCGGCACCGTTCAACATGGTCGCCATGAGTACATCGTGACCCGGGCAATCCACGAATGATACGTGCCTAGCCAAGAAAGAATTTATTGAGTGTTGCTTGATGGATAATAACCCGTTAAGTGTTGAGTTTGCTTGCGAATGGTTCGAGTCACAGCATTCAGTGTCTGCAACTCATATCTACATATGGTGTTTGAGTGAGCTTACCGTATCAGTCTCATTCGACCCATGCAGCCTACACGTTCACAAGGGAAACCATCATCCTTGTCGCTCTTGTAGGATTTGTAGCATCCTGGTCTAGGGCAAGCAGGCTCATCACATTTAAATATCTAAGTTGAAAGTTTAGTATTTAAGCAAAGGGGTCTAATGAGAGATGGTAATGCATGGCTTCAGAATGATTGCAAATATTGACAAGCATGACGAGTTTGATAGCCATTCGATGTGTTATGTGTACATGTAAGAGCAATGAGAGTAGGATGACCAAGTACCTTTGCATTAGCATAACCCAACTTGATTGTGATGTTTCGTTCCAATTCATTCTTGAATCTAACTGTTTGGACACCAGAGATGGCCTTTACGACGGTAGATTTACCATGAGCGACGTGACCAATAGTACCTGTAAATAGAGGAAGAATGGGATGTGAGAATGGCTGGACCTTGTCTCATAAAAGAGGGATTGAATTGTTGATGACAGCTTTTTTTCAAGGTGCAATTTGCCAGCAAGATGCGCACAAACATTCCATAGGCTGTATCGAGGATGATCCATTTGCCTGGATTGTTAACAGAAAGAGAATAATATTGAATATTGATTGTATGTATGTCTTACCAATGTTGATGGTAGCTTGTCGTGAGATGACTTCAGGCGAAAGAGGCGTGAGTTTGGTGACATCGATGACGACGTCCGCCGCATCTGGATTGGCCATATTTGCAGATTCTTTCAATTGGTGCCTATACTTGTCCTTGGAAGATATCTCTCTCTTGTTTTTGTTGATGACTCCCTCAAGAAAATCAAGCTTGAAGAGACAAGAAACTTGACGAGAATTGAAGCTTTGGACGCGTTGGTAGATGCAAAATTAGTGAATAATTCCACCCTCATAGCGCTGACGTTATTGGCCTCCTAGTTTTCATCCGTTCGCAGCAGTCCCAATAGTCATCAAAACTCGTTCGCTTTTTTGGCATTAGGGGGCAAGACGAAGGATTGCCACCTTAGATTGACATTAGCAAGGCTCATTATCAAGTGCAAAAAGACTGCTGGCTTCCAAGCCCGATTCCCTTTTGCAAGGCAAGTCATCCAAAAGCAAAACCCACCTAGTAAAAAGTAGAAAACTTGGACTAGTCCTTTCTGTTGCCCTATTCATTAGCTATAATAACACATCCATCTAGTATTAGATTTGTTGCGCATTTAATACTGTAATCATCAAGCTACAAGACACTGAGAGCCCGGGCATCACGGCATCAAAAATAACCAACCCACTTTTTGATGATGGCATCTTCAGAATCCCCAGGAATACCTGGCCGCCAAAGACACAATAATAAACACCAAAATACGGCCAGAAATCATCCTCCTGCTCCTTCCTCGTCTGCTCATCAGGCTGCTCCATCACCCAATACTGAACAGGACCAAGCATTCGCCAGACTCTCAATCACCTATGGACGTGAATTGCAAACTCTAAAAGAAGTCTTTCAGTCTAATTGGTCCGATGCTGACTTGCTCACCATCCTCGAGGAGGTCCAGGGTGATGTACATACTGCTGTCGACAGAATCAGTCAAGGTACGTCTGAGGGGCACTCCCAACATTACACACTATACAACATATCGAATCTATTTCTTTGGACAAGATCAACCTGATTTTAAACGTCTATTTCCATCCACTCATATCAGGTCATGGAGAAAAGTGGGGTGAAGTCAACAAGGCAAAGAGAAAAGATAAAAAGGATGCTGGCTTCAAACCAAACTATGGCGAAAATCCTGATTCAAGGCCTACTAGAGGTACGTCCCAACTTTGGACTTGTTCTGGAGCCCCAAAGATTCAACCTAAGTCCTCCCACACTCTCACTCTTGCCCACATAGGTACTGGAAGAAGTCGCGGTGGCTTCCGTGGAGCTGGTCGCGGTCGTGGTGGCTATTCAGGTGGATTCACACATAGCAATCATCGTGACGCCAGTAAAAACCAAGAAAACGGCCAGGAACCTATTGCCGTCGTCGATGGTTGGGTTGCCGCAGATGCACCTATTTCGACCACTGCTACTACTGGCTCACCAGATTGGGAGGTAAAACCTGAAACTGCAGAAGCTTCATGGGGTGATACTCCTGCTCCAGTTACAGAAAATGACGCTGCATGGGGTGAAACCAAGTGGAGTAGCCCTGATCAAACCACCTCACCTATCGCTCCTCCTTCCGCCAGTACTGCTACAAGCAGCACAGACCAACCTCCCCATATTGTAGATAAATCTCGAGGTCATCCTCGTAAACCAAGGAATGACCAAGGCAGCTCTGATCGAGGTGGATGGAATCGTAAACGGGGTGGCAAAGAGTCGACTGCATGGGCTCCTTCGTCTGATCGTCGCAATGGTCCGCTATCTTCAGAAGCATCTCACAACTCTGTTGCTGTTGAACCAAAAGCGACATCAACAACTACAGCTGTTACTGCTCCCGCCACGAATATAGAAAAGGATAATTCTACTCAATCATCAATCCCATCGACTCGAACTCCTGCAAAGTCTACCAAAATGGCTACAGGTGGAACGTCATGGGCGAAAGTAGTCAATCCTGATCCAATTCCTGTACAAGTTGCAACAGCACCACCAGTTACACCGGCACCAGTGCCGGTTGCTGCTCCTGCTAGTGCAGCTCCATCAAAACCAGCTTCTCATCCCAACAGAGAGGGATTTAATAGTAAAGAAACCACTACCAGACTCGCCATGCAACCAATGACACATAAGTTACCTCCAGGTCCAAAAGCTGCTCGCGACCGAGAACGAGAACAAGCTGTCAATAATAATCCAGGACAGCAACCTGTCACTAGTCTCAATGCCGTCAGTAGCACCGGCCAACAGTCTAACGTTGCTGAACCTACAACTATAGCACCTCCTCCAACGACAACTACCTCCACTAGTGCTACTCCTCTACCATCTTCCACACCGCAACATCAACAACAGCAAAAAGAGGCAGATTTAGTACAGGAAAGTTTACCACCTTCACGTCCACCACCAGGTCTAAATAAACAACCCACTAATGCTGCCAGCGCCAGTCAGCAACAGCAGCCACAACAATCAAACCGAGTAGTCCAACCTAGAAAACCTGCCAAACAAGATGCCCCTCTAGTCATGCCATCGAATGGTGGTGTAGCTCCTGTAAATAATGGTGTATCTAGCATTGGATTACGCTTTGGATCTGTCGGTGACGAAGAAACGGCCGACTACGAAAGCAAAGCCGTAGTAGAGGAAGCACCCCAAAACTCACTTCCTGTAAATAATCTACCAAAGGCTTTAGAAATTGCTGCTCCAATCCAGCCTGTCCCCTCCTTAAATAATTATGGTCAATCACAAAGAACAGGTGCCGTAGCCGCAGCAGCTATGCCTCAGCTACCAGTCCAAATGCAAACATTAGGTGTCGCGCCAGGTCTTCAAACCATGATAGGAGTCGCTCCTGGAGGACCAATGTCTGTTCCAGATGCGAATGCTTTTGCTCAACAACTGGTGCAGCTAACTGGCTTTGGGATGGGTGGTGTTCCAAACGAGTATGCTGCTTGGGGTGCTGAAAATAGAGGTGTCATGGGATATTACGACAATTATGGTCAAACATCTGCTCCAACTGGTCCCTTGTCAACACAACAAGCTCCACCGAAGTATCAGGAACCCATGGTCACCGTAGCTCAACCGTCTCTCCATACATCTGTAACTGCTGCAATGCAAATGCCTCATCAGCAATCTATAGCCACTTCGTCGCCAGCTGGACCACTGGGACAAGTTAATAGTGGCCCCAATCAACAAGGACACCAACTACAACAACAATCTGCCCTACAACAACAATCTGCATTACAGCAACAGTCTGCTCTACAACAACAGCAACAGCAGCAGCAACAGCAACAACAAGGGTACGCCATGCCATACTATTTTCCACAGTATTATTTGCCCCAACCACCTCAACAGTATCAAACGCCGTACGGTGCCCAATACACTCAGCCATTTGCACCCAAAGCCATGTATCCAGCATATCCAACTTCGTCTGCTCCAGGTGCTCAGCAAGTAGCCGGTAATAAAATGGGTACAGCATATGGTGCATATGGTCAGAATCAGATGTATGGGTATGAGGATAGTGAAAATAGTTATAAATCCAACGCTGCTCCTGGCGCATATGGAGGTGTAGTCCCAGGGTTTGCTGGTTTTGGTCAGGTCAGTGCCGCTGGTGGTCAGGCTCAAGCACCGGTAAGGTTCCTGGAAACTGTGAAGTTAACGATTGAGTAGATGTCGGTACCGTTGTCAAATTGGATGACAGCGCAAACTCACTCATCCATTTCATAGGTCTCTGGATCCAAGCCACCTGGTGCCTCGTCTCCTCAACAACAACAGCAACAACAACAGCAGCAACAACAAGACTATAAGAATGCTGGTAGATCTGGTGCTCGCTATGCAGATTCATCTAATCGAAATTATTCGTCTCTCCCAGCTATGACCACTCCATCACAGCTGAATCCATCATCACAACAACAGGCATATGCTTCATTGTCGCAACAACCAGTTGGAATGGCCTCGAACACATCGCAGCATTTGGCTGGTGCCGCGTTTATGACCTCTCAGCAGTCACAACAACAGGCCCAACAAGCTCAACAACAACAAGCACAGCAGCAACAACAGCCACAGCAAGGATATTATACTCAACAGTATCCTATGCAGCAATATTCGTATGCTGGGCAACAAGGGCTTGCTAATCGCACTCAGGGATACGGTCAATGGTCGAATCAATAGTCTGTAAACAAAGTTAAAAAAGCCAAATATGATAAGAAAACTAGTAGCTTGTACGATAAAAAACACCATTTAAAACAAGGCAAGTCTGAAAAACAAACTGGTTGTTATGCGCTGGGGCCAAATTACTCCGTCAAATTGCTCGGAGGTTACATTTGTATTGATGTGCAAAGATTTCACTAAAGCTAGAATTTCCGCGATAGCCATTTCCTACTACAGTCGATAGATACTTTTTGTATTATTCCTGCTTGGTGCGATTTTGGATTGCAACGATTTGTGCAGCTGTTTCCTGTGGTCCACTATGCATAAATAAGCAAGATTTGTTACCACAAAAGGGTTCAAACTTGCACTTCGTCGTCGAGGGGTCTGATGGTGCTGCTGTGTTGTTTTTGCTGGTGTTGGTATTATGACCTGGCGGATGACTATATTTACAGGTTTCTTTCGAGCACCGTGCTCCGAAGCGACATTTCTTGACAGCACCACTTTGCCCATATGCCGTTGGGGAGAAATGTGCAAATTCACATGCTGCGTTTCGACAGAAGGCTCCGAATTTACATAATGGTTGAGCTGGATGAATATACTTGCAATCGTCGCTGCCGAATCGACAAGAGGGAAAGTAGGGGCATACCACACTTGGGTGGTGAAATACACAATTGATGGCGTTACAATATGGGAAGTACACGCATCGTATTTCTGAAGTAGGAGGTACCAATAGTTGCGGGATCGTTGTACGTTGATGATACAGTTGTCGCTGTTGTTTTGTTTGTTGTGGATAGCTATATATATCGTCATACTGTATCACCATGTTGACGTCTGGTTCGTATGGTCGGACTGATGGTAGAGAGCGAACCTGATTATTATAGGGATTATGTCTATGGTTTGGTGTTCTTCCAAAGAGCGCTTGTCTGCCTGAAGAAGTACGTGGCCCCAAGCGATTCAATATATCGTCCATATTTACATTTCGAGTGCGTTGCTGTTGAGAGCGAGGCTGTTCCCTTCGCCTTGATTGTGGAACCGGTTTGTTTTCACCGTTCTGCTTTCGCGATTCGAGTTCTACTTCGATGGCTTCTCTCTTGACGACGGGCTCTCCTTGTTCTACATTTATAGCAGTTTCAAAGAGCCACGGTACAAAGTCTTGAGGCAATGCGTTCTCTCCAATGATTTCAATGAGTTCTGTGATGGAGAAGCGATGTTCGAGACTGGCCGAGAATATACAATTCAACGATAGCAGGCAGAATACCTTTTGAGACCTGGCCTTCTCTCTTTTTGTTTGCAAGCATCACGACCAAGAAATCCGACAGGACTTCTTGGTGATTTTCGAGTCCCTCTTTGACCAGCCTTTGTTTGATCAAGTCCTATTTGAAGAAAGCAGACATGCAAGAATCAGTGACCTTGCTTGGGTATTCGCACCTTGAAAGAAACTGAATGGGAGTCTCTGTGTGTTGTGGCAATGTTTTGCTGTTTGATGTTGACAATTGCTTACTTTCAACATCGTGGCTTGTGGCGATTGAAGCTGGATGTTGACGACATCCATGGCTGCCATAACTAGCTATTCAAGAGGGTCTGACGAGGTTAGATGCTGGACCACAATATACAATCACAGCATTCTGCTCAAAGCTCACCCTAGACCTAAGGATACTCGACCAGAGTAATACGACCTACTACCGGTGTCGCAATCTTTAAGCTAGCCCCTGTCTCTAAAGCAATGACGAGTCAAGCGTACGTTTGAACTAGATTGTTTTTTGAACTTTGTTTGACAATTCTACCAAAGAGCAACGCGTAGCAGTATCTTGCTCCTATCATAACTAAGAATCCTTCTATATATACTGTATAGTGACATGTATCTCGACCCCGCTATACGCGACTGGTATAAACATCATCACCATCTTACAAACATTCAACATTATACCTGGAACATGCTTCCACCCTAAGAAGGCCATTAATCCAACTTCTTCTTGTCAAAAGGGTGCTCATACCTATTATGCTTACGATGATTATGGTTGGAATACTGAGGCATCATGCCACTCAGCTCATGAACTCAACCCCAAAGACATCTGTTCGTGGCATCAGAGAAACGTAACTACGCCGTGTTCCTGGGGGTACTGCCGTCTTTCCACTAATGCCAACTTTATTCTCTCCTCAGTCAAGCATTGTTGAGATCATCGCTGCTCAGATCACCAGCTGCTTCTGATATTCCACCTCACTCATTCAAGTCTCGAAAAGACTATTGGGCAAATGCCTTTGAAGGGAAATCATACTTGAAAAATCCAAATGCGGATCTCGCTGCACAGCCAAACCCAATGGATCCAAACTCTATGGACGCCATGATGGACGGCATGAAGAAACAAATGACAATGATGGTGCCTCAAGCGGTCATCATGTCTTGGATCACCTTCTTCTTTTCAGGATTTGTATTGAGTAAGTGCTTGTTGTGTCCTGCTTCTTTATTTTACTTCCACGCAGTTGTTTCACACTCTGCGGGCAACTGTTGTATTCTTCGATCAACTTGCTCGACGCGAGAAGAAGGGTAGTATCTGTTGAATCACAGCTAATGAGACAACCTTTCTTGATATCTAGTTAAACTGCCATTCCCTTTGACAGTACGATTCAAATCCATGTTGCAACGAGGGATTGAGACAGCCGATATGGATGTATCCTGGGTCTCGTCGCTCTCGTGGTACTTTTTGAACTTGTTTGGTCTGAGATCCATCTATACGCTCGTTTTGGGTGAAGAAAATGGTAGCAAATTTGCCTAACTTCTTGTGTTGTGAAGCTGTATAATTTGGTTCTTTTAAACTAATACTCACTTTCTTTCAACTTCTTTGCTTCAAGCTGCGGACGGCCTCAAGGTAGTTATTCCTTACTCTATTTAAAATCCGGTACCTTGGTACCCGATTACTGACGAAGCTAATTTCTCTTTACTCGCAAACAGGACTCACTTCCAGGGCAGATGCAGATGTCTCAACAAAATCCAATGCAGCAGCCCTCAGAGGTAGTTAAAATGTTTAAATCTGAAAAGGAATATCTGGATTTAGCACAGCATGCTTGGGAATTGGAAAAGGTGGAAGACCGACTTCTATCCAAGTATCGCAAACCAGCTGCCCAAGGCTTGAAAAAGATGTCGTAGAACGCTGTACATATCCATAATATAAATACAGCTCAACTATACAAAATGACGACATTCCGGCAAATTTTTGTGATACGGTTGTTCTATTATATATAATGGTATGCATGCTGTTGCGCTTCCAATAAATATGATGTACTAATAAATACTATCGACTACGACTGGTTGAATTCTTTACACCATGTTCATGAGCCCATGGAATATCCAATCTTGGAACTTGGCGATTGGAACTATGACCAAGTCTCCTGGTCTTTGCTGATGAGGCGATGGTCCATTTAGTGATGCCCTCTTGTACAGTTCCGACAAATGTCCATATATCGTACTCGCGTCATTAATGTCACCACTAAAGGAACTACATTTCAAAAAGGCGGACGCTAATGGCTTACTCAACACCTCCTTCACCACTCGATGTTTCATACGGTACTCTGTTGAATCCCGTTTACTTTGAGACAATGTCATGCCTGCCAACAACTCTTCCGCCTTTTGTTGATTAGCAAACGACTTGGCTACAGCTACATCGATTTTTCTAATACTAGTTTCGTTATAAAATGCTAACGATTTGGCCAAATCCGTGCTTGCGACTTCAATAATCCTAGCGTCATCAGCTGATTTTGCCAACATAAAGTCGAATGTCTGGGCCCCAAAATTGTTACTTTCAGCGCGTGCTATAGGCACATATCGTAGCCCCGACGAGCTTGGCAAAGGAGGGGATCTAATTCGTCGAGAGCACATATTCAGAGATCTCGATGACGGTACACATGGGAAGAGTCGGTCATAACAATCAAGTTGATTTGTGAGGTCTTGAGATATCTTTTCTACCGTCGATGAGCAGCTATTGGTCGTTGAGCAACCGTAAACAAACGAGCAGTCCAGGTATGCTCTTGTGATGTGCGTTCTAATCATCCTAAAGAGCACACAACCGGATCCTGTTCAGCAAAGTTAAGTACAACGGATCAGCAATGTTATGAACCAACCTATTTCCGTTCTGAGTACCAGCGCTCTGACAAGACATTTCTAGCTTGAAGCCTGATCCGTAGAGCCAGCATTCCTTTCCAGATATGCCACCAATGTAAAGATCCTTGCATTTCGCGACCGACAAGTCCATTTGTCCTGATGCTCCACGATTGGAAGCATAAGCAATACAGATTACTTGGTATGGGCCAGAGTCTTCGAGGTCTTGCAGTGGAAAGTTCGAGACATTATCAAAGACCACCAAGGGCGTTTGCTCCAAAAAAAGATGTCCAGTGCATTTGAGTTCCATGTCCAACGTTATAGGACTGCCTGGATTACTTTTGCTGTCTGTTACGGTTATACGGAATCTGATTTTTGTATTTTCTCTCAAGTGGTGGTAGTTCCTAACGTGATATCGAAATGCCCGAGAGCATGCTGAGACCTTGGAAAGAGTTGTATTTGGTAGCAGGGAGAAGACTCGCTCTCGCACAATGAGCACATCCAACGGTGTCATCTGTGGTATAAGCGGGAAGTGTTAAAAAAAAGGAATTGACCAGAAATATGTTGTGCGCCATACACTACCGTAGATCAAGACCTTTTGGTATTCTAGTATTCTAGAACTACGTCAGTCCCGCGGCAACTGTTTCAGATCAAAGGCGAGGGGAGGTTGTTGTTTGTTCTTGCAATTTAGGAAATGATGAAATCCAAGATGAGCGAGGGAGGCGGAGCTTCAAAACAAAAAAGGGCCAACTGCAGTTATGAAGCATGCTGCACGTATTTTACAACTTTCAACGTACATGACGACGGACAGCGCCAGAAGCCCATAACCTCGCAACCATGACAGCGCAGTAGACAGTGAACATGCATGTACTATCTGGGAACAAGTACGTGCTTACGACTATATCACAAAATATTTCATCCCGTTTGTTCTACTTATATACCCATGACTCTTGTCAGTTTTTTCGAGGAACCTTGCTATTTTACATCCACTGTTGATTGATTTCCTCGAATCTAGTTGATTTACCATACAAGCTGGTTTTCGCAATACTAGGCTCGAGCTTTTATTCGCCATTTTCTTCAACCCGATCCAGCAAGTCTACGTGCAGGCCTGACAGAATCGCCGAGTAGTATGGAACCTGCTTCTCCTCACATGGTCGCTTCGGATTTAGCGGACCAATTCTACTAGCAGCTACAACAGCAGCAGAGCCATGCCATACTTCATCCAAGATCCAAGAGGATGGTATACGACGACTCAAAGAGACATTCGTAGCCGGTGGATCCTGAGAATAATTTAAAAGTTGGTGGCTGAGACGTTGAGTTTCTACGTGCGGTGAGAGCTTTTGAACTGGTGTTAAAATAGGGGTGCTTATCGATCGGTTGTGGGTCGGCCTCCAATTCTTCTGACTAATTGCAGTTAATTGTGGTGTGCTATTATGATTGGGTCCTGCTGATGGAAGCTGTTTTGTGTCGCTACTACGAATATCTACACGGCGATGTCGTCGGGAGTTACTATTGCTTGTCCAGCCACCATCATTCTCGTCTTCCATGGCGCCCTTGTCTATCTTAGGGCTCGACGATTGCGAAGCCGACGAAGCGTCTGAAATAGCAGTTGAATCAGATCCTGTAGATGAATACGATGGAGTTCGATTGTGAGTCAGTTCTGCTGCCTTGTCGCGGCTTTCTACGTAGAGTGGTTGCTTGAGAGAAGGCATCTTCCTGGAAATTTGTAAGGATATAGCTGCTTTAGGGCTAATTCCAAGTGATGGCTTCCTGTCACTCGAATATAGATCTTCGTTCGATGTTCTATTCGATAGTGGGTTTCGTGACAAGGTTTCTTTCTTCGACCTATTACTTGTGCCATTTGGTAATGGTGTGCTATTGTAGCCTTCCGGTTTATTTTCAAAGTGCTGCTGCTTGATGGTTTGTTGCTGATGAGAGCGGCAACGTGTATGTTTCCCTCTTTTCGGTGGTGAGGTAATGGCGTTTCCATTACAATATGTCGCAATAGCAGCTGTTTGCGTATAGTTGGGGTAAGAGCCTATGAGACGTGTCGTGAAAAATCTAGGGGCATTTACAGATGGCAAAAGTTCCTAAGATGAGAACAGTTGATTCAGAGAAAAAAGGACAAAATGCTTCATACGTATTGTTTAATCGGACTAGAGGGGACTGCCACACTCACGTTGGTCCAGATTCCGATGGTAACTACTGCGACGAGAGAAAGCAACACGCGGGCAATGTATTCTAATGTAACAGGCGTGCCAGATTGTATAACATGATGTTTGAGGGGGCTTCTTCCATCCTTAAGTTTGGTAGTTGGAGTTGGCAACACTCCTGGAATATAATGAGCGGGTACTAGAACGGAATTGTTAGACAGGAGAAGCATCAGCATCTACGTAGGGATATAGCACCTGCTGAGGGTGCCGAAAAAAGCCTTTGAAAATCGCTCTCCACTACATCATGGCAACAGCAGTGTTCTACTAGTGGTAGCGATGATAGCTCGGTTATGGCCAACTGCTCGTGGCAAGTAGCAGCTCCAAGAAAAATCGTGCCGACGATGATGACGGCAAACCTCAAAAACCGTGATGCTTTGGGCATCGTAGGTCTGTGGCAAGTCAGTACCAAGATCAATTCAAAGGCTTGCTTGCCGGCAGATTTTGAGTTGAGCTCTTGAAGCTTTAAACTGTTAACAAGTCAGTTTTCTCCATCACTATGGGGTATTCGTGCAACCTCATAAACGAGTAATTGTTGCTAAACTCACATGTAGGCAGGCACCAAACAATTCCTTCTTTGCCGTGAGTCCTACCTCAGCAAACGTTCTACTACTTTCACACCAACCAGCATAGGTGTGACACTTAAAGGACAACGCCCGGACAAAGGAGAATGATACTGAGAAACGTACGCCAACAAAGATATTCAAAGGACATCGAGTTTATAATTCTATACAAGGATGCGAGGCAAAAATATGAACGATATTTCAGCAATATGTTGTTCTGTCCAACGGCGACAGATGATTTTTTAGCGAAGACGTCTGGCTTCTCTTTCTGATTCTAGCAAGGTAAGCATGTCGCCTTCCTTTACGGGACCCTTCACATTTCGGATGATTGATCGATTCGTGTCGTCGATGAATTCGACCTTTACTTGAGTGACACCACCCCTAGTTTGATGATGCGTTAGAACGCAGATTGATTACTGATTCTCTCGAACGAAATCTCGTACCGAGAGCCCGTCCTGCCCAATACTTTGGTAACCTTGGCGATTTTTGGAACAGCGGCCTTTGTATCCTGTTACATGGAAAGATGCGAGTTAGCTCCTTGTTTCTAAACGTAGTCCTTGAAGATCTCAGATACATCACAACCAAGCTTTGACAGCACATCACAAGCAAGCTTGACGGACGTTTGCTCAAACGACCATCACTTGCTGGAGGTCGTCTTCAAAATACAGGGAGTATGCTTCGAGATAATCCAATTTCCATGTTTAAGCAGCTCTTCAGTTGTGGTATTTGCTTCAAACATGTCTGAATGACATAGGCTGAAATGTTTCCTGTATGGTTTTTCCCAGCCTTCATCGTCTCATAGAGACTCGAGAACGACATGAAATATACAGGAGATATTGATCTTCGATGCGTTGACATGAATTATACACCAGAGAGTGCTTCAAGTGGCCAAAGTAGTAATGCTCCCGAGAGAACAAACTACCGACTCAAAGAGTCCACATCGTGGTGGAGGGCGATATAAATGAATACTGTTATTACTTACCATGTTGGTACTAGTTGTCCTTATTCAACTTTTCTACTTGAATAATGTCTTTTAATGGATGGATGCGAAGGGATGTCAAACAATTCTGACAGGGCTCACCAAAGTACTGACCAGATACAGACAGAGGACCAATTGGAAATTGGAAACATAAGGGAATAGAGCCGAAATCAGATAGTTTGAAACGATCTGGGAAGTGTTATCGCGTCGCGATACTAGTATGTTGAGAAAACGTCAAATTTTACTTGAATTCCACGGTATTTACAGGCTTTCGACGCGTGAAGACCCTGTAACAACAGTTTCAACACTTCAACACGTTAAATTTCCCTGAATATTCTGAGACGGACCTCTTTGCGCCATCATCGGTCGTATTAATGTTGGTTGAGAACAACATTTGGAACTGGCAAAAATGTTCAATTCTCAACCAATTTTGCCAGTCCATATAAAGCGATATTCTTACGACAATGCGAAGTATTCCAAGCAGAAAAAACCGACTGTAAGTTCGTCATCTCGTAATCGGATGTGTGTTGATGTTCCCGACATTGATCTAACCAGACTTTCTAAAGTTGTTTCGTGACGACCATGCCCTCATTATATGGCCAAGAGTAGTTTTAGTAGTGATATGTGTGCTCGCCTTAATTGGCTGGCTTTTCAGTCAGGCCCTCCTCTCATCATCCACACAAATGTTGAAATCGCTTCAGCACGATAGCAACAGTGCACCTTCGGAACAAGTATCATGGAAGGAACGTAGTGAAGCTGTAGTTGAAGCATTTAGACACGCTTGGAAGGGGTATACCAAGTATGCGTGGGGTGAGTGTCAAAAATGTCAGTCTCTCACTCAAGATGGATGGCAAACGATCTTTATCTTGTGCTTCTTGTATCTTTTATTGCTCCACGTAGAATATCTACCAGTTATCGCTCTTGGTGGATGCTGATGTCTTGCCGATTTCCGTCAATTCTGACTGCTCAATTTCGCTAGGTATGGATGAACTTCACCCTGTCTCTCAAAGGGGTTCAAACTGGTTTGGCCTAGGTCTGACTATAATAGATACTCTGGACACAGCCCTCATAATGAACCAGACCGATATATTTGAACAAGCTAGAGAATGGGTCAAAACAGACCTCAAGTTCTCATCCGACGAGAATGCTAATGTATTTGAAGTCACAATACGTGTCTTGGGCGGTCTGCTGTCTACATATCATCTCAGCAATGACTCGATGTTTCTGGGAAAGGCCGTCCTTTTAGCGGAAGCTCTAATGCCAGCATTCAGCACTGAAAGTCGAGTACCCCTGTCGTCTGTAAATATGGCCAAGAAGAAGGGAGTCGCTGCTCACTTTAGCGGTGGAGCTTCAAGTACTGCAGAAGTCTCTACAATCCAGCTAGAGTTTAAGTATCTGGCCCAGCTGACCAAAAATCAAACGTACTGGGATCTCGTAGAACAAGTCTCCGAAATATTAGAAAAGCTGCCAAAGGAAGACTCCCTAGTTCCCATATTTATTGACAGCAATACTGGTCATTTTGTTGGTAGCGAGATTCGGCTTGGCTCTCGTGGTGATTCCTACTATGAATATTTACTCAAGCAGTACCTTCTAACAAATGGTACAGAGACATCACATAAAACACAATTTGACGGCTCCATGCAGGGGGTGAGAAAGCATTTGCTTGGCAAAACTAAAGCAAATGGTTTGACCTTTGTCGGAGAAAGACCGTCAGGAATCACGGGTCACTTCAGCAGTAAAATGGATCATCTAGTGTGTTTCTTGCCAGCAGTACTGGCTCTAGGAGCAACCGGTGGAAGACGAATACCACATGCGCAACGGCCCATATTGCTAAATCATCAGGAACGAGAAGACCTACTGTTGGCTGAGGAGCTGACATTGAGTTGCTACGAAATGTATAGACAAACCAAGACAGGGCTCGCACCTGAGATTGTACATTGGATTACTGACAGTGAATCAGCATCGAACGGAATCGTGTCTCAAGATGGTGACTTTTATATAGCTAGGAATGACGTGTTTAATCTCCTTCGGCCTGAAACCGTCGAAAGCTTGTTTACAATGTGGCGTATAACAGGAGACGAAAAGTATCGAGAGATGGGCTGGAATATCTTCCAATCATTCAACCAGTTTACCAGGGTGGAGACAGGCGGGTTTTCAAACATTGTGAGTGTGGAAAGTATAGATGATTTGTACTAATTGAGAGATCGTTTGTTTAAATGGATTTGTGGGCTATATTTTTCACTTGAATTGCTCATACCATTCATTTAGGATGACGTGACTTCTGGCTCACCTAAGAAGACCGACAAGATGGAAACCTTCTATCTCGTAAGACCGAATTGGTTGATGCAACAAGTTCCAACTCACAATCCTACTTGTAGGGAGAGACCTTGAAGTATCTCTACTTGCTATTTGCCGACGAAAACATCATTCCGCTGGATCAATACGTCTTCAACACAGAAGCACACCCATTTCCTATATTTACACCTCCTTCATCCTTTACAGATAGCTGGAAGAGAGCAGGGCACTCTTAATTGCATCTAAATTATCCAAAATATATCATCATTGCACCTGAACTTTGTGAAGTCAAAGTCTCGCGTTTGATATGGTGTTGAGGCTGCGCTGAATGGCAGATACACAGGATGAAGCACTAGTTCGCAATCAAATAGTCTAGTATTCGTACAAAATGCAAAAGCGCGTCAAACACAAGCAGAAACGGTCAGGTTCCCAATCATGTCGATTCGACCTTTTTCTCAACTTCTTCGAACTTTCGCACCTCGAGTCTCAAGGTCCTGCGGACGTCACAAGCGGGTCTCATCAAGTAAGCTCCATATAGACCCGTAGAGCACTTTGCTCGCTATGTGGGCTCTAGGAGGCTGATTTTGGTTTGTTCAAACTTAGAACGATGGAACTGCATCACACGGCCATTGCCATGTCGAAAAGGAATAGAAGTTTAGATGTTTCTGGAGGTTTCCATTTGATCGCATTTGTTGGCTGGGTCTTGCTTATACATCCGCTCGTGTGTCTGGTCTGGTGGTGGAATTCATCACATGTCAGCAAAATCTCGTAAGAAGTGTTGACCGCGGCTTATTTGTCGGATCACAATCTGCTTCTGTCTAGCTATTGGTCAATTCCTCTACTTAAATATCATCTATTACATCTCTAGATTTCGCCAGAAGCTTTTCTGCCACATTGTGCGCCATGGAGCAAACAGTCTGACGATTCCTCAGATCCGAGCAGTTACATTCTATCATGCACCGGTTGTACCTAGAACATTGGTCTACTTGTGCAAGCCTCGAGAATATCAGCGAGGCTATTCGCAAGTTACCGTGGCTGGCGTAAAGGCTGCATGGATCGGTTTAACTCCACCACCTATAGCGGCATTGACCAAATCGTCACAGGAGTCAGCAAACCTATTACGGTCTGAAGAACAGATCATACTCTATTGCCACGGTATGTATGATATCGTGGCTTACGGCAATTCATTCCAGTCCCATTTCCCACCAGGACTTTTGGTCTAAGGTGGCAGTGCGGACGTAAATATCGTGAAGCGATTTAAGGCACCCAGCGTCTCACCTTTCTGGTACGTTAGGTGGTGGATTTTCAATAGGATTTGCGGAAACGTATCTACCTCTTCTCCTAGCTTGTCTGGAGAAGCTGCGTGATGTTTATGGTATACGTGCTCGAGTATTGTTTATTGAATATGGTACGAGTTTGGTTGTGATTGGAGCAATCTCCTATGTTCACCACTTTCTGAGTAAAACACTCGAGTTCCTGACAATACGCCTATAGATCTGTCGCCAGAACAACGATACCCCAATGCAATCAATCAAGGACTAGACGTTTATAGGTCCCTCATCACTGATCATGGCTTGAGCCCTCGGCAAATCCATTTTGGTGAGTTTCACGCGTTTGTCAGAGTATTCAGGCGACTGCTCTCAGACCTCTTGTCTACTAGCTGGAGATAGCGCAGGAGCCAATATGGCGCTAATGATGTGCTTTAGGCTTGGTCAAATGTCTGGTCAAATGCCTCCGCCAGCTACTGTTACCGCTTTGTCTCCGTGGGTTGACTTGGTGGGTAATATCTGACAGTGTGTTTGAATCCAATTGCCGCCACTAACCAGACAGCACTCTACCCGATCAGCTCCCACAACCTAGAAGGCCGTCGCATCATGAGAACGGAGATTGTGATCTGGTAACGTCAGATGTCTTGGATGAGTGGGCTCACGAGTATTTAGGAGAAGGAAGAGACCCGAAAGAGGCTTCACCGATACACCAACCTATAGGTGCTCTCAGTCAACTGCCACCAACTCAAATCCAGCTTGGAGAGCGAGAAGTGATGAGAGACGATTCACTTGAAATGTCGCGTAGAATCGCTGCAGCTGGTGGTATCGTCGAAACAATCATAGAGCCAGGCATGTTGCATACGTGGTTTGTCTTCCATGGGTTTGGAATACACGACAAGTCATGTGCCAACAGCGTGGCAAATTGGACAAGATGGATCTCAATGCATATGGATCGTCCCTCTACTATCATTTAGAAAGAAGCCATATATTATTACCAGATTATACGCGATCAGAGAGACGATGATCCATTCCATCCATTGTAAAATAATAGTTACATAAATTAAATGTCATGATCCCACCATGATCCGCGTCTTTGAAAATGTGAAAGCTTCAACTTGTGTTTTTCTCAAGACCAAAGGTTTTTTTTTCCACAAAACTACTCGGTGAGAAAGCAACATGACGAAACCGACAAAGCACAAGAAGAAGGTAGGGAATCGTCTAGGCACTGCATATCATTGAATAGCAAGGGATATGAACTAAGATTCACTATCTCTTTAGATTCAAGCTGGCTCGACAGCGGCGATCTATATCTCACGGACGCAAGCTGTGAAGAAGCTGCAAATATCTCTAGCAACATTCAGGTATTGAATGGGCCATTGCAGACACGTCACCATATCAGCCGCAGCTGAAAGATAATGTGACAAGTCTTCAACATTTTTTTTTCAAGTCGTGTTTTCGATCTTTACTTACAACCCACCTCGTTAGGCGCTTATGTATCTTGAAAGGCATCTATCCGCGTGAACCAAACAATAAGAAGAAAGCTGGGCGTGGATCCACGGCTCCAAACACCTTTTATTATCGAAAAGACATTCAATATTTGCTCCATGAACCTGTCTTGGACAAGCTACGGCAATTAAAGACTCATACCCGCAAAGTAAAGAGAGCCATTGCAAAGAGAGAGTTCTCCGCTGTCTCTACTCTTGAGCTGCAAAAGCCGGAATATGGCCTGAGCCATATCATTAAGGAGAGGTGGGTATATGAAATGAATAACAGGACTCGAAGGCACAAAGAGTAGGCGACGAATGTTTACATCCTCGTTTTTCAAATCAGATACCCTTCGTTTATCGATGCATTGCGAGATTTGGACGATGCCTTGTCAACAGTCAATCTGTTTGCTACGTTACATGTAGACAATGCTGTGATCAAATCTGCAGATGTAGAAGAATGCCGTCGCCTTAGCAATGAATTCCAACTATATGTCATCGAAACTCGCTCCTTGAGAAAAGTATTCCTATCAATCAAGGGAATTTATTTTCAAGCCGAAATCCAAGGACAACTTATTACTTGGATTGTACCGCATGCCTTCTCCCAAAACACACCTTCAGATGTAGACTTTAGAGTAATGGCCACGTTTTTGGAATTGTACAGGTCTCTGGTCGGATTTGTAAACTTTAAACTATTCACCGATATGGGCCTGCTTTATCCATTATTAGTCAATATAGATCACGACCGACAAGCTGGAGGTTTGTCTGGCTACATTATGAATAAAAAGGATATCGTCGAGGGTTCAGATGACGGCAAAATTGCAGAAAAGAGTACAGCTGCTCACACCGATAGTACTCCTAGATTTGTAATGCCCGTGGATACGGAAGAAGAATCTTCCGATGAAGTAAATGATGTAGCTGAAGTCGAAGGAAATGCTGAAACGTCTGCACCCAAACCCATACTACCATCAGATCCACTACCTTCCTATGAATCAATCAGTCAACAAGAAAGTCAGACTTCAAAGTTGACGCACTTGTTTGCCGATGTCGTATTTTACTTGAATAGGGAGGTGCCAAGATCACTCATGGAGTTCGTCATTAAATCGTTCGGTGGTCGTGTTGGATGGGATGACACTGCCGGAGCCTGCTCGCCATTCAAGGCAGATAACGTAAAAATCACTCATCACATAATTGATCGTCCGTTGACTGGCATAAAAACGTTTGATCGCCGTACATATATTCAACCACAGTGGGTGTTTGATTCAATCAACTCTGGTAGATTACTTGATACTAGGCCATATGCCCCAGGAGAAACCCTCCCTCCTCACTTGTCACCGTTTGTCCGTGCCGATTTGGAAGCTGATATTGCAATGGCAGAGGCCGATGAAGAGGTTGCTACTGTTGAGGGTAAGCACTTGCAGCAAGGAGAGGCGGTGCTTTGTGCTAGATCAATGTTACCAAATACCGGGATTTCTCCCGATTTGCCCACCTATCTTATGAAGTGTACTTCTCAACTGGCATTTGCTCACAATCATTTCATTTCCATTTTCTAGATAAAGACATTGAAGAAGTAGAAGGTGATGAAGTAGCTGGCGACGACGAAGAAACCGCTGCTGTGGTGAAACTATCGAAGGCTGGCAAGTCAATCAACAAGAAGCATGCTGGTCAAAACGGCACACAGGTATGTTGTTTTTGGTGATTGTCTAATTTCCGTTGAGCTATTATGAGTGCTAACTTTTATTCAAACATAGGCTCTGGAAGACATAGCTGCTACCATGATGTCCAAGAAGGATCGTTATCTCTATAGCAGAATCCTAGCAGCAAAGGAGAAGAAGGAAGAAGCTGTCAAGAAGCTCGCTCAAAAGCGTAAGGCTGTGCAGAAACGGGCATAGGATGTACTCTATCTTGGTCGAATCAAATAAAAACGTTGCGCAACATAGCTTGGAACTATGATAATGTTCTGGTGTTTGAAACCCTACACCGATTTGCATCAAGCGAATCATACGTCGCTTCACGACTCTCCCATGCCCTGGGTATACTCGTCGTATTCAAGACATCATGCTCATGTGAATGCCACTTTACAGGTAGATGAGAGCAAATGTGGAGGTTTCTTTGGGAATAGTTGAGGGATTTATTTGGAGGAGCTATTGCTTCTATAGTAATGGCTACCCTGACTGCTCTGAAAGTGATCTTTGAACCGAAGGGGCGATCTGAAAGTGGCGTGCTTGGTGCCGTCCGAAATAATAGTGAGGCAGATAGGGATAGGGATAGGATAAGAGAGATGGCAGGGGTAGGGGTACAAATCCTAGGGGATAGGGGTATTTTGCTTATAATTAGGATGGGGATAGGGATAGGGGTATTGATAGGGGTAGGGTACATATAGTGTGGGGGAGGGGGTACTTTGGTCTACCATTTTAAAAAAGGGTGAGAGGTAGAGTGGAGATTGTACATCCAATAAGCAAACCAATCATTTGAAGTCAAAGGTGCTAGCTTTCGTTCGTAGGCGTGCTGGTTTGACCTCTGCGTGATGTGCTCGAATGTGACCGACTTATGAAGCGAAGACACGCAAAACGAATAAAGAGCAGGCGTGGATACCACAATCCGCCACGGAGGAGCCAAAATCATTCACATTGGCGCCAATTTGAAAACCAGGCGTGCTGAATTCAGCAACTTGTTGTAATGGGCAGTTGTTCGCTGTGTGCATGTGTAGAACTCAACCCAACAGTCCTGAACTATGTGCCGCTGGCATACCCAACTACTACGACTAGTAGTTGCTTTGCTGATCTGTCGTGTATGACGCGTCTAGGATTCCTTAATATGTTGCGATCACCATAACATGCTGGTTCTAATGATTCTGCTCTGTCAATAGCCGCCCACACTTTCATTCCTCTCTCCAAACACTTGGACCCTGCGAGTTGTGCTTTTGGCTGCTGAAAAAGCACTCCTGCAGGAGGGGAGCTCTCTTCGGGAACCGCCTTGCTGAACATTTCGGCAGTGCTCGAAGCAATAACCGTCCCTAGTGAACGCATAGCCGACTACACTAAACTAGCGAACATGTTGTTGGGAG